GAACTTCGTCGCCTTGTTGGTAAAGATGTGGCATACATCACAGATCCAGGAGCAGGACATGGGCCTACACTTGCCACAGAAATTGCTATGGTTCGTCCTTTGTTAATGGGTGATCCTTTAGCTTATGAAGTATGCTACGAATCACAATGGGAACCTTATTATGTTGTTCATCGCTCTGCTCCATTATATGATGCTCGTTTTAGAAATCAAGGTGGAGATAAACAATCGCATGCACTTCACTTGAATGCAGAAGGTTATAGATTCATGGTATTACGTCAAGTATTTATGGTCCATAAAGATCATTCCACATTTGTATGGCCCAATGGAGGATTTGAAAGGTCTCAAAAGGCAACTACAAATTGGAATTATTTTGTAGGATTTATGCAGGAAATCGAAGGAATTTATGGCAAGAGTGCTAGATGGCCTCGTGGGTGCAGCGCAAATTCAATTGGTTGGCAGGATCAAAGAAGAGATACTGTTGGCTTAGCTGCTGGTGCAGTTTAACAACACCAAAGAAAAATCATTTAGCATACACACACACACATATATATATATATATAGACTTTATTTTGATATATGTATCTTTAATTATATTCTTGGCTGAGTGCCAGACTCAACAGATAGAGATCACAATTTGATCAAATTTGCCTTCTTGTCATTTTGTCCAAGGTCACCTAATCCCCACTACACAAAATAAATAAGATCATTTTTTGTCTTCATTCTAACTTACGTTGTCTTCAATTGTCTTTAACAAAGAATAATGAGTATATTTTGTGTTGTCCTTTTTCTGCTTGCTACTAGGATGAAAATCAGGACCAAACAAGACAGTCAAAACCTTGTTGTTGTCAGAAGCACCATCATCTTCATCAAAAGTCAATACAAACATTGTATTCTTGCTGAATGCACTCTTATTGATACGCTTTCGCAGAAATTTCTTTAGCCAATTTGATCCAAACTTCATGTTTGTATCATGAGCATCATTATCAATCTATGATAAAGTAAGTTTTCTATTATTTTCTATTCTCTAAAAATTCTTACATTGGGAGTGTAAAATACGAATTGAGGCACTGTATTCTTCTCGATATCTTTGTCTAGTTGATTTGAGTTTACAATCTTGGAGCATCTAGACTTGTTGTTTTGGATGTTTTTGAAAGAGATAAAAGGATTATGCTTTCTTGCGTATTTGTCGATATCCATCTTCTTGTTGCAGTTCCCGGGGTAGTCTTCTTGGTAAGTTTTCCACGATACACCCTTAGCTTCCAGAAGATCAACAATGGTTTTCCTGTTAATATTGGATTTGTCGTCTTCATTTGTTCCTTTGGTTGATCCACTAATCAACGCAATCTTTCCAGACTATAAGAAGCCATTTTTTGTATGCATATAAACACTTACATAATTTGGTTGCGAAGGATGCGTTGTAGCAAGATAATTCGTCAACAAGATACCATTCTTGTACTGTTTGTTTAATTCCTTGATAAACTTGTCTTTGTACGCAACATCATAGTCTTGATTCTCCATTACAATAATAACCACTCTGTCAAAATACTTTCCTTTTTTAATACCAGTACTGTTTCCAGTAGGTCGAGCATCACAGACATAAATCCAGACACAAGCAAGGAGTAGGATAGCAATTGTAAATTTCATTGTAGGTTGAATTGATTCTAAACATTTGACGTTTATATATGTTTTCGAGCTAATTAACTTGCATCTATCAATGTCATACAGTCATAATGCTATGATGGACCCAAGTACCTTGCTAATTATCATAAAATGACTTTAAAAGCTCTAGCTGCAATGTACACATTACTGTATTATTGCAATTGTTAAGAACTTTCCCAATATAGCGATATCCTTTAATTTATATCCACTGTGGCACGAACAATTTGAAGTGTTTTCTCCCAGGATGATGGCTTTGTTGGTGAGACATTGCAAAGTTCCTTTATTTAGTTAACCTTAGTTTTGACGAGTTCTATTATATTGACACAGAAAACTCAAAGAAAAAAGATTTAGAGTTGTAATAGTCAGGAACTTACTCAATTTGTTTGTAGTAATTACTAGTTAGCTTAACTCTTTGCAGCAATAATCAAGCATTTCTTTGCGGGCCCAGCTATTTTTTAAAGGCGAAGTAAATCAGATTACTACCGAATATTTTACAGGGGTTTGAGAATATCCGAATTTCTTTATCGCAAGTAGCAATTTAGATTATACTGCGTATTCAATAGCCATATGCTGTAATAGGGATACCATTGATTCCTATTTTCTAAATCGGAAAACTAATATTTACGGAATCCTCTCCTTCCAAATTAAGAAAAATACGTGGTGTTCTAAAAAAGGCATAAAACATCATCGATTTCAAAAGTATTTATTATTATAGATTTACAAAGATTAAAGCAACATCAATTTAGTTCTTGAGGAGACCATAGATGGTGCTACCAGCAGTGCCAAGAAGACCCAAAAGGCCAAGGTAGGCGAAGCTACCACGCAAGCGCTTGGAAGGATCACCAGTGCTGTAGCCATTGCCATAAATCATACGGCCTAAAAGGAAGATACCACCACAAGCAGAAGAGATTTCGGGGTACTTGAGACCACCAATTAAAAGAAGAGTTTGATAGACGGGGAAGATTTCGAGAGTGTTTTGATGAACGCGTTGGACACAGTTGAAGATGTTCTTCTTGGGGTCCTTTTCAGCTTCACTCTTTTCGGCATACACTACCATCCTTTGTCAATTATCGCGTCACTTCTGTATGATGTATACTTACTATAAGGATAAGGAATACCAGCAGCTCTACGGGCACCGCCAGTCTTGGCACCCAAAAAGAACAAGTAAAGTGCACTGAAAGTAGCCGTACCGAGAACCTGTTTACATGCGCATTAGCTCCTACCGTATATCATTTGAATACACTTACGTAACCGTATTCAGAAGGAATAAGAAGAGCAACCATTGTTATGTTTAATGATGAAAAGAAGAGAAAAGAAAAGAAGAGAAAAGAAAAGAAATACTTTATATATATACACCAATGTGTAATCCAAAATCAGAACGAAACCATTACGCAAACTGTCGTGGCCAAAATCATTTTTCCAGCCAATTACTAATCAATAATCTTTGACTGTATTAGAGATTTCCCGCACGCTTTATTTGCTTAATATTAATATAAATCCTGTGTACAGTGCTCACAACAAAAAAGGCATTTGATACACAGCGATATAAATAAACAATTACTTTGAACTACACAAGACCATTGAGCTGAGGTGTTATTTTGACTGTGAAACAATTTACGGAGCATCTTGCAAAAACAACCAAGAAAGAAAAACACCAGTCTGAGATGTTCAGTGACTTTGGTGACGAGTATTTCTCGGTCATTTATGTCGACAGCATACCATTTTGACGTGTTGGTAGTAATTGCCAAAGTATTTTAAATATGAATGTACTTACAAGGAATTTATTTAGCATAGACTTTAATCAAAAGGGATTTCTTGTCGAAATAAACAAATTTCAATTGTGTATGTTATTTAACAAATAAGGGCTACGTAAATGCCAGTCAAATACATTTGGTTTAGTGATTGGAAAATCTTATTTTAAGGATTCACTTTCAATAGAAATTATTGTAAATTATGAACTAAATACAATGAAGTCTTTATAGGCCATATCAAGAGCATTATTAGACACCTTTCAAGTAAAAAATGCTAGAGATTGTGCAACGTAAAACTGCAAATCGTCCAGTCCACTTTTTTCTAAACATCTAATTTTAGGATAAATCTTGTAGGTTAAATTATTCAATTCTACATTTTTATTTAACTTTGCTTTTTCTTTTAATAAATATATACCCAATTGTTATACTAAACTATTGTCGATGTTTTCGCCAAATACACCAAGTATTGTATAAATAAACATTACATTTCGAGAAACCAAACATTTATTTTCCCATCCCCCTTTTTTTTATAGGCGCTCATTCTTTACATTTGGAAGAAACAGACGATGAAGATCATTTACCTCCAAATGCTACATCAGAAACCCAAATGCTTTTGAGTGTTGAAGATCAGATTCCTCGCTATCTTACAGCTTCTCCATGTAAGACAGGATATCATAGTTATACATGCATAGCACAAACTTAACTTAGCATGTAGTACCTTCTGTCAGGTTACCTGATAAGACTCCAAAAGGATTCTGGGACACTCTAAAAGTACGATCAAGATACTATTTGCCAATCTTGCAGTGGCTTCCTCTATACAATCTACAGATATTTTGGGGAGACTGTCTGGCTGGAATTACTTTATCTTGTCTGCTAATCCCACAAGGATTGTCTTATGCGACAGCATTATGTAAACTGGAGGCAGTTCATGGCTTGTATGGTATTGCTTTTCCTGCAATTGCGTATGCCTTTTTCGGCATGTCTAGGTAAGTGATATGGTTCTTGATCACATCATGAAATGACCATAAATCAAATAAACAGACAAATGTCAGTGGGACCTGAATCAACTTTGGCGCTCTTGATTGGGTCATCTATCGCACAACAAGAACACCTCAAGTCAAATGATTACACAATTGAGCCTTTAGCTTGGGCATGCCTCATGACACTCTTTACGGGAATCTTCACTTTACTCCTTGGTATATTTCGACTAGGCTTCTTAGATAGTCTCATGAGCCGTGCTCTTTTGCGTGGTTTTATCAGTGGTGTTGCATTAGTAGTCATGGTGCAGCAAGCAATCACATTATTAGGTCTTGTTGAACTCAGCAAAGCGTGGGGCATTTCAGAAGCTTCGACAACAATAGAGAGACTTTATTTTCTCCTCAAGAACCTTGATCATGCACACATATTGTCGTCGATTATTTCCGTTATAACTGTTTCCTTTTTATTGTTTATGCGCTCCTTAAAATCCCGTTATGGTTTGACAAAAAAATGGCTTCAATTATTTCCAGACGTCTTGCTGGCTGTTGTAATCTCTATTTTACTCACAAAGCATTTGGATTGGGAGCACAAGGGCCTGGCTATTTTGGGAGAGATTGACAGTGCAGGCATACTATTGCCTTCGATCCCTTCCTTTCCTCCTACCAAGCACATGAAGGATTTACTCGTCTCTTCTGCTATGATTGCTGTCATTGGATTCGTTGAGTCTATTGTCATTGCAAAGATTTACTCTAGTAAACATAATTATTCAGTAAGCGCCAACAGAGAACTAGTTGCTTTGGGTGTAGCAAACATCTGCAGTGGGTTGTTTCAAGGTATTCCTGCTTTTGGATCTGTAAGTCCCTTGCCTTTTTAATGTGACGATATATCACAAGCTAATTTTGTTTTTTTTTCTAGGTGTCTCGAAGTAAAATCAATGATAAGGCTGGTGCTCGTACTCAAATGGCGTGTCTAATTACTGGCATGATAGCTATCCTTGCTATCCTGTTTTTACTGCCCTACTTTTACTATTTACCAAAAGCAGTTTTATCGTCTATTATTTTTGTTGCAGTACTTTCTCTCCTTTCAGAGCTCCCTGAAGATCTACATTTTATTTTTAAAATAGGAGCTTGGAAAGATCTTGCCTTGCTACTTATTACATTCTTTGCTACTATTATCATCTCTCTTGAATTTGGCACTCTCTTGGCAGTTACCTTATCGTTACTAATGACGATTCGAGAAACAAGTTATCCCCGTATCTCAATTATGGTAAGCATTTATCGACGGAATTTAAAACAGGTTACCAATTGTTTGTGACTGAAAGAGACTATTTTGTGTCGATGACTAACATTTGTGTGAATCAAATTTTTCTAAAACCGTTTTACTTTTAGGGACGAGTTAAAGGTTCAGTCAATAAGTTCAAGCCTATTCAGAACGACTCTTTGGAGATCGAGCATTTACAGGATGTACTTATTGTTCGCATTGAGGAAGCATTATTTTTTGCTAACACAGGTAATAACAAGAGCTAGATCTCTTTTCGACCATGCTATTTGTAACTCATCTCTTTTTTGTTTTGTTTAAGGTCAATTGAAAGACCGATTGAGACGGTTGGAAATGTTTGGTGATATGTCTATTCATCCTTCCGAGAGACCCCGAAGAAGTGAATCGTTGTATACAATATTTGATGTTGGCAGTATGCCTTCGATTGATGCAAGGTAAAAAAATAACTAGAGAAAAAAAGATGTTGAATCTAATGCATGGACAATAATAGCGCTATCCAAATTTTCTATGAGATTGTAGAGGCTTACCAAAGTAGATCAGTACAAGTCTATTTTGTTAGGTTAAGGGAGCAACCCATGGCCATGTTTAAGAAATCAGGTTTGCTGAATCTGTTTGGTGAAAATCATTTGTTTAGAAAGGTATCAGAGGCTATAGAGTATGTTGAACTTGACATATCAAAACGCGGTATTTTACCTACTTGTTAAATAAGGAAATAAGCGGGATTTAGAATGACTCTTACAATCTCCATCTTGCAATACAATTTAAGCTACGTGTTTGGGCCTTTTTGTTCAAACATGATTGGGTTATCAATAAAAAAAATCCATCCATCTTTTAATCTATTCTATTTCGAATACCGATTAATCAGTAAGCCACTCGAAAAATCCAAATTTAAAGCGTTAGCAGGATTCTACTTTCTTCTTCTTCCTTAACTTTTTTCTATCTGTAACTTTTCTTACCAACAATGTCTGTTAGACCCACTGATTCCTGGAACGTCTGTCTCAACACTACCCTTGAACAAGAAGACAAGGAAGTTTACAACATTGTTGAAAACGAAAAACTTAGACAATGGTCTGGTTTGGAACTCATTGCTTCTGAGGTATGTATATTGAAGAGCATTGGAGGTGAATGGGTGTGCTAATGATTTATTCTTACAGAACTTCACTTCTCAAGCTGTCATTGAAGCTAACGGTACTGCCTTGACCAACAAGTACTCTGAAGGTCTTCCTGGTGCTCGTTACTATGGTGGTAATGAATACATTGATGAACTTGAAGTCCTCTGTCAAAAGCGTGCTTTGGCTGCTTTCGATTTGAACCCTGAACAATGGGGTGTCAACGTCCAACCTTACTCTGGTTCCACTGCTAACTTTGCTGCTTTGACTGCTTTGATTAAACCCGGAGACCGTCTTATGGGTCTTGATCTTCCTTCTGGTGGTCACTTGACTCACGGTTACCAAACTGCTAAGAAGAAGATCTCTGCCTCTTCCATCTACTTTGCTTCCATGCCTTATCAAGTTGATCCTTCCACTGGTTTGATTGACTACAAGCGTCTTGAAGAAAATGCTGGTCTCTTCCGCCCTCAATTGTTGATTTGTGGTGCTTCTGCTTACCCTGCCGAATGGGAATACGATACTATGCGCAAGATTGCTGATCAACACGGTGCCTACCTCATGTGCGATATGGCTCACATCTCTGGTTTGATTGCCGGTAAGGAAGCTTTATCTCCTTTCGATTACTGTGATATTGTCACTACCACTACACACAAGACTCTTCGTGGTCCCCGTGCTGGTTTGGTCTTCTTCCGTCGTGATAAGGGTGATCAACTCGAATCTCGTGTCAACCAAGCTGTCTTCCCCTCTTGTCAAGGTGGTCCTCACAACAACACCATCGCTGCTGTTGCTGTTGCTTTGAAGCAAGCCGCTTCCCCTGAATTCAAGCTCTATGCTAAGCAAGTCCGTGCTAACGCCAAGAAGCTCGCTGAGACTCTTGCTGGCTACGGTTACAAGTTGGCTACTGGTAGCACTGTTAACCATTTGGTTCTTTGGGATTTGAAGCCTCAAAAGTTGACTGGTTCTAAGGTCGAACGTATCTGTGATATGGTCCACATCACTATCAACAAAAACTCTATTGCTGGTGACAAGTCTGCCGTTACTCCCGGTGGTGTCCGTCTTGGTGCTTCTGCCTTGACTTCTCGTTCTTTGAAGGAAGAAGATATGGTTAAGGTTGCTGAATACCTTCACAGAACTGTCCAAATCGCTACTGATGTTCAAGAAAAGTGTGGTTCCAAGTTGATGAAGGACTTTGTTGCTGCTCTTGAAGGCAACCAAGAAATTGCTCAATTGAAGAAGGAGGTTGTTGAATTTGCTCGTAGCTTCCCTATGCCTGGTTTCGATCCTACTAAGATTAACGCTACTGCTACCATCTAAGTTGGTTTAGAATAACAACAAACGCTTATATATACACATTATTTTCATCTTATAATGGTTGCGGTTAAACAAATTGCACGTTCAACACTCATTCTTTATATTTCCCATTTTTCATTTATATATATCTTGTAAAAAGTTCAACACGTTTTTGTAAAATAAATATTTAACATTCAACATTTTTAATTTCTTTAATTTACTTTTTTGGTTGGCTAATTATGTGGAGACAGGAAAAATAGTGCCGGAGGAGAATGGGCGAACAGTTTGCTTATTTGGGATTTACGTTCAAGTATATATATGCATGCGTACTGTTGTACCACCTTGTACTCAAAAGACAAACCTACCAAATCAGTACATGTATACTGAACTAGAATATATCTCTAGAATCATGTTCATATCAAACATTTCAACGTCTAGGAGAAGTGCTGGATTTGAACAGGAGAAAAAAGTTTGTCTGATCATCTGTTTACAGGGAAATGAGTTTTTGGACGGTTATATAGTCCAATGGAGCGATATTATGTAAGTAACAAGGGAAGTGCACATACGTCCTCTCTATTCTCAAATTGAAAGGAGCACAAAGCCGATCTTCCTTCTTTTTTTTTTTCCTCTCTCACTCTCACTCTCTTTTCTTTCTTCTTCCATAGGTACTACTAAGTTCGATGTTTGCTTCTGTTGATAACATCACTTGGTGAAACAATAGTATTATGCCAAGTATTGTAAGAAAAAAAGAAGGTTAAGTTCAGGAATATGCAATCATTTGCCATAGTTACGTTGGCCTATTATGTACCTTTTTAAGGAAATCAGCAATAATATAAATAATTGGCCATAGCGCATAGGAAAAGGACAAAGTTATGTCTCAAAAATAGCAATGCAATGCAAAGTCAAGACCTGTTATCAAGGTTCATATTCTGTTTTTTTTCATAACAAGGTTCTTTGTTTATTCTCTCTAATAAAGTTACTTTCTTGTCCTTAGATGAAGGAAGCAAAGATATCTATATGTTTTTTTTTCTAAAAAAAAACTTCATCTAGACAAGGATGCAAGTATGCGTGTGTTTAAAGTTGATGTGTGTACATGTTTATGTTTCACAAGTGATGGTTACAATGTTGAAATTTTTTTCTTTTCCAGAGTCCCTGTTCAGTTTTGTATGGTTAGTATATCATCAGAGGAGCTATGACCACTACCTGAATTACAAAGGAAATATCTCTTCAAGAATCAAAGTGCGACCTAGAAAGCTTAATGATCGTACGACGATTACAATACCAATATTTGTGTGTGTGTGTAAATTATTAGAGAAAGAGAACACGTGTGATTCAAGTAGCTTTGTTTTCACTATTAAAGCGTTTAGGCTTTACAGGCATATGTAGTAATGGCCAGTGATTTTTTGTCATTCTAAAAATAAGTTTCATGATATATAAACTATTTTTCTGCATAAAAATAGTATTAATTACTAAAATTATGCATTTTGGACATGCTATAGCGATTTCGAGACGATTAGAATTTTAAGACGTGTTTTGATCTCGATTTTCAATGATAAACATGATTTTCATTAGCTCCCGAGTAAAAAAAAAAAAAAAAAAAAAAAAGTTCGAGCAACATGTTCAGATGAACTTGTTGACAATAAACATATATGGACTTTGAGTCTCTTTTTTCTATATAAATATATTCCACGTAGGACAACTAAAGAATGACATGAAAGAGTTTTTATGTTTGACACACGGCCTGTGTGCGTATGTGCTTTAACTTTCATCTGTTGTCACACTTGTTGTATTCTTGTTTTGAAATACAGAAGAGATATCTACATGTATATAAAAACTTGTATTTTTCTTCTTTCGTTTTTGTCATTTTTTGTTTTGTTTTTATCTTCTTATTTCTATATACACAAACACAAAGAAAAAAAAAAGAATTTTTGCATCAAAAATAAGAAAATCTGTAGCGATTAGTGTGAGTAGTATGCATCCTTTTTTTCAATTTTACTAACTGCATGATAGACAAACAACATTTTGCAGCAATATTATGCTTATATATGAAAGCAGAAAAAACCAGAGTCTTATTGCTTCGTTTACTTACTTCTCTCAAACTTTTATTGTGACTATTACCCTTAAAATTAACATCAGTAACATTTTTTGATCTGTCATTATTTCAAAAAAAAAAAAAAAAAAAAAAATGGTGATTATGTCTATCAATGAAAACATAATTTTACAGCTAGCAAACTTTAGAAGGCCTAGGCCAAACAATCCTAGACCTCCTTCTGCACCTTCTCCCTCACCAAGTCCTTCACCACCACCATCGCCGCCACCATCATCCACATAAATCAACTAAAGAATCAGTAAAAAAAAAAAAAAGTAGAAAGAATAACAACAATACTAATAACCAAAACGCAATGTTTGCTTATAATATACATACATACATCCCTATCAAACCAACCAAAAGCTATCATAATATCCAAAGATCAATGCAAATGATCTTGTTTATCCATCCATTCCTTAATTGTTTTTCTTTTTTTTATACATAATTTTGTATTAATTATTTTTTCTTCTTCTAGTCTTCCTCATCTTTATTCAAAATCAACCTTCTTATGTCTTTCTGTATGTAAATAATCACTTTCAATAATAAACAAACTATTTTAATCCCATCCATACTTTCTCGTGCGTTTAGATGCTCCTTTCTGTGTTTCACGCCAGATTATGGGATGACAAGTATGTTACATAAACAGTTTTCTGCTATGTCTTGCTCCGCAAATATTTAGTTGACTAAGGTGTACATGTATAATTTCCTGATGTGTGTCATACCAAAAGAAAGAAGATGGAGAAGACAAAAAGAAAAAAAAAACTTTTATTCCGCTTCAAAACTGTATATTTGTTGCTGGTTTTTAACTTACTGAACAACGCTTGTGAACTGTTGATGTAATTGAACTTTATGCTCTGTTTCTCCTTCTTTTTTTCTACTTCAGTACTTTGATTTTTCTGTATATGTTATCGATAATTATTAAAGTAAATAATTCTATGATGATTTTTGAACTGAAGCTCTTATGACTATATGAAGATGCCAATTCAAAAGGAGTCGGAAAAAATAGCAGGGAAAGGAGAGTAAGTATACAGAGCACTCATCCACCATAACAAGAAAGGTGAATGTTTATTTGCTTGGTTGTTGATTAGCCTTGTCAATGGCGTTTTGGGTAGATGATGTGAAAATCATTTCTCCATCTCATAAAAGTCTCTTTACATTCGAAAACACAACGCAACATGGTTTTGTGTTGCAAGTCTAATTCAAAAGAAGGCAAAGAGAGGAAAACCGTTGAAAAAACCATTCCTAACTTTGGTTACTGTTTCTGAAAAATTAGACATTTCATCATTCTCAAATAACAAAGAAATATTGATATTGTCGAGGCAAATTGAAGAATCCAATTATTGACCATATATGCCAAAAATAAAACAATTGTAATCAGAAGCTTATGATGATATATCGACTCATGATACTACACAAAACAGTTACAAATTTACTTTCATAGACTTAGGCTTCTTTTTTGACTGTCTATAATGTACAACGTTCAACAATCAGATGATATGACTCCTGAATGCTTGCTATAAAGACTAACGCTATTCCAGCATGTTCAGTCATCTTAAGCCTTGAAAAGACGACGAGGTGATTCATTTTCTATTTTGCGATGAAGACGATAGTAATATTTCCTTTCAGTTTCTGTCACTTTTGACTAAAAGATCCTTTTTCCCTTCTTCAAAAAATAATCCTCCTACTTTTTCCTTACTAACATAATCCATTCAATACACTCTCTGTCGACTTCAGCTTCTCTCCTTAATTTAATGATATATGCTTAGAAGGAAATATCCACATGGCGCTATAGATTTTGCGAAACTTTTCGACGATATTCAAGACCATCTCATACGCATTACCTTGCCTTTTCTCTTTCGAATTACATCTATAAAATACTTTAATAGCTTGTGAAGCAAAGGCACGACTAAAAAGAAAAAACTTTGATCCGTAATTTATATTGTCAAAAATTTCAATCCATTGTCATAGTATACCTTTCCTTTCCATTTTCTAACCAAAATAACGTGAAAAAAAAAACTATAGCAAAAAAAGGTGAAAAAAATCAGTGTCATTTCAATCCAGGTCATTAAAAAAAAACCACACCCTGCTGTTTTTCAAAAAAAAAAAAAAAAAAAAAAAAAAAAAAAAAAAAAAAAAAAAAAAAAAAGGTCAGTTTACCAATAGAAAAGACCTCGACAAGAAGCCAACTCTTTTGAAAGAATATCAATGTATTTGCAGTATATCTTAAGTATCGAAAACAAAACAAATTTGAATTTTAAAAAAGGAATATGTATTTTTCTTTTTTGGTTTTGAGAAGCATTCTTTGTCTTATATTTATTCTGAGATTTACATTACAAACTGTCGATATACAGAAAGACATGGAATTCACAAAGAAAATAAATGATCTTTGCGTTTATTAGGACATAATGCATCCTTTTGATTAGACAGAAATTACGCTTGCCTAGTCAGAGCTATTTCAAATAAAATAAGAACGAATCTCATGATGTTCGTATGTGCACAGGTTTTATATAGACTTTTACTCCCGCTTCTTTCTAACTTGTTCAATGCGTTTCTGTTAGAGTAATTCACATTATTTATGCAGCTATACATACACATATCTATCAATAAAGATAGAGATATTCAGACATTTTTTGTACGGCGCATGAACTATTCAAACTAATAAAATGCAAAGAAAATGTTACAAGTGATTCAAACAAGATAGGTAAAAAAAAGTAGATAGACACATTGATTATCATTACGTAAATACTTAAAAAGACATATATCCTACAAATCAATGTCTTTTTGTATTACTTTAACCTAAATTTGTATGGAAGTGACTTTAAAATGTAGTGAATAAAAGAAATGCATATGCTTGTGATACGCTTTTGACATTGACTTCCCTTTTTCTCCTTCTTTGCGTTTCACTTTTTCGCAGTTGTATTTTTTTTTATTGAAGAATTTCGCAAAAAAGGAATAAAGATGAGCCCTTCCTGAGAAATATTTGATTTACACAAGCAGAGTATGCCTTATGCCAAGTTACTATCATCGCCATATGTTTGACCGTGTATGACATTGCGTAATGTTTGATAAGTGGTTTCGTCCAACTTGTACGTGTGTTTATATTTAGTTTTATCCGGGACAAAAAAACCTTTTTTTTTGTGCAGAACTTGGTCGCTTTAGAATTACTTTAACTTAATTCAAGTACTTTTATTACTCTATGTCATCACAGAAGAAAAAAAAAAAAAGCTCGTGACGAGATTCTAAATTTATTGCATTATGATAGGATATAGTTTTGATCAAAATAGTCAAAAACAGAGTCTACGAGCACTAAGAACACATATTTCATTTTCTCTTTAGGAAATCACATGTGGTTCAAGCACACATAATCTAAATGGAAAAACGCCAACTCCTTTCAACATTTGCATTTAATCTGAGACATTTGTTGACAGGAGCGTAACGTTACATTTTTTTCTTGGAATCGACAAAAAAATGTACACGAAAGGTTCCAGAAGCTTAACAGAACAAAAAAAGGATCATCTCTCTGGATAAATAGTGATTTTAGTAACAGAATAGTGTACCTTGAACGGTTAGTGCAACATACTGTCTTTTAGCAGCAAAAAAGAACATTCTTATATACCAAAAAGACTATGATTATAAATAATTTATTATTGAATACAAAATAATTGTGTGTAAGTGTCTAAAGACAACTATTCAGTAAGACCAGCTTCCTTGGCCATAGAGTAAAAGATGGATTCTTGATTTTCCAAAAGCTTAATAGGAGAATCAAATTCAGCAATGGACCCTTTGTCCAAAACAAGAATTCTGTCTGAATCTAAAACAGTGTTGATTCTGTGAGCAATGGTCAAGATAGTACAGTGAGCAAATTGGCGACGAATAGTTTCTTGAATGATAGAGTCGGTTTCAACATCAATCTAATAGAAAGAGGTGAGTATAAAGACATCAATGAAATACAATTACTTACAGCAGCAGTAGCTTCATCAAGCACAAGAATAGTGGTACGGCGAAGAAGAGCACGGGCCAAACAGATTAATTGACGTTGGCCAACAGAAAAGTTTTCACCACCTTCCAAAACAACAGCATTTAATTTACCATCCATCTTGGAAATATGCTCGCCAAGATGAGAGTGTTGCAGTGCTTGCCAGAGTTCGGCATCATCATGGGAGCCAAAGGGATCCAAGTTTTCTCTGACAGTGCCTGCAAACAAGACAGGATCTTGAGGAATAATAGTCAAACGAGATCTTAAGTCAAACAAACGAAGACTAGAGATGTCTACGCCATCAATGAAGATAGAACCCGAGCAGCTTCAACGATACGGAACAAACTCAAACTCAAAGAACTTTTACCAGCACCTGTACGGCCCACAATACCAATCTTTTCTTTGGGTGCAACAGTGAAGGATAGGTCGCGTAAGGCCAAGTCGAGTCCAGGACGGTAGCGAGTAGAGTAATCACGGAATTCGATCAAACCCTTTTCAGGCCACATGGGATTCACACCACGAACGGAGTTATATTTCTCGGTGGGTAAATCAATGTATTCCTTGATACGTTCGACAGAGACAATGTTAGTCTCAATTTCACAGTACATACGAATAACCCAGTTCAAAGCTTGAGTCACACTAAGAGCATATGAAACAGAAAGACCAACTAGACCAGCATCAATAGCAGAAGAACCATAAACAACACTAAGGACAGCAAACAAAGCAGCAGAAAGAATGATGATAGAGCCCAAAAATTCGAGACGAACAGCAAGCCAACGGTTACAAGAAATAGAGGGATAGTAGGCCTTTTGATTATCATCTAGTCTGTTTTCGTTTTCAAAAACAAAACGTCTTTGTTGTTCGTAAGCACGAATAGTAGACACACCAGAAATAGTTTCTTGGAAATGAGAATAAATAGGACTTTTACCAACAGAATCCAGACGTTTCAATTCGCGAGATGTAGCCAGGTAATAACGTTGGATATAGACATAGATAACACCGAGAGGAATAATGACTGCCATGAAAAGAGGTGTAGAGTAGGCAATGATAATAACGGTAGAAATGACAGCAAACAAGACACGGAAATAACCCTGGAATGTTCTAGGCAAGCCTTCATCAACAGTGTGTTGATCTTTACTGAAACGGTTCAAAATTCTACCTAATGGTGTAGTGTCAAAGAAAGACATGGGAGAGCGAATGATGGCATCTAACATTTCAGAGTGCAAGACACGGGCAGAGCGAATAGCACAGTATACCCACATAACGAGTGTTTGACCCATAGAAAAAAGAGTAGAAGACCAACCAATAAGGGCATAGATTGCAAGATAATACCAAACACTCTTGTTTGTACCATTGCCTTGGTTTTCTGAGGACCAGAACTTTAACCAAACGTTAGAGCCTACAGAAGCCAATTGAGAGAAAATGAGCAAAATAAGGATGGCAATGACACCATATAAAGAACAAGACTTTGCATATTGTTTGTAGACATCCCAAGTAACACTGCCTTTTGCACTTTCTTCAACAGTAATTAAGCGATCAGTTTCAGTAGCCTTCTTATGTCTGGCTCTCTTGTTGAGAGAGACAAGAGAAGCTCGACGAAGTGTTTTGGTACTCAAGAAAGAGGCATCGCTGTTCAAACGTTGACGTGTACGAGTCAAAGAAGCATCTTCTTCGCGAGGAACAATGTCAACTGAAGCATTGTCTGATTCAAGAACTTGTTCTTCACCGAGAGTTTCTTCATTGGATGCATCGTCTTCAGAGGCCTTTTGAGTACCATAATCAGTAATAAGAGCATAAAGTTCTGACTTTTGATTCATCAAATCAACATAAGTACCGCTCAAGTTAATTTGTCCTTCACGGAGCATAACAACATGGTCAACACGAGACAAGTAAGAAATACCATGGGTGACAAGTACGCGGGCTTTGTTCTTCAAGATACCTTCGGGGCCAATAACATGGTCAAAGATATGACGACCCACATGTGCATCAACAGCACTCAAGGGGTCGTCCAACAAGTATATATCAGCACGGGCATAGATAGCTCTAGCTAAAGAGACGCGAGCCTTTTGACCACCAGACAAGTTAATACCACGTTCACCAATTTCAGTTTGATCACCACCGCTCAAGATAGCAATATCACTCTTCAAGGAACACGCCTCCAATACACGTTCGTAGAATTGAGGATCCCAGCGATGGCCAAAGACAATATTATCACGCAAAGAAGCGTTCATAACCCAGGGTTGTTGAGGAACATAAGCAACAGAACCACGCAAAATAACATCACCATGAACCTTGACAGTATCACCTAACAAGGCACTAATCAAAGATGATTTACCAGAACCTACACGGCCAACAACGGCTGTGACTTGCCCTTTCTTGACTTGGAGATTGATGCCGCTCAAGACAGGTTGAGCGTCTTCTCTGGCCCATTTAAATTCACCTTCGTTGATTTCAACTAAAGGCGTGTCATCAGTATACTTGGGGTCATTGCGATAATCAAGACGAGTAACAGCATTAAGGTCAATTTCTTCTGCAGAAAGATAACCTTCAATACGGTAAAGAGAAACAGAGGCTTCAATAGTAGATGTAATCACATTAGGGAATACGTTCAAGGGGAATTGCAAGAGACCAAAGAGAGCAATGGCTACAAATGCAATATCACTTGTCAAAGGATGATCAGAAATAGATACGTAGACAGCAAATGTAGATAAAGAGACCAAGAAGGGAATAGAAGTAAACGTAAAGTTTTGAACAGCAGACATAACACCAATCTTCTTGAGAGTGGCTAATTCTAGATCATTACGAATGTAGTTGATCTTTTCCAAGAAGGGAGTCTCCCAAGCATAAAGTTTAATGACGCGAATACCATTCAAGATTTCATTCATCAACTTAACTCTGGCATCCTTATTGCCCATTTGAGTCTTCTGAAGTGCACGCATCTTACGAGCAATAATTGTGTTTAAAGGAATAGAGAGCAAAAGGACACCTACACCAGCACCAGTACTTGGACCCATGGTATTATACAAAAAGCACAAGGCAATCACTATTTGGAAAGGACCGCTCCAGACTATTTCAACATGAGTTTATCTTGAAATCATATTTAGTTGACTTACCAATATGGAAGTAGGTGCATAAATCCATCAATCGTTGAGCATCAACACTCATATGGTTTACAATTTCACCCACAGTGGACTGTTGTCTGCTTGCATTACTGAGAACCAATGTCTTTTGATAAATGGCTGTGACAAGAGCAGCACGAAGACGCATACCAGTCATGAAGCAGCGTTGGAAGTATTGATGAAGGAACATAGTTTGAGCAATAGCAGTCAAAAACATACTGACTGCAATTACAATACCAAGATAGGCAGGTTCAGGTACATCGGAATTGTAACTGGTTACCCAACCCATCAATTTTTTTAAAAGCCAAGGTTGAGTAAATTGCAAAGCATCTTGGAGAGCCTTAAAGAGCTATAAAGGAACAACGGAATTAGTTTCTTTTTTTCAAGTCCATGATCTATTAAATTACTTACCGCAGCCAAAGCAAAAGGACCACCCAAAGTCTTGACAAGTGCCTTTAAAAGAGATGGTCTAAATATGAGAGATCAGTATTTATGACTATATTATAAAGACTATATTATAAAGTACATTACTTTTTCTTTGTCAATTCCTTTTGCCAGTTTTGTTGAAACTGAGCACTCACAAAGGCTGATTGATCATCGGACTTGAGATTCCTACGTTACTGTTTTTAGATAATGTGGCACTCAAATGCTTATTAATCAAAAAAAAAATTACCATAGATCTTCCATCGACAAAGGCTTTTGATAACCTAATCTCATCAATGGTGTCATCCAACTAAATGTAAGTCGACCAAAAATATTGGTCTTTTCTTCAGGAGAGTCAAGCTAATACGAATAAGTAAATCTCCTTAAAACAGCGTGGCATACCTCATCCTCTTCCAACATAATGTATTGACTCTTGGGACGAGGCAAATTTTCCAAAACAAACATAACAGCGGACAAGGTAAAGCCAATAGCGAATAAAACAAACTGAGTAGAATTTGTGTAATATTTGTCATCTATGATCTGCGTACGTAATTTGATGCCATCTACAACGATCATAAATAACCAGAAAAATAAAAGTACAGCAGAAGATACACGGTTGCGGGTATATTCAATATGATGCAAACCAATAACAAAGATCTGTCATTCAAGATTAATCTTTTTGTTAAAAAATAAAACTCACTTACCAAAATAAATACAAAGAAACCTTGAGATAATATCTGTGCATCATCTATCCAATTAATACCGCTGTCGAGGACCGAAAAAGCAAAGGCTACCGCCGCAGTAAACAAAAGCAAAGACAAAGCAATCTGTGTTGTTCTTATAAGTCATTGCATTGCATAGCATTCACTACATACCATTTTTGTGAAATAAAGCCAGTTCTTAGTCATATCAGAAGAGAGGCGTTCTCTCTTTGACAAGATCCACATTCTAGCTAAACCAGCAACAAGAACAAAGAGATAAGGTAATAGTGTTAATACACTAAATATGCAAAGTGAGTCATTGTCTCTTCATGTATTTAATCACTCACCTATCTTCAAAACATGGCGTGAAATCAGGTATTCTTTCTTTTGAGATAGGGCCCTAATTTGCCAATTGTCAGTATTCTTTCATGCAAGACATATTTGACTATATTTACCCAGCCTTCGTGGTTTTTACACATGCTCGAAGCATATTGATATTCGTCAGTATGGTGGTCTAGCACCCACTGATTTCCTTCCATATTGACGAGTTCAATGACAAAGAAAAAGAAAGAAAGAATAAGAAAGTGAAAGACTTTTTAAAATGAATGAATTACAAATTCTTTTCAATAGAAACAAAGTCACTTTCCTAAAATGAAAGTTCATGACGGAAAAATGTTACCTTTTATAAACAATTACGTGTAAAGAGCGTTCCCGCTAATTTTTTTTTTCCTGTTCTTTTCACTAGTTTAATACAATGGCAAAGAAGGGAGGTAATAGTAAAGCTGAAGCTGCCAACGCCAAAAAGGCAGCCAACAAAGCCGAAAAAGACAAGCAAAAGTCTGCTGCTGCTGAAGCCGCTGAAGCTGATAAATGGTCTCAAGGTGCCAAAGGAAGCAAAAAGAAAGAAGACACCGAAGCTAAAAAGGTAAAGACAAAAAAACCGAGCATCCAGAAAGAGATATCTTATATTCTCTATAGGCAGCTGCAGCTGCGAAGAAGGCCGAGAATGCTAAACTTTTGGTGAGCTAAATCTAACTCTCGAGAAATTTAAATAACACAGGTATAGGCTGAAGAAGAAAAAGAATTCAAAAAGAAGCCTACTATGAAAGGTGTCGACGTAAGTTATTTGGTAGTATATGTCGGGCTAGATCACTTATTTCATGATAGAAAAAAGCTGCTCAAAAATCAGCCAAAGTCGATGCTGCTGGCCATGCTCGTCGCGTTATTCCCGAGTTCTCGGCTACTGGTATTGATGATGCCCTTGATCTCTTGTCACTCGACAGTGGATCTGTCAAAGCCAAGGACATTGAAAAGCATCCTGAACGTCGTTTCAAGGCTGCTTTTGCCGCTTTTGAGGAACGCGAATTGCCTCGCTTCAAGGCCGAAAACCCTGGTTTGCGTTTGAGTCAATTAAAGGAATTGATCTACAAGGCTTTCCAAAAGTCTCCCGAGAATCCTTTCAACCAAGCTAATGTGATTGCATACAATGCTACACAAGATGAAGCACAGGCTATGAAGGGTAAACTACTTTATTTATTTTCATGACTAACATCTTTATCTATAGCTAACAAAAACAAGGCTATTGAAGATCGTCTTCGTACCAATTAGAAACAAAACAAAATCCCCCATTATACATCCTAATTGCATTATATATATTTCTTGGTTTTTTAAAAATAAACTTGCGGTCTACCAATTGTGTCGCAAAGGGTTTTAAGCCAGCATTGTCTTAACAATTAATTATACATTTTATTTTTTTTCTAAAAAAAAGAGAAGGGTGTCTAAGTTAATATACATTTTACTGTTGAACACGAGCAACAATTTCTCGGAAACCTTTGATTTTTGCACATTCTTTCTTGAGATTATTGGCAACAGGAGTATCCCATACACCTGCTGAAATCATTAAACGCGAGTAACGAAGACAAGCTTCTTCTCGAAAGTAATCATAAAGCTTCTTGTTGTATTTACGCTACAAAAACAAGAGTCAGAGAGCATTTGTTTTATAATGGACATACCTCTTTTGCTCTTGTATCTTCAGGGTAATGATGTGTTTGGTGGATCAAAAAGTCATTAGGAAGCACCCAATAATCAATGCCTGCTAAATAAATTTCATAAAGACAGGCAGCCTTATTGGCACCATATCCCACGAAACGTTCGTCACACCAAGGTGAGCCTTCCTTCTTGAAAATAACGTATGGTTCATATGAATAGTTATAATCGGTCACCTTATAAGGCTGAGACGATCTATACCATTTCTTGTAGTCAGTTGAGGCATGTCCTCTTGTCCAACCCAGATGGAACATGTCAATCTTTTCAGCCAACACAATATTCATCAATGCTTCTTTGTCTTTAGGAAACAGACGCCAGTCTTCACCATCTTCTTCCAAGATGTACTCAAAAGCTGGTACAACAATTGCCCCTTTTCCAGTACGAAGAATATCCATTAATTCCTGATTTTTTCTAAGCGATTCTCTGAAATCTGTACACAAATGAAAGTCGACATCCAACATCATAATATAGTCAGAACGAGCAAAGAATTTGGCAACATTTCTCCACATGTTGAATTGTCTGTCAAATTTGTCTACTACCAAATGAATATCGACGTATTTTCCCACATCTGGATTATCATTGTACATATCGTGTAAGTCGTTTAGAATTACGTCTTTAGTATGATCATCATTGATGTGAATAGCTACTGAAATAGGACCTTTGTAGCGTGTTGCCAAGCGACTCAGGACGGGAAATCGATTATGAGTGACCAAAGTGGCAATAGTCACATCTTCTTGATCAAAGTGTTCAGTGGCTCTAAAATAATAAGGAATAACTTTTGATGGACCCATTGAGTCCGAGAAAACTTTACTCAACACTAAGTCCTCGGGAATTGTATGATTGTAACCACCTGTTACATGTCAATACAAGCATTTATCTCTGTATTTTTTTTATTTTTACCTTCAGCATTCGTCCATGAAACTGACTGTAAAGAATGATACTTTTGTTGCAGTTGGTTTACACTGAGTGAATCCGTCTTGAGTGACATTGCAGGTGTTGTTGATGATGAGAGGGAAGTCTGGAACCAGCCAAAGCCAAGTAAGTGCAAAGTAGCGTACAGAAAAGAGCACGCCAAATAGAGTGTACCGACTATTTTTAATATTCTCGAGACTGTTGAAGACTCCTTCATGATATGAAAAATAAAAAAAGAAAAGGAGAAAGAGATAAAATAATAACAAGACAAGGTGTTTACAATTAGGGATAATCAGTACGACATTAATTTTGTACTACTCTTTTAATAACAATTCTCTTTATCTTGCAACTTTAACATGGTGCTTGAATATGTTTTTTTTCTCTGTTAGATTATCATAGAAAAAGAGGTAAATAGCAATTGTGTTCTTTTCCTAAAAGACGCTTGCTTCTTCTCAATTAAAATGCTGCTATTTTAAGATTAGCGCAGGTTATTAAAATAGCTCCCCCCCTCCCCCAAACTCTGGAACTGTAACAACATGAACTTATTTATTGATTTTCTGTAAGCAGAGCAGTAGCATATTTAAAGAATAAAAGTCTTCCATCTTGTTCCTGAATAAGAGAGAATCCTTTATCGAAAACAGTCTTCATTTCCTCATGTAATTCTTCTCGCTTGTCTGGCTGGATTGTCTTCAATACTTTTATAAGTGACAGCAAATTAATCCAAGCGAAGGAAGTTTCTTTCTCTGTCTTTGGGTCTGCGTCTGTCAAACCTACTAAATTTTTGTATTGGTCAATTAAAGAATACATGAGTTTGATGCGATGTTCATCTTGGATTTGTTCTGCATTGTTGGTATCGACAAACATCAAGAGAGCATCTTTGTCTGTCTTGACTTTAGCTAAAGGAAGTGATAGAATACATGCGATATATGTGTAATAGCCTACGGTATGAGACACACGTTCACTAAAAAGACACACACATCGATAGGCTAAAGCGAGTAACTGTGGCCTAGGTAGATCTATTGTTGATAGAGAGTGAATCAAGCTCTTTGGATCTTCATGACGTTTGTTTTCTAGATTAATCTCAATCTCTCGTAATTCGGGTTCCAATAGTTTAATTTGAGCCAGTTTGTTGACCAATAACAATGTGCCTGGTATCTTGTATTGCGCAGTATGGATCAAAAGAGTCACCAAAGTACGCAAGGCACCTATCAATAAGGGCTTTTTACGAGTATCACTGCATGCTAATTGAGCGAAATGGTTCCACATAGAGAGCAGGATGTTGATTGAACCAAATAAGGTAGATTTATCAAGAGGATCGTTCTTAAGTGCTTCTGTCCAATCAATCATGAAAAGAGGCTTTGTCATTTGAGGATTGCCTTCTTTGACAAGTGTGTTCATCCAAGTCTCGCAGACACCTTGAGGTAAAGAATGCATTACATAATAATACAAAATCAATGTCCACATGTAATATCTATCGTTGTGAAGCAAATAAAGACCAGGCGTATCTGTCAATGAAAAAGTAGAATATGTGTCAGTAGCGATGGTAAAATTATCATTGCCTGTCATCATTTTCAAGACTTCGCCAAGACCATTGAGACGAATAAGACGAGTCAAGACTTCCACTGTTCTAGCAGAAGCTATAGTGGATTCTAAGTAACATATAAGTATATATGTTGATTTCTTGCATAAGCATATCTTACCAAGTGAGTCAAATGTACCATGCGACTTGTAGATATCACTTAGCAGAGACTTGATGAGAGCTAATTGGGCAACAAACGTAGTTTCTGATAAAATGCCTTGCCAATGCACATCTACAGATAAAGGAAATTGTTTCTTGGTTGTTTCAAAATCATCTTTAAATTGTTCACTTGAAGGGCCATTGACATACATAGATAACTCTAATTTAAGCGCACCTAGAAATTCTTTGTCTTCATAATCTTCACAGAACGCCTTGACAAGCTGATAGACAACCAACAATCGCTCAGGATGAAGAGGCAATCCGAACGCATGGCGTACATGAAATGTACTCAAATCAATTTCAGGAGGAATACATAAAATGGTGGCATTGACAGCAGTCATTATTTTTTCATCAAACTTTTTATGTTCTGCCTTACGATAGAGCATAATAAAAAGTGGACTCTCATAAGTTAAATCAGTTAATTCAACTTGTACTGGCTGGCCCTGTCAGGTGTTAGTATTCAAAAAAATAAAACAATGGAGACTTACTGCAGGTAAAATAAACTCTTGATTCTTTTGTTGTGCTTGTTGTTCCGTGTCAGATTCCTTATCATAAGTAAGTTGCATGATCTGAAAAGGGAAACTTACTTGATTCAAGAAGAACATGTTGATTGTCATAGTGTAATTATCGACTGTAATTAAGCGGCGAGGTCTCGGTGGAGGTCTATAGAGACTGACGGGTGGGAAATTTTCTTGATTTGAATGAAATATACGCATAGAGATTAATTGTTCAAATTCACGAAGTGTCGATAATGTAGATTCATATGCTTTAACACGATGACTATCGCAATGAGCGATAGCAGCATAAGGTGTATTGGGTGTAGATATAGATCGCGGCGTTATTATGTGTGATGATGGTGCTGGTAACGGTGGTGGGGGAGGAGGGGGAGGAGAGCTAGGTGGCGGTAAATCAGAAGGTGGAGGTGGAGGTGGTAGAGACGATGCCATATGCTGAATTGGATGATGATACGGAGAAGGGAACATGAAAGTATTTGGATGTGGATAGAAAGGTTGTCGAGATTGAGCTTGGTTGAAATATAAAGGTAGTTGGTATCCAAAGTTTGGTAATGGAGTTGAAAAGGAGTTGTAAGATGACATTGTGTCTTCAATAGCCCGCTTCTTTTTCTTGTTGCTTGATTTAGATGACGGGCTTCGTTTTGTGCCTAATTCTGGTGCAGGTTCTTCAGACTTCTTGTTGGGTTTAACCAATTCTTTCCGGTTGTTTTCGATTGATAAGCGTACTTTCATAGCTAATACTTTGACTTGTATTTGTTTTTGTTCATCTCGTACTTGCTGCAATTGATCTTCTAATCGCTTTATCTCTTGATCTAATGTTTCCATTTGATCATCTTCAGGAAGATAATCTTCTGCAGAAGCAAAAGATTCTGCGTCTGTGTTGTCTTCACTATTGATAGACAACTCTTGTATAGAGTTAAGTTTGGTATCTTGTACAGATGATGTATCATTATCTTCTAAAAGATTCACAACTTCCAAATCGGAAACCATTTCATTGGCCTGTTGTTTGTCTGCCTCTTGCTGCTTTTCTGCTTCTTCCAGGTCTTTTAGCCTGTCTAAAGCGAGTTCCTTTTCCAATGCTTGTCGTCTTTCCAGAGCCTGTTTGTGCTGTGCTTCTTTTTCTCGAATATCTCGTTTTAATTTCTCAATTTCTTCTAGCTTTTGGTCATGTACGCTCTTTGTAAGTTTTTTAAATGGACGTGTAGGTGTAGAAGGTCCACTGTCGAGTTGCCAACTATCGAAGGGGCCATACATTTTTTCGATCGTGTCGTTGGTTACGTCGTCCTCATTGAGCTGGTAAACGTATTCTCGGTTGCAGTCTTCTACAAGCGGTAATTCAGGTTGGAAAACGTCTTCCTCACTGCTTATATGGTCATTATCAACCTCGGCCATGTTCAAAGAAACTACGAATAGACAGATATACTAGAATCAAAAAAAGCCAACAACAGGAAGAGTAAAGGAAAAAAAAAGAGGCGGTCACATTGGCTCTACGCACAGTGATTCCTTTTTTGGGAGATGCGTATTGTTAGGTATTTATGTTCCCAGCAACAAAAAGATGAAGCTTAACACTCTTTCTGTCTCAAAAATAGTCAAGAAGTTTTAGGAAAGCTTTTGTTTGTTTCTTGAAAAATAAAATATAAAGCTCGGGCGGCTGTATAGAAAGTATTTGAATCATTTATCGGTTCTTGGGATTTGCCGATTCATTCCAAAATTTGTAGAAACGGCTCTATTGTCTTATTTTAAACCAGAATACCTCAGTAGGTCCGGTACTCTCAATGTAAAGGTTTCACAAGAGCGAGTCCTCTGTTTTAAAGGATCAAGGTTTTGTAGAGAGAGGCTTCTTTACGTATACCATGGCACAACAAAGTCAACACAAGTGTATTAGAGGTAACTATGAGCTAGGGTTTACTCCATTTTTATGCTTTTTTTAAACTATCATCGAGGCAAACACCATAGAAGCATTGATATCAAAGCGGGAAAGTCAACAAGATTATTGATTACTTATGCACAATTGTAGTTTTCTCACGTTACAAATCATTTTTACAGACAAAAAACGCTTTTTTATTTCATGTATGTATATATGCAATAGCTATAATTAAGTACAAAAGGATAAAGAAAAGAGAAAAGGGGATATTGAGAGATTTTTTTTTTTACAATTTAGCTTGAGTACTAGTGGAGACAATGTCATCATAAAGCAAATCGGGAAGGAAATCATCATAGCGTTCACCAGTAACATTAGTAGCGAATGCCTTCTTAGCAGCTTCATACTTGCTTTGTTTGAATTTATCAGCACCAAGGTTCTTGCGAATCTTGTCAGTTTCTTCATCCAATATTTGAGCAACATATTGGCCGGTAACTGTCTTGCCTTGGTCTGTACGGACTTGGTGATGGACCCATTGATACAGTTGAGATCGAGAAATTTCATAAGTAGCCAAATCTTCCATTAAATTGAAAATAGGAACACAGCCAACACCTCTTAACCAGGCTTCCATATAAGCCAAACCAATTTGAATGTTTTCACGGATAGAGTCTTCAGTAATGGTGCCCTTAAAGTTGATATCAATCAAGTCAGTAGCAGTAACTTTGACATCATCACGGCGGATATGAAGTTGGTTGGGTTGAGGCATGTGTTCATTAAAGATATCAAGAGCAATCTTGACAAGGTCAGGGTGAGCAACCCAAGTACCATCATGACCAGCAGTGACTTCACGCAACTTATCGCTACGGACCTTGTCCATGGCAGCTTTGTTGGCTTCAGCATTGTTCTTGATGGGAATTTGAGCAGCCATACCACCCATAGCGTGCACACCACGCTTGTGACAAGTTTGAATCAATAAGCGAACATAGGCGTCCATGAAGGGTACAGTCATGGTGACTTGAGAACGTTGAGGCAAGACGAATTGGGGATGATTACGAAGCTTCTTGATGAAGGAGAAGATATAATCCCAACGACCACAGTTCAAACCAGAAGAATGATCACGGAGTTCGTAGATGATTTCGTCCATTTCGAAAGCGGCAAGAAGTGTTTCAATCAAGACGGTACCACGGATTGTACCACGGGGAATGTTAAGCATGTCTTGAGATACATTGAAGATATCGTTCCAAAGTCTATAGTCAATTAGTCATCAGAAATTCAGTGACATTTTGATTCTCTTACCTTGCTTCCAGATGAGATTCCATCTTGGGCAAGTAAAAGTAAGGACCCTTGCCACGCTTGACGAGTTCCTTTGCATTGTGGAAGAAGTAAAGAGCGAAATCAAAAATAGAGGCAGAACAAGGCTCACCATCCACAAGGAAATGCTTTTCAACCATATGCCAACCTCTAGGTCTACGAAATGTGTTAGCCAATCATAAGGTATCGGAAATCATCGTCAGCCTCTCCCCTCCCCTCCTCCCCATTCCAATGTTTTTCACATGAAATCCTTCACACACACACTCGCTTCCTTTTCTTTTTTTTATATTCACCAAAAAAGGTAATTTACCTAACAAGAAGTGTGGCGATTTTGCCATCTTTGCGAAGAGCGTATTTCTTGCCGTTAGGATTAGTAAACTCAATAGTCTCACGAACAGCATCTCTCAAGTTCACTTGACCACTAATGATGTTTTCCCAAGTAGGTGAAGTAGAATCTAATACATGATCAGTTTTCATTCTTGCTGAAAAAAAAACTATCTTACCTTCAAAATCAGCCATAAAAGTATAAGCACCCGAGTTTGATGCATTAATGACCATCTTACGGTCAACTGGACCAGTAATTTCAACACGGCGGTCTTGAAGGCCAGGAGCAGGAGGGGCGGCACGCCAGTTGGGATCATTACGAATATAAGCTGTTTCGGGCAAAAAATTAGGGAGAACACCGCGATCCAGCTCTTGCTGGCGCAACACACGCTTTTGCATCAATGTCTTACGGGTGGGGTTAAAGATACGGTGGAGAGTAGCAACAAACTGCAATGCTTGAGGAGAAAGAATTTCAGCTTCGCTAGTAGTGACAGGTGCCAACACAGCAACGCCGGGAATACTAGACTTGATCAATTTAGCGGAACGAGATAAGACAGCAGACATTTTTAAGGTAGAGAGAAACAAGAAAAAGAGAAAAAAGGAAAATAAAACAAAGGGAATTTATACTTGTACAAACTGATATCCATCTATCAAGCATAAAGCCAATTCATGGGACTGCTACTCCACTGAGTCAAAGTATACTTGTTTATCACATGCTAGTTTCATCATATTCACATGGACTTGACTGATGAAAAAGCGGAATAACAGCGAGTACAATTTAAAGAGACGCGGGTAGTTCCTCCTTGACTTCTTCTATTTTCTTTATTAAAAGAAAATTATGGCATTAAAAAAATATTTTAAATTCCATTATCTCTTTGTATACCTATATGGATTTTTTTATAGCCATCTCGTTTGAAGGGTATAATCAATTGCTCTTAAAACTCCGTTAAGTCTGTTTGCCTATACAGTGCGGCTGGTTGATTGCATTTGTTTTGAGGAATGATTGTCACCTGTACTTCGAACTAATTACTTACTATTATATAAGAGTTTTCTCTCTCCTAATTAAAAAAAAAAAAAAAAAAAAAAAAAAAGCCTTAGAAGAATAAACATACAAAATCAAGAAATCAAAGTGAGAAATTTTTACTACTTATGTTCATAGGTATATACATGATGCTTTTCTACACTATTTGAACTCATCTTAAGGAATTACATACACTTACTTTTTTAAAAAATATCAGGCTAGGAATCCGGGTGTTTAAACAATTGGAAAGATTACAGTACTCAAACGGTGGGACGCTTTGGAGTATCAAAGATGTCTTTTGGATAGAAAAATGAACATCTTGATGAAGACGAGCTGCTAGAATCACTTTGTCTAATTGAGTGTCTTGATTTTTCTTTTGAATGTTGTTTACAAGTTTGATACGAAATTCCTATGATGAGATTTGTATGTAGACAAATGATCTTAGAGCTTATCTTTGCTTTTTGTTCCTTACCACAAATTTAAGCTTCTTAAATTTGACCTCGCTATCTACAAAATCTTCAAAGTTAGGCTCATTCGAGGGCAAGAAAAAGTGCTTGATTGCTGAAACAGAAGCAACAATATCTTCATACTGGTACAATGCATTTAAGCCTAAAAAAGGAAGGTATGTAAACACTCCGTCCACTCTAAAAAGATGCATAAATATATGGATTTTGAAAATACAATTGTTATTAGTTTTAAAGTATATTGGTTCTTTTCACTTTGTTCTGAAATTTTCTTTTCTTAAACAAATATTCTTGATCCAGAAATATTTGATATATTACGGATTCCTTTATATCTCAGAAGTAATGTATGATGCTTTTATATGTGGCAGTTACTGCTGACACATTTGTTGTGATAATCAGCTTCTTGAGTCAGACATATAAAGGGCTGAAAAGAAGGCCATTAAATGTATGGCACAGTATTCAAAGAGCAATGATAAAAAGTCATATGAAAGAATTAGTTTGCTTTATAATATGCGAGCTTTGTGGCATCGATTTTATTTTTGTATTTATCACTAATTTGCCTGTATTAGAAATCACATTTACAAGAATGATGTATATTGTTTTAAAGAGCCATTATTCGCTAGCCATATTGTCGAAAAAACGCTGAAATCATTTTTATGCACAAATGGATACAACATCAAACTACAAGGGTAAAAGTCAAGCCCTAAACAAGTGTTTTAATAGCATGACAAGAACATCGATAAGTCAATTGGATCCAGAGAGAGAAAGACGACAAAGCAATGGTCGTATTTCCCATTTGTTTTTGTAAAGCTGCATAATATGATGAAGAACAAGCTGGATCATATGTAGTTCACTATTGGCATTGATGTTCTTGATCTACTGGTAGAGGGTAATAAGCAAGTTTATTTTTATACATAACTTTTGACTATTTCGATATAGGCTATGAGGCCAGGCTATGAGGCCAGGCTATACTGAATGCTTTTCCTAGAAACTATTTTTCGAACTCCGGATATATCCAAATCATTCCACCTTAATGAATAAATGGGAAACAACAATGAGCTTTAAAGGCCATTCGTTGCAGCACAAGCTTTAATTCAGAAACTTTATGTAAAACTGGTAAACAACATTCGAAAAGAAGCAAGAAAGTACAGAAGATCAAGATATTCGTCTTGATACAGTAATCTCTATAGGTTGGGCCTAAGCCATGAAATTTTTGGACTGCCTTTATACAGGTGGCTTGGTTCAGGAAAACATATTTAAAATCAAAGGCTTGAAAATTTCTTTCAAACTCTTTATATTTCTTCAGGTTTGTTATTCAATAAAAAAAAGTAAAACAATATGGTATGGTTCCTTTGTAATGGTGTTTTTTTTTGTACTTGTTGATCTGCATGAGAAAAACACGCAAGTTCATTCGCATTACACACTTTATTGCTCTTCCATAGCATTTGAAGTGTACCGCTTATGTAGCGCTTGCAAGATTAAATAGACCTTCGTTTGAGGACTAGTGTTCTTAACCATAATGCTAGACTATAGGTAGACTGTCTACATGCACCTTTACTTTTTAAACCTTTAAGAAAATGAAAACCAATAAACTTACATATTTACTCTCTAGTCAATCCTTTTCGCTTTATTTTGTAATGTTTTATAATTACCTTTTGCCAAACCCCCCCCCCCCATTCGCCTCACTACATCAAGCTCGGCCCTGAGCATGATGGTTTTTTTAACTCACTGTTTTGACCAAAATCCATCACCAATAATTGTAAAAGTAAAATCAAACACTCATACCCGGATAAATGCTTGAACAAAGAACATGCTTCTTTTAACAAGAAAAGCTTGCAATTTATCTAATTTTTATTTTTCCATTTATAGCCAGCGTTTTCTTGGCTTTGGTTGTGTTAACAATAGTCAATGCAGCAGTGTGTTGCTCCAATTTTGGTAAAAGTTTGAAGCCTCATTGTAAGTATTTGCAACGGAAATACGTGTATGTGTGTTTATATCTTGTGATTCGTCTTTTCTTGTTTATTTTATTACATAGTAATTACACATCATAGACGCTCCTCCATGTCCCATCATCTCAGTGAACGTACATTATCATTGGATTAAAAAAAAAATAAAGAATTTCCCTTTTTGATTGTGTCATTTCCCTCCTTTTGTCACTCCAGAAATCTAGCAGGAATGCAATTGCATTACGACTGGCATTGGAAAGCTTGAGAGTTTGGATAGTTGAAAAGAGTGAGTCTAACTCTTATTGTATACTTTTCAGCCTTATTAATTAATAGCAAAAAAATCACATTAATTATATTGAATGGGGCAATCTCGAAATTTGGAGCTTAAGTTGTTAGCCATACTAAATAAAGCAACAATATCAGGGCTTGATGAGCTAGAAGGCAATGGTGAATAGTTTGACAAAGAGGCGGAATAACAGCAATATCAAAACACATGGGTCACATACAACAATGTTTGGAGGTTTTTCATAGTAGCAAATGATTCAATTGATGATAAAGAGTCTGGAACTTTGACACGACCAATCTCAGTCATGGTATAAAAGCGCTTGTGAATTCTCTGCGTCATATAAAAAATCAATTGGAATCCGTTAACTTGAAATGAAATGGTAGGATGTCCTTTGTTTAAACAATTGTTCCTTGATAAAACGGCCAATTTCAAAGTGTCTATACAAAGCGATTGTGTGGTGGTACTATCATCCCCAGGTTTTACCTCGCCATACCCAATATGTCTTCCAAATCTCGATTGGATCAATGTTGATATGATTGCATCTACTCGTATTTCAGGTGTTACTTCATCCATCTTGTTTGGCCATCTCAAAATGACTTTCTTCGTGTTGTCCGCTAAGATCGGTGATAGCAACGGCTCATAGTATCTGGTTTGAATATCAACTTCGCCAACTTTGTTCTTTTCCACTATCGTGTCCAAGGGTAATTTCGTAAGCCTATTGTACACACAGAATAAGAAAAGATATATAGGCCCTTATTTAAGCCCTATTCATCCGACTACACTTACATATCACCAATTCCTTCAATAACATGCCCTTTTAAAGAATCCATATCAGCAGCAAGCGTTAATAATTGAAGTTTCGCTTGTTTGGGTGTCACAGTGTTTCGATTAATACAAGTTAAAATGTCCATCACATCCATGTACTCTTTTTTTTGTAAACTCGGGGCATGTATCTGGACTTTTATTTCGCAATGATTGTTGTCGATCAATTGACAGTTTATCAAGCAACCCTTCGGTGAAAAAAGACATCATCGTATTGCTGTGTTGGTTTCTTGCTAAAAATAGGACATCGCCCAAGGCTAATAATTCTTGGATGTTGCTTTCAAGCATAATAGGTTTAGCTATTTCGTCAGAGTGAATTTGATAACGTCGGAAAATAGCCGTAACATCGAAATCATCGACCAAATAATGACCAAGATCGTTTTCATTATTGATAACTGAAGTTGGTTCTGATAATGTTGGTGTTGGTATTTCTGATGGTGTTGATATAGCTGGTTCCGATGTTGGAGGCGTTGGTCATTCTGATGCTAATGTAGTACTTGCCAAAAGCTGTTCAGAGTTTTTTACTAAAAGATTGTTCGCGGCAGTAGAGCATTTTGAATTAGCTTCCACCAAAGCATTCTGGCTTCTTTGTTCTGTCCAGAATTGTTTGCAAAGAAGTCTCTCTTTCCAATCAATGAAGTCCTGTTGAAGACGAAGCTTGTCATTTGATGGAATATGATTATCAATGATGGCCTTATAACGGGCATGGCATTTAGCTTGATCAGTATAGCCGAATTCTTTTGCAAAAGACATGACATCCAGGCTCTCCTTGTTTCTCAAGCACCAAGAAGTATCCACTGCCAACACGCGCGGACGCTTATTACTTGACCTGATTGTTGGAGTTTTTCGCTTGCTGTCCATTTTGAACCATAAGATTGAGCTATTGAACAATAAGTGTCAAGGTGTTAAGTAATCAATAATCAGTAATCACAATTAGTCAATAAATCAGGTAGTATAAAAGACAACCTGGAAAACATATATTTTAGAGAACAATCAATTTGTTTTGTAATAAAGAAGTATTGAACAGTCTCACTGTATTTCTTTGTTTTCTTTTTTATTCTATTCTATTTCCATTTCACAACCCAAACATCGCAACCTTGGACTTGGGTTCTCCTCCACACAACTTTTTATTAATTTAAGTAATACTGACACTAATGTTTTTCTATGTCAAGTTTCAATACTACAAGTGTTTACATGGCAAGCAGCGAAAAAAAGTGACGAACCTTTGCATTACTGGTTGAGGTAATTCTGAGTCAATCTAAGAATATACTCAGTTTATTTCAGTGCCAAATACAAGACAGTCTGAAAGGAATAACAATCAAGTGGAGGATTATTTTGTGGAATCAGCAAGAATAATAAGCACATACCAAATATAGAAATCTACCAAGGCTCACTCATGGTTACGGAAGCATACGAATCAAGAATATGTTATCCATAAAGGAATTCTCAAAAGCACTTTGTTTATAAACTAATGCAAATACAGTGCTTACGGTGTCAAATGGCGGATATGAAAAACTCAATCAGTGGATTTTCAAAATCCAAATTTCGTTAATAAAAAAGACGTTTTTATTTTTTTACAACTAAAGATGTTGTTTGTCTCTACATTTCTCAAAAGCGTTTATAGTGTTGTATAGACTCTCTTATAGTTTCCAAAGGAGTATTATTACATGACTCACTAATTCTAATGAACAAGTCTTCCTTATTCTCGAATTCACTGCGTCTAACTCTATTTTTAACAATAGACCAAAATTGTTCAATAGGATTCAGTTCAGGTGAACAAGGTGGAAGGTATACACACCTGTACCCTCTATCAGTAATCAAACGGTCAATATCTTTATAATGATGGATAGGAGCATTATCCATAACGAGATAAAATCCTTTTAATTCAGGGTATTTGTCTAGTTGATCTAGCGTACCAACCAGGAACTTAAGATAGTGGCCTTTGTTTTTCTGTTTTTTTAGACTTTGCCACCTTTCTTTTGCGACCACCTGCGACTATAATTCTTTTGTTCATCTGAGGAACCCTAACGTCGATATTTACGACACCAACTGTAGAAATTGCTCCTAATACCGAATGTGATTCAGCTTTGGTGAACGGTGTTGTTATAGCAGGGGTACTACTAGCTGATCGACCATAAGAAGGCCTCATGTTGATATCAAAACCAGATTCATCAATAAAAACGTAGTTTTGAAGGTAATTCGTATCTGAGTTATCTTATTTGATAACCCATTCGTATCTTTCTTGGATACGCTGTTCATCGTTTCGAGCTGCAGGATGACGAACTAATCTTTTCCTTGTCAGATTACACTCATGCAAAATGAAGCTATTCACTGTAGAACGTTTCAATGAGAATCCCTCAAAAGCTTTCGTCAAACTATCAACAACCTCGTCTGTCGTTCTATAAGCCTTCTCATCAAGCAACTGAATTATATGCTGTTTTTGAGGTTCCTGAAGTTGGCTTTTTGGTCGATTTCCCATCTTGTTTGTTTTTTTTTCTCATAAATATTCCAGTCAGGGTCTGTTCTGTTTCTTTTTGCCCAGGCCTGAGCTGTCCTCGGAACAATCCCAGCGCGTTCGCCTGCTTTAGCTGCGGAAAAAAACTTGATTTTCAAATAGTATAAAAATAAAGTCTTCTGATCATCAGTATAAACACCATCGCTATTGTCGTTGCGCACTTTGTCGGCTATATATTTTTCTACTCTCTCGGTCGCAAGAGAGATTCTACTTTCCAAATCTTCATCTTCAGGATCTAACTCAAAGGGAACAGGTTACGATTCCTTACAATCGGTTAAATTAGTCAAGTTTCTGAGGTCAAACTGTTCCCCATCCTCAATGATGTAGTCCATTGCTTCATCACCTTCTTCTGTGGTAATTCTACCTCGACCATCTTCCATTAGAAATATGTGTCTGCTGCTCATTCTTTATAATCTTAAGAAATGAAAAAACATCTTTTGATGCAGAAAATCCGCTGATTGAATTTTTCATATCCGGCATTTGATACCATAAGCACTGTATATCAAATCCATCTCTTTTGGGCTGAGTTGATCAATGATTCTTATTTCGTGATCGTAGTTTCCAATAATTGGCTCAAATTTGATAACTGATATGGCGGCGTCATCACAAGTTAATTAAAGGGAAAGCCCTACACTTTTTTTTTGTTATTTCTCTTTTGTTTTTTTCATCAAAGATGTCTGATATCACTACTCGCCAAGTCGGTGCCCTTTACTCTCTTGACTACAAGCTCTACTTTGGTAAGTTTTTATATGCGCGTGTGAGTGTGTGAGTGTTGTCGTGTTGACACATACCATAGAAAAGAACGGTGTCCCCGTCTCTCCTTTCCACGATATCCCTCTTTTCGCCAATGCTGAAAAGAACGTCTTCAACATGGTTGTTGAAATCCCTCGTTGGTCCAACGCTAAGCTTGAAGTAAGTCTAAAAACGCGTTAAGGTACAGTGTCACTTATGTATCACCGTAGATCTCCAAGGAAAATGCTATGAACCCTATTATCCAAGATACCAAGAAAGGTAAGCTTAGATTCGTTCGTAACTGTTTCCCCCACAAGGGTTACATCTGGAACTATGGTGCCTTCCCCCAAGTAAGTCAAATTGCAAGTCACGTATAGTTTTCTAACCCTATCTATCTAGACTTGGGAAGACCCTAACCACTCTCACCCCGAAACCAAGGCTCGTGGTGATAACGATCCTATCGATGTCATTGAAATTGGTGAGCAAGTTGCTTATCCCGGTCAAATCAAGCAAGTCAAGATCCTTGGTGTCATGGCTCTCTTAGATGAAGGTGAAACTGATTGGAAGGTCATTGCTATTGATGTCAACGATCCTTTGGCTTCCAAGTTGAACGGTAAGGATAAGGGAATTATAGGGAGTGTGTATATTGATCAATATGCATGGTAGATATCGAAGATGTTGAAAAGTACCTTCCTGGTCTTGTTCGTGCCACCAACGAATGGTTCCGTATTTACAAGATTCCCGATGGTAAGCCCGAAAACGTTTTCGCTTTCAGTGGTGAAGCCAAGAACAAGAAGTACGCTACTGATATCGTTCTTGAAACCCACGAAGCCTGGAAGGGTCTCATCAACGGTACCTCTGACAAGAAGGACATTGAAGTGTAAGTTACAAAGAAAAAAGAAGAAAGAAAAAGAGAGAGAAGCAAAGATTATATATGCTCATGATTTTTTATAGTGTCAACACCTCTGTTGAAGAATCTCCCTTCAAGCAAGATACTGTTGAAATCCCTGCTGTAAGTATTAACAAAGTTATTTTTTTGTGTGCACACGACTCATTGTATGATAGGCTTCTCCCGAACCTGCTGCTCCTATTGATCCCTCTATTGACAAGTGGTTCTTCATCTCTGGCCACACTTTGTAAATTCCTTTCTTAAGTTAATTCAATAAAGAACAAAAGCTCTTTTGTAACAAGTCCATCAATAGTATTAAACTCCAATAAGAAGTTGGCTTCATTAAGCTATTTTTTTTTTTTTTTTTTTTTTTTTTTTGGTGTCATGCATTCTTTAAACTGCTGGATCACCCTAAAATAGTAATCAGGCTGATTCAATCACCTATACATCATACACACACACTCCTTAATTTTCTTTTTTTTTCTTTTCAATAATATTTATAATATGGCCAACGTAGAAGGACCTATGTTTGTTCATAAAGAAGACGACACTACAGCAACTTCTTCCTCCTCAGCCAGTGACGATAACAACTCGCTCACAAGACGTACGAGCTATTCTTCAACTGACTCTACAGATAGCGATCCAGTCAAGAGTTTCAACAAACTGAGAAGACAAGGCTCAAGAAGTTCTATACTTTTGCAACCTAACACTCAAAGACAAAGAGGAGGAGAAGGTAGTGCTTTTTTTTTTGTTTAAATCTGTGTTCTCATCGTTCTCTTCTAGATACTAATACTTGGACACAGCATAAAAAGCATTTTTTTATATTAAGTAGTGCAGGAAAACCTGTTTGGACAAGGTAATTTCTCGTAAAGAAATATGTTTACTTACAAGAATATTTTAGATATGGGGATGAGAGTCGGTTATCTTCTTTAATGGGTGTAATACAAGCCATTATCTCCTTTTTTCAAGATAGTAATGACACAATAAAGTGAGTTATATTGTACAGAACCATATACTCATATTCGAGAGTAGGTCTATTAATGCCGGACATCACAAATTTGTATTTTTATTAAAAGAGCCCCTTTATTATGTTTCCGTTTCAAGAACAGGTGAATCTGATATTCAGGTATAGACTATAGTTAAATATGCTGTTATGCTTAAATCCACCTAGATCCGTGATCAACTTTTGTATTTGCACAACCAAATCCTTAGCGTATTAACCAGTGTACAGTTAACTCGTATCTTTGAACAACGAGTCAATTTTGATTTGCGTAGATTATTGGGTGGTACTGAAGTCTTCTTAGACAGTTTATCCACCTTATTCCACAATGATCATAGTTTTATGCTGAGTGGTCTACAATGTTTGCGTATGAGTAGAACAACAAGAGATCAAGCAGGCGAGATACTGTCTGATGGTAGAGTCAAAAACTTGTTATATGCTATGGTGGTAGCTGATGGCAAACTCGCGACCTTACTTCGACCTCGAAAACACAGTTTACATCCATCCGATCTCCATTTACTGTTCAACATGCTTACAGGATCCACTACATTTCATACAGCCGAATCATGGACACCTTTATGCTTACCCAAGTTCAATCCAAAAGGCTTCTTGCATGCCTACATTTGCTATATTGAAAAAGGCGTGTCCATTGTGGTGATCAGTACGGACAAAAGCAACTTTTTTGAGATCAGTGAATGGAAAACAAAAATTGTAGAAGCAATGCAAAAGAAGGTAGTGCTGCAGTATATTAAAGATGCTGCAGAAAAATCGTATATGGTAGAGGATATTCAGGTGCCGTCATTGTTGCATTTCATGTATAAATCCAAAGTACATGTTCAGTTTACAACACCTGGCTTAAGTGGAATGTATACCAATGATTTGGACAAGAAGCGATTGTTTAGAATGTATCAGCACTTACATGATAGAATGCATCACAAATCAAGGCCTTTGAAGCTATACTATGTAAATAGTGAAAAGGAGGCTATGTTGGGTTGGGTAAGTTATTCCGTGTAAATACGATCATACTCATTCGAATTAGATTACTTCTTCTTTTGAACTATATGTTGTATTCCCCTCCAACACACCAAAACCCTTGATTATCTCAAGCTCAAATCAGTTGTTAAGATGGATCAAAAAGAACGAAGAGAACCTTTTTATTCTAAATTCGCCTGTATTCTAGAACTTTTCATCACCTTCTTCCTTTTCTCTCAAATTCATAATTTCCAGTTGGCCTTTTCCTTTGCCTTCCTTCTGTAATAAATCATTGATCGTTCTGTATTTACCAGGATCTATCAGAGCAATCTACACAGATATTAGACATTGTTTAGTAATCTGCGGCTTACAATTTCAATTTCCATAGATCCAGAATCTTCATCTTCAACTGATGTCAATAAAGGCATGATCTTTTCACGCAATTTTTTCGATTCCGCAGACTGCGGCAATGTCACTCTTAATCGCATTTGAGCACGTTGAATAGGCAGTAACTGCTTCTCTTGAAGTTGTTTAATCACATCCAATGCTTGTGATTTGGTACTACGTTTGGGATTTACACTAAGATGGAGGTCTTGCATTGCCTTTTCAATCATAGTCACTGTATAAGGTCGCTTTGTTTGAGGATTCACACAATTATCCGTGACAATATTGGCAATATCCTTCCACAGTGTTTCGAGTTGGTCTGTTCTTTCTTTTTCGGCTACTTGGAGTTCGCCCTTTTTGAGGATTTCTTGAATAACCTTATCCATATCTTCTGTCTTGAAGCATTTTTTCAAATCTTCTTTACTGACGACTTGTCCCTTGGAGACATTGAAAAATACATTGTGGATTTGTAAAACTTCGTCCAAGTCAGTCTCTCTATAATTATCTTAGTAGTCTGTACAGTGTTATTTTAACTTACACGTTAGAGCGCCACTCCATAACTTTGTTTTTGTAGCAGGCGAGTTCGAAACGTTTGCCCCCTTTACGAAGACGAACGATAGATACATTAGTCAGCCTAATAGAGAGATAAATATTCAATGTCTTTTTTTTTAAAAAAAAAAAAAAAAAAAGTCCTACTTTATCTGTGTATTGGGTCTTTGAATAACCATACTATGAATTAATAATGAAAAAAAAAAAAGAAGAAAAAGCAGTGACTTTTTAAGAAATCCATAATATTCTATGCTGGGTTCACCAAAAATACCACAAAACTTTCATGGACCGCAGCAGGTTAGTGGGTAACAAGATCAAGCAAATACCACTGATATTCATTATGATGAATGACATCTTTACTAGTTAAACTAAAGCTGTAGACATATAGTATACCGTATCATACTTAATACATGTGCGATAAATTATTTGTCGTATATCATGCGTCAAAGAGATTATTGACACTTTGGCATCGCCATTCCTTTCTTTGATTTTCGGAGGATTAAGTGTGTTTTCAATATCACAGAGACACTAGGTAAATAAATGCTTTCACTGTAAAAAAAGACAACGATCCATAGATATCTTCCTCTTTTCTTAGACAAATTAAGGTATTCCAAGGCCTGTTTATACATGTATGAACGCTCTAAATACCTACAAATAGTGTCTGCTAGCATCCATAGTACATTTGGAGATGGTATGGACCAAAAAAAGCGACTTGTGAAATTTGACCGAAATATGCCTTTCGAGCAAAGGATACTACTCATGGAAAAAGCTTAATTTGACAACACTTGATCTTCTTTTTGACGCTACAAGACGAAAAATCGAGCTATCGACAAGTTTAAATACTCAAAGTGTGCGTCAAAGACTCTGGTTTTTGATCACTGTGTTCGCTTAACAGTTGTACTATAAAAGCAACGAGATATAAGCAAAAAACCTCTTAAACATTTTTGTTTATTTGCTCAATATTTTAGCAGCAACATTGTTGTGTTCTTTGTCAGCATACTGAAGTCAGATAATCGCATCTTTGTGCAGTTCTCAGCAAAAGCTCCGTTTTTTTTTTTTAAAAGCGTAAGGTAAAAAAAAATGATTTTAGAGTTTTATGAAAGAGATAAAATGAAATTAAAAATGAGACAAGGAATATATAAAAGTTAAATTTAAGCGAAACAGTGGTGAAAAGAAGAAGGAGAGATGAAGGAATCAGTCGAGACAGTTTGTCCCTTTAGCAGCGCGGCGGGCAATTGCCCAGAGGGTTTGACTGAAGGCTATACTGGCAAGAAAGGGTTCTCTTCGATGGATATTAGTCCAATGGGTCTTCCAAAGCTCTGAGAGTACAAAAATAAGGAGCGCTTCAACTTCAATGGGATAAAACTTATTGAAGTTGATTTTGTCAAAGTTCAAGGATTGAAGAGCAGAGGAGATATTGTCGATAGAGGTGCCAGGCCAAAGGAATTCACAAATAATAGTGTCTCGAAAAATGAAAGACAGTCTCAACTTCTTGACAAAAAGAACAAAGTGGGGTAGGAGCAGTAGAAAGTGCCATGTTGAAGAGAAGGGATCTGGTAGAGACTTTCCCAGTTATCAAACGATAAATGGTGTTATGCTGTACGCTGGTAAAATTCATGCACCAAAAAAGTTTTTAAGCAGAAGCAGAGACAGAAAATTGATTAACATCTTCATGCAAAGAGGCCTTCACCAGTGCGATTTTAAAGAAGCGTCGAGCATATTGAAAGGTATTAAATTTAGGGTCCGTGATTGGTAAGTTCAAGACATGGATAAAGGAATAAAAGCCAATAGAGCGCTGAATGGCTAGTACGTAGGCAGGATTGTAAAGTTCAAGGGAAGAGGGAACTAGAAACTGTTAAAGAAAGGGCTCTAGTTGACATCTACCATCATTTATAGCTCTAAGGAACTTTCGGTTAACAAAGAAAAGATCTCGAGAGATGTTAGCCTCTATAATGTGTTGGAGGAAATGTTCTTGAGGATAATAGACATATAGAGCAGAAACAGGAAGAGATCGTAGTTTCGGAGACAAAACATAAGATGTGGAAAGGGGGAAGACTACTGAGAGAAGTAGCAAAAGACAATCAATTAAGCTAGGCATGTATGTGTAGTTATTGCGTGGAATAAGATCCATAGTTTGACAGATCATTGTGACAGTGTTGGTAGCCATGAATCTAAACGAATGTGGACGAGCTCGAGGGAAAAGTAAGTGTAGCAAAATATTGTCCGTCTGAAGCAGTTGGCAGCAATGGTAGAGAACGAAATCATGAACTAAATTACGTTCTGCTGTTGGGTGTAGGAGCGGATGAATCCAACGGAAGTACAGTGAGCTTTGTTGGATTTCAAGTTCCAAGACACTTAAACCACCAAATCTTCTAGATGTAGTCATCAGTTTCCAACTTAAGCGAAGAAAAATACCATGAGTGACAAAGGAGGTGATTACGCTTTTGATGGATTGTAGAATAGCTTTTGTAACAGGTGTTACTCCTAGCAAATACCAGCATTTTGAGAGGATGAACGTATTGGCTAGTAGCACGTCCTAGTACGGACAATCTAAGGCTAGCATACGAGTCAGCGACTGCTTTCAAAGATCCAATAAAAGAGGAGAAAAAGGCTGTTCGCTGTGTGGAAGATTGAATCAAAGGGAAACCCAAGTAAATGATGGGATCAGCATTTTTGGAATCCCAGATCTTGTTAATTTCAAGGTCTTCTAAGACAGATAACCACTTGTCACTCATATCTCTACCTGAAAGAGAGAAGGCTCGGACTTTGCTGAAGTTGATTTTGGCGTTAGAGGCATCGCAGTAGGTGCGAAGCTGAATATGCAGCCTAAGCAAATCATCAACATTGTGGAGGAATACCATAGTATTATCAGCATAACTGAGAAGCTTGATAGGTGGCAGGTTCGGTTGAATATCAGTCAGGTTGGACTTAAAACAGTATCAAGTAAACTGATTGTCCATGAGAATGGTTTGCAGCAGAGGCTCAAGAACAAAATTGTAAAGAATACAAGAAATAGGATCACCTTGCTTCAAATCATGACGTTTGGGTACTAAAGTAGAAGACAACCAAATATTCATGTTGATGCAAATTCTGTTTTGCTGGAAAAGAGAATACAATCAATCAACCAAAGGTTCAGGAAAACCAAGATGTTGTAAGACAAGAGATAGGTATTCTAGATTAACCCGATCTTATGCCTTTCCTTGGTCTAGTAATAATCCTAAATCTTGATCATCTTCATTGAAGTTTAAGGCAGTGTTTTCCATCATCATTTGAGTCAACAGACTATGTTCAGCAATGAACCTGCCAGGCATAAATTCTAGTTAGTGGCAATTGATCATAGGATATGCTATCGACATGATGCGCTAGTTAAGGATTCTAGTGAAGATTTTGTTGTCCGTATAGACCAACTGAATTGGTCTATAACTGTTTGCAGACGTCAAATCACCCTTTTTTGGAAGCAATGCCATCAATGGTATTAGCCAAGAATTAGGAAAAAGAGACTGTGACAAAGCATCATTGTATATCTGAAGAATAAGTGGCTTTAGGCAAGGGATACGAAGTACAATATTTTTATACTCTCGAAGGATTCTGTTTTATTCAGATAGCAAACGCTTAATGATTTTAGTTTTCCAATTAAGTTGATCTAACTGAAATTCTCGGTTGTATATTTTGATTTGTGCCTTTAACTGATTCCGAATGTCCTGAGCTGAGTTGCCAGACTGTAGGTTTTCCTGCTCAGCATAACTTCTTATATGATCTGCAAGACCCTCTCGAAAGGTAGCCAATTTCGCCAAAAATGGATTACCCTTCCAGGATCCTTTTACCATTGCTGCTGAAGAAAGCTGATAGTGAATCGTCAGTAGAGCATGATCTGTCCAGCTGTACTTTGCAAAAGATTGTGACATAAATTTGATATTTGATGCATGTGGTAATGAACAGAAAATGTAATCAATATGGCTACGACTACCAGTGGTGCCGACAAAGGTAGGTAGCAGATAGTAGACTGGTCCAATCTACATCTATGTTCGATTGTTTGTGAATGTTATAGTTGAAATGATCAACGACAATGATTGGGATGATGGAAGAACCTTGTCGATTTTGCATCCTTAATGACTTCAAAAGTACCTAGCATTTTAATAATGTTCAAAAAGTGTGTTTAGGAGCCCATTTTGTAGATAGTTTATCAGTAGAGCCTTCAATCTTGTCTCATAAAACTTATTTTTATCCCTTTTGCCTGTAAAATAGGTGTCGCTTCTTTTTTATTCTACATGACGATACTTACATATCTTAGTTTTTATGAAATAAATGTTTGTAATTCTAGTAGGCTTATTATTTGTCCAATGCTTTTTGTCAAACAAGTAATGAGAACAGAAACCGAAATACTTTTTTGTTTCAGACAAAACTATATGTATATTCACATTATGTTTATCTTCTTGTGACAGATCTCATGTCTTTAAGATAATTCTATATTAATATCTTGATGTATAAGGAATGCATCACTCGGAAGGATAAATATATCAGCCTAGTACCATTCAGCCTTGTTTAATTGTTTGATCTGCATGCAGCTTCAAATCTTTTAAAAAAGAGGAATATAATTTACTGATTTGGACATAATCCCTAATTGATAGTTGGCATGCCTCAATTTCAAAAAAAGAAATCTGTTATTTATATAAATATACACGTTAATTTAACAAGAGATGGTGTCTTTAGTAATTGTTTGTTTAAATAAATTTATAAGGCTTGGATTTAGCAAATTCTAAAGGAAAAGGGGAGTACATCTTTGAAGAAGGAGAGGAGAAGGGGTTTACTTTTACGCCTGTAATTCAATTATGTTCTATTTGAACAAATCTGTGATATTCTTTGCAGATCCATCTCTAATTGAAATAAAATGTGTGGTTGTGTTAAATCCTAATTATTAAATTATGCCTAAACAATCTAAATAAAAATAAACCAAACGTATTCATGACAATGGCTGTGGCATAAACTTATAATTAGTTTGTGGCACATACGGAGCACGGAAGTATCACCAAACACAAAAAGCCCATCATTATAGATACAAAAAAAAAGAGCTCCTTTTATTTTAGCACAGGAGAAGTCCCTTTTTTTTTCTTTGACAGAGATCAAAAAAGAATTCTCAAAAACAATAACTTTTCTATTAAGATGCATTACGCATAAAGTATCCTATCCATCTTGCTTGTCTAAGAATAAAGAGGCAACATATCTATTTTAAAAAGAACAAAAAATGGAATGCAACACTAATCTGAAAATGTCATATTTGTGTATGAGAAAACTCTAGAAAGCATGCGTAACAGGAGACGTGTTTGTGTATGTACAAAATTTGATATTGAAGTGAGGGAGACGAAAAAAGCACATGGTGATCCCCTCTGCACTTTAACTTTATATGCAGCATAATAGTAGTTTTTTTTTGTTTGTTATTGTTTTATTAAGGTTATTATTGCTATTATTGTATTGAAAAAAAAGTTCATATATAATATATTTCAAGATGGTATTATTATCACTGCTCAATGGTATTGTTGTCTTTTTTTTGTTACCATTAAGCAATGAATTAAATGTCAATAAATGTATGAAAAAGAGAATGAATTCTCGGAGCGATTAAGGTGAAATATATGTATATATATATATATGTGTGTGTGTGTGTGTGTGTGTGTGTGCGGTTCAAAGCAGTTTTAATGCTTTGTTTAGTTGAGGCGTCCAATAGGCAAGGTGAAATAAGAGGATTGCTTAGTCAACAAACCAGACAGGGCATTATACCAAGCAATTAGAGCAGTGACAACACCAAGAGCACCACCAGCAACCTGGCAAGGAACAGATTCATTTAATTTACCAGCAGTCAGCATGATGAATGTGATGAACAAGAAAAAGAAGAGAGAAATAAGACCAATATTAGAGCGATGCGAAGCGATCAACATGATACCAGTAAAAATAGTCCAACCTAAGAGATAATAGCCAAGCGATTTTTCCAAAAGAGCTTTGTCAGTACCATAACTACCGGTAATGTTGGCACCAGGAATAAAAATCAAACCAAATGAGAGCCAGAAGCCACCATAACTAGAGAATGCAGTTGCACCAAATGTGTTTCCTGTCTTAAATTCCCACATACCAGCCAAAAGCTAACAAACAAAATGAGTAAACAAGCACAGGCATGCAATTCTACCTTACCTGAACAAGACCACCATAAAAGAAAGCAAGACCAGTAACAACGCCATGAGGGCCTGTGGCAGGAACACCTGCACCAGCATTATGAAGTGATAATACAAATGTGGTCAAAGCGAAACCACAGAGACCCAAAGGGCCCGGATTAGCAATTGTAGGTGCAGCTGCTACAGGTGGAGGAGTAGAGTGGGCAACTTGATACTTGGATTCGACGTCTTGATGTTCGGAGGACATTATGTAAAATCAGGCTTATTTTGTCTGTAAATATGAATGTAAGAGAAAGAAAGAAAAATGTGGGGAATGGTACAATGTTGGGCCTTTTATATATGATTTGGTACTGTGTACACGCACAATATTTTTTTTTTCTTTGGGGGAGTAGCACAAGTGAAAACTTTCCAAGAGAAAGCAACAAGCTTTTATTTCCTTTTTAAGACAAAAACAAGAATAGAATGGCAAATTCGCGTAAAGGGGAATCTCACATATATAAAAAAAAAGGGCTTTATATGAAGGAGTTAGCTACTTTAGTCAAGGAAGCCAAGAATAAGGAAAGGTCTCATTGAAACATAGTATACGCTCCTTTTCAATTCATAGTTTTGACAACGAAACAGATGCTTTTTGGCATGTGTGCTGATTGGATACGATCTAAATGGAGCAACTTCTAAATTCAGATCTTCTCCCGACGTATTTGGTAAGTAGCAGACTTATTTTACTATCCAAGTGATTCATACGATTCTGACCAGTTATTTTGCGTGTGAATGAGAAAGAATGCAATAAAAAAGAATTCCATGTAATTTGATGGGAAAAAAAAAAGATGGCAAGAACAATAACAAAATCAACATAACCAGTCCTCTTACTGTATTGTTGTAACTGAAGTGTCAAAATGTCTTACAGATTTTACATTTTCTGACCGCGGATGGATTCCCTTGTGAGGTTAAAACAGTTGTTTAAAGACAAAAAAAAAACAAGGCTGAAATGGTTTGTTGAGCGTGTGTGAGTGTCACAAGTTGCCACTTGGGTAGATCCTCGTTTTTTCTCGGATTGTTGTTCCCCACACAATTTTGTGAATTAAATTCACAAGGATTAGTATGGTACGATGTTTTCATCTCAGGAACATATAGGAATATGTGTTTTTCTCATCTATAAAAAAAAATACCTTTGGACAAGTGCTACAAAAGCATGCTTATGTAATATATTTTCTCTTGTTATATTGTTGCATGTATTGGCTTGAGGTGATGAGAATAAAATAGATTCAAATGGTTTCTTTGAATTCTTCCCGAGGGTAGGACAAGCGGAATTGATTGTAAATAATTGTTGCTCCCCCAGCTTTACCCCACATTTTTCATCTTAAATATGGATCACAAAAGAAAAGAGAGCAGAGGCGATATAGTAGAATCCCATGCTTCAAATGAATAAGGCTAAAGCCATATCGAATCTTGTTTTACAGAAATCACTTAAAATGTAATAATTTTTGGCTTAGCCAATCAAGTGTTGCTTGAAATTTGTGCAAAATTTAGTTCTTTCATCATTCAAGCGTAATAATGGATTATTGTGTTTAGTAAATCACTAATGAATAGCAGAAATAAGCATTATTCTCTAAACTAATTGATATATATATATATATATATAGAGTCTGTCTGGAATGGTTGGAGAACAACTTTTTTTATATAAATAACGGTTACCAAACTTCTTCGTGAATGGATAGTCCTCATCTCAAAATCAACAACTTGCATATGAAAAATATCAAAAATCAGTACAAGCGGCCCAAACTTCCAATAACAAGCAATTCAAGCAATGGCCAGACATGATCATAAGCACTAATTTCAGTGTAAGTTATTATACACTGACCGAAACATAAATCAGCTCAATTTTTTTGTCATTTGAACCTAGCAACAAAGGCATCATGATCCAAGAGCCCTTTAATATTATTCATGTATCTCACGATTTTTTTTTCTGAAAATAGAAAACGCGTTGTTCTGAGGATTGCATTAAGCATGTTTTTTTGAGTTTGATTTTTTGATAGCAATGCTGACACTTTTCATTAGGTTCGAAACAATACAAACATGATAACTCGCCAGTTATCGGTCTATTGATCAAAAAAAAAAAAAGCCCCATGACCGAGTACATCCCGAGTGTTTTCGCCCAGTTTTATCTCGTTTTGAATTTCCTGAGACTCTCATTTCGAGTGTAATAGGACACTTCTTCTACATTGAACAAGCATTAAACGTGAACGGCTTTTTATCCCCACCGGTCAAGCAAAGACAACGACTCCAACAAGGCAATCCTCTTTCGCCAGTCTTATTCAATCTCGCTTTTGAGCCTTTTCTACTCAACAATGACAAATATTTTAACCCCTTCCTCTCGTTTAGATAGTCGCAATGTGTGGTATCGTGCTTTGCATCATAAAATACCCCATCGTACTACCCTTCATTTTCTTCTTCCCGACACAACATCCAATGCCTAATGCCTCATTTGTCCCTCTGAAAACAAAACAGAGCACCACTATCTTCTCTCCTGCCCTCATAAACTCAAAGTCTGGTCACGAGTATGACGTCTCTTTGCGTTTTTATTTCTCACATCTTAATCCCGCTAGAACAATTCATATATCACGTACACTTCGCCTCCTCTGCTGCAGTCGTTATTGGTTGTATTCTCTTAGATATCTGGCGTGCTCCCTGGCGAATAGTATTCATGGCCAAGAGAGAATACTTTGAGATTGTTTACACATGTTTATTAAACTGAAAAACAAGATATCCTTTACGCTTTGTTGGAGCAAAAATTAATATTGCTGTCCTAATTTTTCTTTTTAGTAGCCCAACTTATTTTCTTCAGCTGTAATTAGATCTTTTTACAAAGCAAGACCACCTTGGAATTCAATACAGCTTAAACCTTCTTCATAGATTTTGTAATTCAATAAGGCCCATTCACCTTCCTTGTTCATATAAACTTTTTCTTTACGTTCAATTTTACTCATATCAATATTTGAGTTGTCGTTCATTGCTTCCTTGTTATTTTCCCAGACATTATCATGCTCTTGATGACAAGTAAAGCCAGGCTTTACATATACAACAGGAATATCTTTTGTCCAAGTGGCTGTGCAGATAAACTCAATATCCATCCTAAAAAAATCAATGAGTATGGACTTGGATTTTTGTTTTAAACATTACCATGCAACACCACCTGCTTCTCTGTAACCTCTTGGAACCTTCCAAGTATCTCTATGAGCCATTGTGAAATCACCAGCTTGATCAGCTACTTCGAGAATGTTCATTGTAGTAGTTTTGTCTTGAATTTCGTAACTATTTGTGCTGGTGACTGTAATAGGTGGGGAAGAGTGTACTTGCCCCAGTTTTGGTCTCCTAATGAGCAGCTTTCATAAATCACTTTGTCACTTGAGAAGGGTTCCAAGTTAACAATGGAAGGTGGCAAATTATCATGACTAGTGTAGATACAATAAGTAAAAAAGACAAGAAAGTCTTATTAACTTACATGTTGTGATGATCTTGATGCTGTAAATAAATATAGCCCTTTTTGAAGACTCTAGAAATGATAGCATTATGGAAATTATGTGACCAAATATCATCTATAAGAAGTTAGATAAAGTCGGATGTATTACATTTTATATTTACCTTGGTTTGTACAGACAATAAATTCACCACGAGCAAACCGAATACCAACATTCTTGCCTTCAAATTCGTGCAGAGGAGACTTTCCTCGGTTTTGCATGATTTTATGAAGAGAATTGGGTATGGTGATGATTCTATATTTTAGATAATTGGAAGCCCTGAATCTAAAAGCATCAATGACTCTTCTTTTGTCTTGAGGAGGATTCCATTCAACAATCAATAACTCAATGTCTGTCTTTGTCTTTTCAGCCAAAATGTATGCAGAATCAATGAAGTTTTGAAGACGATGATGTTGACCACTAACATAACATGAGTCTTATTGGTTTGTAAACAAAAAGCTTACCCAGCATAATTATCGACTCGAGTTACAATAACAATAGAAAGATATGCAGAAGGCTTTTCTCCAGGATCGAGACATGACTCCCATTCCTTCTTTGTCATGTTTAGTTGCTCCACTTGCGCTGTGTCCTTGATGACATTCGAAGAAGGAGAAGATTGCTCTATTCTTGTCACACTGTAGTGTTGTTGATTCGACAAGCTATAAACGAAAAATAAAGAGATACAAGTGAATGCTAAGATAGCAGGCAAGAGTACCCTTTTGCTGGAAAGTAAACTCTTCAACTTGCTCATTGAATAAAGGAGGATGACAAGATAAAAAGGAGAAAGAGAACTTGCCGAGTCTAAAAAAGGACACTAAAAGAAGATCACAACGAAAATGAGGATTTAAAGCCCAGACACAAAAAAAACTTTCGAAGCCTTGTTTTCTCAATGGTTAGTAAACTTGTTCTCCAGCCAACCTGTAATGCCTTCTTTCTCTCGTTTTCTCAAGGTATCTAAGGAAAACGAAGTTTGAATAGGCCCTAATAGCAGTTTTCTTACACATGAATTAATACAGAGAATTATATACAGTAGTTAGCAACTGTAGATTGGATCTTCTGTATCACGTAGCACAAGAGTATTCCTGTAGCCTCCACATTTCCTTTCAACCGAAATATAAAAATATAGAGCATAGCCATTTTACGTTTTACGGAATACAGAAAAGCCTTGGAGATAAGGTTAGCAACCGTTGCCATGCTCATTTATTTTACCACGATAACCGAGATGATTTTTTATATTAAGGGCAGAAAAGCCACAGTAAGCTTACGTGTCAACTGAAATTAAGTAAGCATGTTATTTAAGCTCGCTTACGCATCTCTCTCTCTCTTTTTGCACATACAAGCATTAAAAGAATGTCTAGTTACTTTGGTAAATATTCGTTTTATATACATACATATGCAAACTGAAGCGCAAATATAGACGAACTCGGCATCAGCTCTAGTCAAAACAAAAAGAAAACATACGATGTTGATCTCGACGCTTTTATGAATCCTGAGTCTGGTTCTATACCCTCTAATTTCTTGAGAGGAAGCACCCAAAGTCATGTCCAGCAGCTTATACAAACAGCAAAGTAATGTGTCAGAAAACGATATAAGCTTTTTTTTTATTAATAGAATATGCAGTTTCTTTGATCAATTTAGACAACAAATGCAAGCAGGAGGTGATATGGATCAGGAACAATTCTTAGATAATCTTGTTTCTCAGCTGTTGGAAGAATCTCAAAACGATGCAAAGGGTCCGCCTCCTGCTTCCAAACGATTTATCAATACTTTGCCTATTGTTAAGCAAAATACATTAAATAGGTATGTCTTATAATCTAGTGCCTTATACTCAAATGTTGACTTACAGTGAAGAAACCTGTATCATCTGTAAAGATCAATTAAACACAAGTGAAGATGTTGTGACAAAAATGCCATGGTAATCTTCTATACTTTATAGACATATTTAATGACTGTCCTCTTTTAATAGTGGTCATTATTTTGATCGCGATTGTATTGTGCCTTGGTTGGAGCTACATCACACATGTCCTATGTGCCGATACCAGGTTGAGACGGAACAAATGGTACAGGAAGAAGAAGAAGAGGAGCAACGTAGTTGGATGTATGGCTAGTTTTTGTGTTTACATAAACAGAAAACCTTGTTCATACTTTGTTTTGTATAAGAAATTTTTTCCTCTCTTTCTCTTTCTTTCTATTTCTTTATACACACTGGAATGGGAACAATGTACTAATAAATGAAAACTTTAATGTAACTATAAAAGATTACAACTTCTTATATGACAATGTGTTAATGTAACAGTTTTTATTTCTTAACATGTTTTAAAAGTTCATGACCTGTCTTTAGTTTAACAAGATGAAACATCTGTATGTATATATGATTACTGCTTTATGCTACTTATAAGCTGACGCTTGTTAAAGAAAACCCCCTTGAATATGTCTGTGGTTAACTAGTGAAAACCAAGATAATTCTTCAAATTTTTCTTGTCCCTTTGTGTAAGCAGTAAGAAAATCAAATATTTAGACACTAGGAGAGGATATTTTCTTTGTTTTGTTTGTGGTCACAGGAACCTGTTATCGGAACAAAAGACCAATCAAGGTAGTCTGTATATGTTTTTTTTTTAATTTATCCCTCAAAGTATTTTACTGCTGCACAATTGACGCGTGCTTGTTAATTTATTCGATAGAGAAGAGGTTTTCTCGGGAATGCGGGATGTTCCGTGTTTTGCTATTAACAGGAATGGTTCAAGAGATCTCTTTTTTTATACAAATTGAAAATACAGTAATGAAGAAATGGTATTGTAAATTGAACGGTTCATCTGATAGTAGAACTCTCCTCCTCCTCCCTTTCCCGCCAAAATGGCCCTCTCTCAGCCCCTTCTCCCCTTCCATCCCCTCACTTTGTTAGTCTCTCTCTTTTTCTGTCTGCTAGAATATGCAATTTTAAATGTATGTTGAACAAACTATTCATGTATATGTACAGATTTTATGGATAGATGAAAACTGTTTTTTATTTATTTATTTATTTATTTTTCTTGATAAATATATATATATCTGTACATAATTCTTTCTTTCTCTTTTTTTTTCTCTCCCTCTTTTTTTTCTTTTTTCTTTGTCTCTTTCAAGAGCTCTTCTTTTCATTGAACAACAATAACTTTATTTTATTTGTCACACCAAACATGCTCGCAGTAGAAGACCAAAATTCAACAAGAATTTTTGCCTGTCCTCAATGTCCTAAAAGTTCGTATATCAAAATAAAAAGAGATCACACTGTATACTGACCCTTCTTTTTTATCTTTTTTTATTCTTGTATATATATATAGTTTTTGCCACTCGTTCTAACCTGTAAGTCATCTTTTAAACTCCCTCTTTTTCTTTATCCCCTCTTTTCTGACTATTTATCATAGCAAACGCCACATGGAAAATCCAAACATTCATAACATACCTTATGTGAGAAGCCGCGACCAAAAGCGTTGGAAAGGCCACTCTAAAAAAGTAGTCTCTAAAGAAGAAACAACAGAAAGGTACTTGTTGACAGCTTCATTTATTATGATTTCATTGACATTCTGATCTGTTTCAGTAACAATGATAGGATGCGTAAATGGCGTGCCGAAAACCGAGAAAAGAATAGGCAAAATGACCTTAGATGCCGTGTGTATCGCCTTGCACGACAAAAATTTGGCGAAGGTGATTCAATTGAAAAACAAGGCTTTGTCAGAGAAGAAATCGCTAGAAGACTAGGCCGACGTATGATGCTGGAAAAAAGAGAATCTAATCACAGCTGGAACAATCAACAAAAACCCCTTATGTCAACTAAAGAGCTAGTCGAATTACCATTCTATAGCGCACCTCAACAAAAAATAGAGCTACCTTCTATTGATCAGCTTACGCGTGCTGCTACTTGGTCATCTTCACCACCTGATTTTTCTTCCTCTTCAAGCAACTCCTCAAGCCCTGTCCTGCCACATCTGTCACCTACTTTGGAACGTCGTACAAGCAGTAGTAGTATCAGCTCTACTAACAGTAGTGTCATTATGCAGCAGAAGCAGCAGGAGAGCCATCGTCGATCCGCAACACCCGTACCTGGCAGCTTATTATTGTTTGAAGAGCAAGAACTAGGGGAACATAAAAAAGATGACGACGATAAAGACAACAATAACAACAACAACAACAACGACGATGAGTTTCGTGTGTTACCTTCTATGCATACCTTCTTGTCTTATGCATCCTCGTCAAATCATTTGTTTAACAATCAACAAGAACAACAACAAAAACGATGCATTTCTACAAAAGGTGGAATTAAATATGTAGAGTCCAACAAGATATTAGACGAGTTTGTCGGTGTGGTCTTGAACTACGTTGATAATGCAACGGTGGCACAATAAATCAGTCAATACATACATACACACACATATATACACACACATATATACACACACATACACAAAAACACACAAACATGCATCAAATTCAGATCTTATTTAATATATCCTTTTCTTTCAACGAATGAAGATCAACATCTCTTCTTGTTCATTCCCTGCTCCCTTGCTCCTGCCCTTTTTCTTTACATACACAAATAAAAATAAAAATTTCTTGTACATACACACATTTTTTAGTCTAAAGCTTATTTACAAGAGTATTGATTATGGTTCCACACAACTAGAGTTTTAAACAATTGTTTTTTATAGACTGTGTTTGTCATTAGAACGTTTGATGTCGTCTCAGTGGTATTTTAAATACTATGTGTTGAGTAATACACAACAGGTAAAGTTTATTATATTTTTTGACTCGATCTCTTATCAATGTCATGAAGATTGACTCTATTGCTTTTGGTTCCTATACAGATAGTCTAAACCAAGGTACATGTGATGAATTACTTTGAATAAACAGACTCAAGTCTTTTGCATGCTTTGGTGTATGTATAGTTGCTATTCACTATTAGGCATTAGACGTTGTTTTAACGAATGTCGTTAATTGTTCGATTATAAATATATCATAAGACGCAATTCGTTACCTAGAAAAGTGTCAATTACTAAAGACAATAAATACAATAAGCGTGTAACTTCCGTAAACAATGAAAGAAACTGGTGTTTTACATGACATTCAAGCTTGCGATTTAATAAAGGAGTATAGTCTTTGTAGCTATAGCTGAGCCGAAGATGAAAAGAGAAGAAAGAAAAAAATGAGAAAGTACCTTCTCCTTTTTCTGATATAAGCCTGAAGTCAATCAATTTATGCGTAGAACTAGTAGTGAGATCTATCACAAGATTGATCAGTTCTTATTTTCTTCTAGAAGAAATCTCTCTAATTAGTGAACTGTGCATTTTTTTCTTCAAGAACAAAATTACTAATGGTCGACAAAGTCGCCTTTATTCATCTTTGTTTTAGATCTGTCTACTGCGCTGCATCAAAATCAAATTTGTTCAATCTCAATCCTGTACAACTCATTTAGTTAATCTTCCGCTTAAAATTGCTCTGCGGACTTTCTTCCAAATATCTATAGATACAGATGATGGGCATCTTCTCTTTCTCTCTCTCTCTCTTTCTTTCTCTTTCCATCTTTCTTTTTCTCTTTCACTGTTAAATAAAATGAGACTGGTAATTCGCAACGATTATGATGAAGTATCAGCTTGGATTGCCCACTACATAAAGGAGCGTATCAAACAGTTTGAACCTACTGAAGAACGTCCTTTTGTTTTGGGTCTTCCTTCTGGTTCCTCTCCTATCAGCTTCTTCGAAAAACTAGCCGAGTTTTGCAAGACCGGCGAAGTAAGCTTCAAGCACGTAGTGACATTTAACATGGATGAATATGTTGGCATTCCTCGGTAAGATATCAATCACAATTATATTATCAAGTATGCGTAAGTGCGGATTATATGTTTATTCGATATTTTTTAACCCTTTTGGGTTCAGCGACCATGAAGAATCATACTTTACCTATATGAATACACATTTGTTCAAGCATTTGGATATCAAGAAAGAAAATATCAACTTATTGAATGGTAATGCTCCCGATTTAGAGGCAGAATGTCGACGTTATGAAGCAAAGATTGCAAGCTTAGGAGGTATTGAGTTATTTGTGTGTGGTATCGGACCCGATGGTCATTTTGCGTTCAACGAACCGGGTTCTTCTTTGACATCCCGTACACGTGTAAAGACCTTGGCGTATGAAACCATTATTGCAAATTCGCGATTTTTTGGAGGGGATATTACAAAAGTACCCAAAGTTGCACTGACCGTTGGTGTCGCGTAAGTACAAACCAAAATTTAAGCGATGAATCTCATATCTTCAGTACTGTCATGGATGCTCGTGAAGTATGTGTTATCATTACTGGTGCTCATAAGAGGTAAGAACTCCATCCCCCAATAAACCAATCCCAAACTGTTACACAGCGTAGCTTTAGCAAAGTGTGTAGAAGAAGGTGTCAATCATATGTGGACTGTATCAGCTATCCAAATGCATCCTAAAGGTTTGATCGTTTGTGATGAAGATGCTACTATGGAATTGCATGTCAAGGTAAAAAAAAAAAAAGACTGTTTACTAGTTCTTAAATCACCTTTTTCTTTTATTCTAGACTGTCAAGTACTTCAAGTCTATTGAACATGTCCATCAATTGTTGATTGGAAAAGAAAATTTAGGCCTTCAAGGTGAGCTTTTGTCACCTGAAGCGTCTACTGCCAAGACGACTCATACCAGAGGACACGAATTGCTTGTGTGGCAGTTACTGGACGCTAATCAAGCTGCGAGAGAAGAATATCTTTCAGAAGAGGAACTTGATCGAGACGATAGACCAAGACCTAGAAAGAGAAGAAGAAGCTAAAAGCATTCGATATGTCAATAAAAAAAATTGTTTATTTACTATAAACAATAGCTTGTCTGTTGGTTTTTTTTTTTGGCGATGAAAAGTAAATGTGTTTCATATTCTTTTTTGTTGGATTCAAACATATATGCATTGGCTTTAAGCATTCATATTAATGATTTAAAGCTACATATATCTTTATTTCAAGCTGTAAATATACTAAGCTAAAGAGGAAGGTCTAATAATAATAGTATCATTACCCAAAAATGGTAACGTAAAATCAAGTGTAGTGATGGGAGTTACAGAAATGCTTAAGCTGGTTGAGCTCACAGCAGAAACAGGGACAATATTAGCTGATCGAAAACAGACTGGTGGGATGATATCACCATTGGCACAATTCGTATTAATAGCACCTCCAGGGGAACCTGAACCTGTGTAGAGGGATAAGCAGTTTGAACCATAATTGTATCCATCCCAAGAACTATTTTCATCAGAGCCATCAACAGCATATTATGCACTTACTTGATCCAAGCTCGAGATTGAGCTCCTCGACAATCAAATAACAAGGTGGTAACATCATTGAAATTACTGTTGGTCACATTGACTAACTCGCCTCCATATTGTCTACATGTAGAAGAGGAACTGCTGCTTGAAACATTTGCAGGGGGGATAAAATATGGATCTCTTTGACATGCACTGGCTGATATGAATAGTGAGCATGTATAGTTTGCATAAAGACCTACTGGTTTACCTGGGATTTGAGGAATCATCTGAGAAGATGGAAGAGGTGCTACCAATGCATGCACTGAGGAAATCAATACAAAAGAGCCAAAAACAATAGATTGAACGGTATTATACATAATCAAACACAGCAAGAAAAAGAAAGAAAGAAATGATAGCTTAAATAGCAGATTACAATTCAAGGAATGCTGTATATACAACACCAACAGAATAAACTTTAGACAACAATGCATTCTTTGAAAGTTTATTAAACTCAGTATTGACAAGGCTCGATGGTTTCGTGCTTGTATTGTTTCTTGCCAGATCCATAATCACCAGCACATTCGCCATGGCCAATCAATTTGTACTTGTAAATCACTAGGCCTTCAAGGCCTACAGGACCACGGGCATGTGTCTTGTTTGTGCTTACACCTACTTCAGCACCAAAACCATAACGGAAACCATCTGCAAATCGGGTACTAGCGTTCCAGTAGCAGCCAGCAGCATCCACACGAGTCATGAAATAATCAGCTGTCTCTTTGTTTTCAGTGACAATAGCGTCTGTATGTTTAGAGCCATGATCATTAATATGGACAACAGCAGCATCAACATCCTTGACAGACTTGACTGCCATGATCAAATCCAAAAATTCAGTGTTAAAATCTTCTTCAACAGCATCTTGAATCCTAGATTGCTTGTATTCTTGAGAGACAGCATCAGAATCAAGTAAGACTTTGCAAACATTCTCTTCACATTTAAGTGTGACGCCAGCGTCCAAAAGACCAAGAGCGATAGTAACAAAATCGCCAGTCTTTAATAATGCTTCATTGACTAGTAGTGTTTCAGCAGCATTGCAGGCTGCAGTGTAGTTTGTCTATCATATGATGAGTACATCTTAATACATGTTCTGTTGGCTTTTTCTTACCTTAGAATCAATCGTAATTTTGACTGCCTTTTTGATGTCTGCTTCTTTATCCACATAAACAGAGCAAATACCGTCAGCATGACCAAGGACAGGGATTCTAATGTAATCTAAATATACCAATCAATTCGAACTCTGTATTACCTTGTATTGTTTTGAATGTACTTGACTAGACTGTTGCTACCTCTGGGAACAACCAAGTCAATGTAGCGATCCAAGTCCAACAAAGCACTAATGTCTTCTCTTGTTTCTACAATTTGTACGGCTGTTTTTGGAATGCCGTTTGATTCGGGCAAACTGTCCAAAGCATCTTGAATGACGCGAGCCAAAGCGGCATTGGTGTGGGTAGCTTCCTTACCGCCCTTTAAAATGACAGCATTACCGGATTTAAGGGCTAAACAACTAATGTTGACGACAACTTCGGGACGGGCTTCAAAGATAGTCAGCAAGACACCAACAGGAACAGTAAGACGATACAGCTCTAGGCCATCGTCCAATTTAGTTGCCATAGTCACCTTCTTGGTAGGGTCAGGAAGTTGAGTAATATCACTCACACCTGATAAAATAGTATCGAATTTATCCCCTTGACATACGTCCAAGCGCTTACATAAAGAGCTAGAGAGTTTGCCTTGGCTTACAAGCTCTTCGGCAATCTATCACGTGTATTAGCTAATGCAAACATATGCAGACCTCTTACTTTTTTATCTTGCTCGTTGGCCTTGAAGATCTCTTCACGACGCTCACCCAATACTTGTTTGATCTTTAAGAGAGCTTTATTCTTTTGCTCATTCGAAACAGACTGAAGGTTTACAGAAGCGAGGCGAGCAGCACGAGCGATCTCAGTAACAGAAGTAGACATTTTAAGTGTAAAGAAAGAAAGAGAGAGAGAGAGAGAGAGAGAGAGTTGATTGATTAAAGATAATCAGCACACTGAGTTTTAAAAAATACTCAAAAAAAAAGCATAGTGAATACCATTGATGTCATTGTACTCTTCTTTGTGCAAACCATGTGATAATTGTACACTGAAATAGTAGAAAGGACCTATTTATACATACAAACAATTCATATGTAGAGTATAGAGATACATTGCATGGCATTTCGACAGTTAGTTTTCATATAAAGAGAGGTATATAAGAGACATTGAAAAGGCTAGTAATTATTTTTTCATTATCATGTTAAGCATTATTCTCTTGCTCGCTTTGCTAGTACAGATTTGTACTGCTCATGACAGTACACGAGTCAGGAAATTCGAATTAACTATAAAATCCGCCTTACTGAATCCGGATTGCTCCAATCAGTCCTACGCTGGTCTTGTCATTAATGATCAATATCCGGGCCCTGCTTTACATCTTGTTAAGAATGACATTGTTCAGATAAAAATACGAAATGATGTCGGAAACAATGTGTCTTCAAGTGTTCATTTTCATGGTATTCGGCAAATCAATACAAACAATGCTGATGGTGTGGCTGCCATTACACAACTTGCAGTTGCTCCTGGGGAAGAATATGTCCAGACATTCCAGGTGATTGACCAATCAGGCACATTCTATTATCATGCTCATGTAGGTGTACAAGATGATACTATTCAAGGCCCTTTTGTTGTTCATGACTCTGAGGAAGCACTCCAGAAAGAAACCCATAGTGGCCCATACCCTTATGATGGAGAATTTATTCTTCAATGGGCAGAATGGTGGCATCAATCAATCTATAATCGAGAAGCATACTACTTGAGTCCAAGTTTTACTGCTGATGGTGGACCTGATAGTGTGCTACTTAATGGTCAAAGTGTGTATCACAAGATGGAGACAATTCCCAAGGACTGCAAAGGTTTTACTTATTTTGATGTTGAGCCCAACAAGACATATCGACTTCGTATAATAGGTGCTGTTACTTATCGCGTACTTGGTATGTTTGTTAAGCAACACAATATGACTTTGATTGAACTTGACGGTGAATATGTTCAGCCTTATGATCTGGATTCATTGGAACTTCATGCAGGACAACGTATGTCTGTCTTGATTCATACAGGAAATTATTCTGCAGGAACAACCTTTCCTATTGTCACTGATTACAGATGGAGGTCTAGCAATGCTGGCTACACGCAATCTGGCTATGGCTTTCTCCGTTATGTGGACCCCAAACAAAAAACAGAAGCAATAACCATCTTGAACAAGCCATTAAATCAAGATTTGCCAGCTCTTAATGCTACTAAGCTTAATGTACCTAGTTGGGTTCTTCCTCAAGTCAAGCCCCATGCTCCTGGTAATCCTGCGATTCTGAATGGTGAAGCTCATCATACAATTGTTCTAGACATGAAAGAAGTCATTATGCCTGACAATACTACTCGGTTTATTCTGAACAATAGACCTTATAATCCTAACCGTTGGGGAAATGCTACTGCTTCTCTCTATGACTTTGTTACTAGTGATCCTGATCCTGGAGTCTTGTACCCTGATGGTGGTTCAAGAAAGCATCATACCTATCCTGTTGGTTTAAATCAAATTGTTGATTTTGTCTTTCAAAGTCATTTCTTGCCTACTAGACCTGATCTCTGTGTCGCTCACCCTTGGCATACACATGGTTACTCCCATTATCTTATAGCAGAAGGCTCTGGTGATTATGTTCATGAAAGAGACAAGGACATTAGGACTTATACTGATCCTTTGTACAAGGATGTGAGTATTGCTTATCCCCGGATTCAAGAAGGCGCTGTTGGCTGTGGCTGGACTAAAGTTCGAATTTTTACGGTAGGATGTCTGCATGAATTCACACGCTCATTTTATTACTTTAGGACAACCCTGGTGTCTGGGCAATCCATTGTCATATTACTGCACACATGTTACAAGGCAAAGTAACTGTCTTGGAAGTAGCTGGTGATCTTATCGGATCAACAAGACGTACATTTAATCTTGACTAGTTTATGACTAGACTACTTGTATATGACGTAATTATAAACCCTGTTCTTTATTGTCTTTATATTAAACTGTCATATTAAAAGAAAAGCAGAGCAATTTTCGAGAACAAGTATCTTTAGAGTGTATCTTTACAAAAGATTCAAAGCTGTATGTAAACTCAATTGGTCCTACATTGCAAGTTTCCTCCCCCTCCCCCCTCCTCACACAAAATTATTTATAGTCTAAATTCAACACGGCTCGTTTTTTCCTTTTTTCACTTCTTTTAATTATTATTATTATTATTTTTTATACTTCCAAGAAAATGCCTTTACTAGAAGTGGGCTCTCGCTCAGTGAGTCACTATGACAATTTTGATACTTCACAGTTCCCCGAGTCAACTCACTTTTACTTATCAGAAACAGCAACAGAACGAGATAGCCGCATCAAAGAGCTATTTGATACACTTGACCGAGACAAACGTGGATTATTAGATAGCAAAGCAATCCAAAAAGGTTTTACAGTCATGACACATTTGCCTGCTCGAACAAAATACGCAAATGAACTTGTATCTCGTTGTGACACTTCAAACAATGGACTTGTTACTTTTGAAGAGTTCAAAGCTTATGTCAAAGATAAGGAAAACGAGTTGTGGAAATTGTTTACAGCATTGGATCGAAGTGGTGAAGGACAGCTTGATCCAAGTGATTTACAGATTGCGCTTCAAAGAGCTGGTATGGAAATCTCTAAAGAAGATGTTGTTGAATTTATGCAGTTAATGGATGCTGGTAAAAATATAAAAAGATATAGCTGTGCGTTTACAGTATAGTAATTATAAATAGATGGGAACGGCTTAATTGACTTTAATGAATTCAAAAACTTTCTTTTGGTATGTATACACATGCAACGATTTAACTGACTTGAATGACAGCTTTTGCCTCAAACAAACATGTGCGAGATGTATCGCTATTATGAGTCTTCTACTCAACTAACTCAAGACGGAGAAGTAGTGATTCCTACCACAGATGAAACTGCTCGAAACGCATTCAGATATTTGCTGGCTGGTGGTATTGCTGGTGCATTTTCTCGTACATGTACAGCACCTTTTGATCGACTCAAAGTGTATTTGATCACACACAGTGGCACACCCCAAAATCCAGTAACATTATCTAGTGCTGTCCAAGCTATCTATAGTCTAGGTGGTTGGAGAAGCTTCTTTGTTGGTAATGGTCTAAATGTCATGAAGATCATACCCGAATCAGCGCTTAAATTTTACTCTTTTGAATCGTCCAAGGAACTCATTGCCAAAGTACTCAGTTGCGAAGACAAGGACTCAATTCCAACAAGTGCTCGATTTGTAGCTGGTGGAATGGCAGGTTTATGTGCACAGTTTGCAATCTACCCAGTAGAGACTTTAAAGACACGAATTATGACACATCAATCGTGTGCACACGATACAATTTCTAATAAGGCAAATAACAGTCATTTGTCTGGTGCTGCTAAAGCTCCTTATTCAACATTGGCTGCTGCAACCATGACTTCATCATCTTCTTGTTCCAAGACTAACCAATTCACTACTGGATCTGTGATAAAGGAGACTGCAAAAGCAATGTATACTAAAGGAGGGATCCGTGCTTTTTGGCCTGGATTGGTAGGATAAAAACAAACGTCAATTCTTCTTTGTTAATGCTCTGGATATTTATAGACTCTGGGCTTGATCGGTGTATTTCCTTATCAAGCTATGGATCTTGGTATGAATCATCAAGGAGAAAGAATCATATCTTAATGTCAATTGTAGGTATTTACGAGACATTAAAGTTGTCCTATCTGCAGTATAGTCAAGGTGAATATAATCAAGATGGTACTCAAAAACAGCCTAATGTGTTTGTGCTTTGGGCCTGTGGCATGATCAGTGGTACAATTGGTGCAACAAGTGTGTATCCTCTTAATGTTATTAGAACAAGGTTTGCATATATACATTTTTTTTTGTTCGTAATAACATGAGTTATATAGGCTTCAAGCACAAGGCACAAAAGGTCATCCTAGACTATATAAATCACCTTGGGAAGCAGTCAGAATAACGTTTTTGGAAGAAGGTGCAAAGGGCTTCTATAAAGGCTTAGGACCCACTTTGCTCAAGGTAAGGAAGAACACTAAGTTCAGGGACGGCTCATAAATACTCTATAGGTTGTTCCTGCTGTAAGCTTAAGTTATGTAACTTATGAATGGAGTAAAAGAGAACTCGGGCTTTCATAGTATAGACCTTTTGATTTTTCTACCTGTTACCTTTTTTTGTATTTATTTCTCACATATTTCTTCATTCATTTTATACAACAATAATTCTTTACATTTAAAAATCTCTCATATATCCATATCACACGATAAATAGGCTTGCTTTTTTATTTTTAATAATTTTTTCTTATGATTGAGAGTTTGTATTTTCGCACAAATTAATATTTCTTGAGTAATAAATACAATTAATTAAATTATTTGATGATCCATAAAGATGATCAAGATTGAATTTCATCTTGGTCATTGTTATACGATTCAGTTGAGACTATGCATTACTAATTAATGACAAATCATCAAATAAAGCAAGAGCTCATTTTTATTGTAAAAATCACGCTTCCCTCATTTTTTAAATGCATTGAAGTTATCAAATCAAGAGGCTCTGTTTAGACGCCTTTATTTCAGTGTATAGTATGCATTTCTTTATCGTATTTGTAATAACCATATCGAACAAAAAAAAGGGGGATCATACATGCTATGTATCAAAAAGCTTATAATATTTAATTGACTTGGAAAAGGACGATGAGTACGTAACACTATCTGCGCGCATTAATCCTTTGCAAGTCTATGCAACATGCATTTGAAATGATGTTACACATTATCTCTGTACTTTCTTGAAGCAATTGTTCCTTCAAGAAATCTAGTAATACGGCAAGTGTATGTTCAAACGATTCTCATGATAAAAATTAATGCATGATTATAGATCCTTGAGGAACATAGCACATCTATATCCAGGCCATTGTACAATTTTCTGACTGCTTCATTTAATCTGTACTTCATTTACTAACACATTAAAACACTTGCTGTCATACATTGGGATCATATTACGTTATTTTCAAGATATTCCTTGAATTTCCCTTTTGCATATAAAATGAACATTTCTCCTTTTTTTTTTACATTATAATCTTTTCTTCTTTTAAGTAATGGTATCTTTTTGGCATCCAATTATTGGATGCATTGGTATTATCTCCACTGTTATGGTCGTCAGTACAAATGCTTCCCCTGTCTCGCATGAAAAACGCGATGGTACTGCTTACAATTACTGGACCACAAAGGCTTTCGGTGCCAATTTGGGTAATTGGCTTATCCTCGAAAAATGGATGGGCTCTTCCATCTTTGACAAATATGCTCCTCAGGCTACTGACGAATGGACGTTCTCTCAACAAGCATCTAATCCTGCACAAGCATTGCAAGAGCATTGGAATAGCTGGGTTACTGAAGATGATTTCAAGAAGCTAGCAAGTGTCAAGGCCAATCATATTCGTATTCCTGTAGGCTATTGGGCATTTATCAAACCTGATGCTGGAGAACCTTATGTATTTAGTGGTCAAAAAGCGCAAATTGAACGTATTCTTAGTTATTGTAATACTTATGGTATGTATGCCGTTATTGACCTGCACGGTCTCCCTGGATCTCAGAATGGTGAAGATCATTCAGGCCATTCGGGTTCTATCGGCTTTTACTCGGATTACAATATTCAACGTGGTCTCAAGACTGTTCAAGCTGTTGTCGATTGGATGAATGGACTCAATCCTACCTTAAAATCCAGAATTGCTTCTATCCAAAGTGCCAATGAACCAAGAGTATCAGGAAACCAACTTAGTATTTTGAAGAACTATTATCAAAAGGCTTTCAACATTATTAATGCTTCACCTTTCAAGGTTCCTATGATATTTCATGATGCTTTCCAAGGCCTTGGTGCATGGAACGATTTCTTACCCGTACCTGCCAATGCAGTGATTGATCTTCATCCTTATTATGCTTTCCCTCCAAACAAGGACACCAACTCAATCATTGGTGGTATCTGTGGATCTAGAGCTGCAGCTAAAAAATTTCATCTTCCTGTCTTTTACGGTGAATGGTCATTGGCTTCTGGTGTAGCTAGCCAAGAGTGGTGGCTCAGACAAATGATGGATACTCAAATTTCAGTCTATAAGTCTGGCGCAGGTGGTACCTTTTGGGCCCTTAAAAACGCCATCAACTCTAAAGAATGGTCTTTTGAGCAACTTGTTGATGAAGACATTATTAATTCCGGCACTTTTTCACTTCATACAAATGCTCAATGTTAATTTTCTGTTTTGTTTTTGCTATGCAATAACAAAACAAAGCAATAAAAATAAGTGCGTTCCTGTTTAAGATAGTTTATAGACACGCTCCTTTTTATTAAATGTTTGTAAAATGATAATGCTGCTCTTTTTTTTTCAAAAAAAAAAGACATAATATGATGTTTGTGAATAGCGCAATATGGGATTACCTTAAAAGGTTCTTCCATAAAACGACTTTTATTCAACATAATAGCAAACTTTGTGCACAGGCAATCAATCTTATAGGGCATAATAATAAGAAAAATTAGCAGTTACAGAAAGTGACCTAAATATTACTTTATAACAAAAAAAGAGCAAGTGCTCAGGGCACAACTTTGAACTAAAAATACCCTTAGTTTTGATAGCGACAACAAATGGGCTTGTTATTGTAACTTTAATAACATATCAAAAAAGCAAGAAAGCACAAAAAAAGAACCTTGTGAATGTGTTACATGCTAACTGAATGCCTGCTTAATTAGTAACACAGTGTTTTTATGCCGCATATAATGCTAAAGATGTTGTCGCTAGTACCCATGACTGACTTATTAGTCTAGATTTTGTTCTTTGGGGGTAAAATTCTGAGTTGAAGCTGTTTAGCTTTGTGACAACCCACCAATAGAAGATGTCATGATAAATGCTTGAAACACTCTTCTGCTTCATTCGACATCATCGATCATGTATTGTCAACAAAGCCACGAGATTATATGTTTTCTTTCCTCGTGAAAACTACGAGATTTATGAAAATAATAACAAAGATGTATAGATTGATGTCCAAAAACGATAAATAATTTATCGATCTTGGTAGAGTATCTCAAGTCATTTAGCCCCTGAATCGGTGTACCAATCATCCAAAGTACATTAGCAATGGTAAAATTGCTTACAACGCGTAGAAACCTATCATTTTGTCTCGTTAGTAGGCAGTCATCTATCAGGTTTGTGTGACACCAACTGACGCGTTCCTAGTCATTTTTCATCCCATTTTCAAGGACAACCTAATAACTCAAAGCAGACAAATGTGTGAAAATGTCAAATTATTTTCAAAGACATGTATATGAATGAAATTAATTTATTTTGCTCGATTTGTATGATAAATGTTCCTATTGTTAGACACTCTCACTGTATCATAGTTACATAAAAGAGTATAGTTTTTTTTTTTTTTTTTTTCATAGTTAAGGGATCCACGAGAGGGATTTGTAATGCATGTTACATATCAAAAGTTCTTGAAAGGCAAAAAATGTCTATTAGACTGATGTAAAATTTTTTCTTTTGCTTGCAGTTTGCCCCTTGTGATACAGAGTCAATATAACAAAAGAAGCACTTATATGATAACGACAAAAACTAAAAGTAGAAAACTAAAAGAATACTTAACCAGCTTGGTTTATATGAATATCAATTATCAAACCGGATACGTGCTCCGGGCATCAAATTTGAATTGGTAAGAAAAAGTAGGACAAGCAATAGGTTTTGCTTTCAATTTTCAACTAGTCTGTGTGCAAGGTGTATTTTCCTTTTTTCTTTTTGTTTGTATATCATGTGAGGTACAAAGATAAATACAAAATACAACAAATATTCAGCTGAAAGTGTACCTTAATCATAAGCTACTAAAAAGGACCTTGATTTTGAAGCAGCGATAAAGTTTATGATGCCCACGTACAGAGTCCTATAAGGCATGGTTTTATATGGAGTATCATTTTTTTTATGCATGATGAGCGTCAGCCCATTACTCAACTTGCTGGTTTTCATGAAACGCTTTTAAACAAGTCATACATCTTTTTTTTTATTTCTTTCTCTTTTTCTTCTCCTTTTTCTTTTTCCTTTCTTTCTTCTTGTTTAATACACATAATTTTTTTGTTACATAGAATATAAAAAGTATTCTTTATTAATACGACATGACTTCAACAGCTGTTAGGTACAACCAGCTATTAATTATACATATATATATATATACTAATTATGCTCTAGAGTCGCACTTCGTGTTCGTCCTCTGACACAAAAAGAACAGTTATCAAACTGCACAGAATGTATTACATTTATCCAGAATGAACCACAGATATTAATAGGAAAGGATCATTCGTTTACTTACGACTACGTTTTTGACACAAATACGGCACAGCACTATATTTACGATACAAGTGTCGTTCCTCTAGTAGAGAAGTTTGTTGATGGGTAACAATAACAAGAAAAAAAGCTCTGTAGTAAAACATAAAATTTAATACTTTGTCATACCTATTTTATTAGCTTCAACGCAACTATTCTAGCCTACGGGTATGACAATCTTTTTATACTTTTTTTTTTTGCGTACCTCTTCTTAAACTCAAAAATTTTATGATAGTCAAACAGGCTCAGGAAAAACCTTTAGTATGGGAACTGCTCTCGACGAAAACACAGATTCTGAACAGCAAGGTATGATGGTCTATTTTTCTCTCTCTCTAATTAATGATCTTGTTTTTAGGCATCATTCCTCGATTTATCAATGATCTATTCAGAAGACTTGAAATCAAAAAGCAGGAATCACAAGCAAATGAATATAATGTTTATGTGTCGTTTCTAGAACTATATAATGAAGATTTTGTTGATCTACTTAATGCAGCATCACAGTTACAACAGCAGCAAAACAGAAAGAGATCTAATTCTGTTGTTGGAAATAATCCTACAGCACCTGCATGCGAAGTTCAAATTCGTGAAGATATACACGGTCAAATCTATTGGAGTGGTGTTCGTGAAGAACAGTGCTCGAGCCCTGACGAACTATTAAGATATCTCACAAAAGGCTCATTATGTCGTACAACCGGATCTACAGACATGAACTCCGTGTCTTCTAGATCACACGCTATTTTCTCAGTCATTCTAAAGCAAAAGGTTCCTGACCAAGATAGTGAAAATCAAGAACTACGCACTATTGTCAGCAAATTTCACTTTGTCGACTTGGCTGGTTCTGAAAGAGTAAGCTATAATTTAGAATTCTATGTATTGACACTCAGCCAATTACTTTAAAAAGCTAAAACGAACAAATGCCCAAGGCAACCGTGCTCGTGAAGGTATCTCTATCAATTCGGGTCTACTTGCTTTAGGCAATGTGATTAGTGCTCTAGGTGACGAATCAAGAAAATCAGTACATGTGCCTTATCGAGACTCCAAATTGACCAGATTACTTCAAGACTCGTTGGGTGGTAACTCACAGACACTCATGATGGCTTGTGTGTCACCTTCCGATTCCAATTTTTTGGAAACACTTAGTACTTTAAAATACGCCAACAGAGCTAGAAATATCAAGAACAAAGTGACCATCAATCAAGAATTTGCTGGGTCTTCTGTTGAAGTAAACCAATTAAGGGCACAAGTAGCAAGACTGAAATTAGAGTTGAATATTCTAAGAGCGAACGGAGGTGCAGGAGCCAAGTTGGCTGATACCAATAATAACGGAAGCTCATCCGATATGATGATCAACAATATGTTGTACCATCAACATAGTGAAACGAGTGGGTCTACTGCTGCTGCCAAGGCTCTAAAAGAAGAAATCGACCGTCTCAAGGCCCGTGTCCGGACCATGTCAGATGATATCTGTAGAATCACTACCGAACGAGACTCCTTACTTATGGAAAGAGAATTAGCTCAACACTTAAATTCTGAGGAATGGCCAAATATTATGGACCAATTACAGCGTAGACCCTCTTCAACTTTATTGGACCAATCACCTATTAGCTCATTGCCCATTATTAGTCAATATCAAAAGACAATTCAAGACTTACGTGACGAATTAGCAGATACTCAAGAAAGACTCGCATTTTCAGAGTCTATCCGTGCTCCATTAATGCATGCCATGGCTATCCCTCCAAGTGCAAATGCTACCCCTACCCCTTCTTTTAAAACTCGCCATCAACAACATCAATTGCAAAAACAACATTCTTCCACAACCAACAGACGTCGTGGTGCTAGTAAAAAGAGACGCACACTCAATGGAAGCACAACTACTTCTAGAAATGTTACGTTTCGCTCTACGAGACGTTCCAAGGTTCCTAATGTATCAAGCGCGAGTAATAATAAGAATTCTGTTGCTGCTCCCTCTATAGAAGAAGTCGAAGTTGATGACGAACACGAAGATATTGAGGCTTGGTTACAAGCTACTATTGGTTCTATTCAAACATCTGAATCTTCCGGTCTTAGAATAGACGCTAAACAGTCTATTAATAACGCTCGATCTCAGATAGATAAGGCCCTGAAGGTCTTGGATGAATTCAAGGTAAAAAGTCCGAATTATTACTAAGATTACTCATTGTTTTGTTGTTCTTAATATAGGCTAAAGAATCTGAACAGGTAAAATATAAAATGCATCAAACAATAATGCGTGCTTACAACTGATCTTTTTTAAATTTCACTGTATAGGTTGAATATGAATGTGACCTCTTAGCAGATGATGAATTATTTGTCAAGCTACAATCGGAAGATACTCAAAGCATCTTTGGCGACATTGAAGAAGACTTAAGAGCTACCAAAGAGGTAAACCATTCACTGTCAATTTTATGTATTTACCTTGTTTTTAGTCTTTGGAGGATTCTGCTACAAATGAAGCTGCAAGAACCCCTCGTTCCAGAATAGCTTCAACGGATACTTTAATGTCCAATCTATCTTCTATTGAAGATGCTGAGCTTGCAGAATTCTATGAAAAGAATCCCAGCTTCCATCGTATGATTGATCAAATACAGTCTGATATTCAAGTCAATGAAGATCTTGTCGTCCAATTAGAAAAGACAGAAATTGAATATGTTCAGATGCGTAAGAAGTTTGAAAAGAAGCTTTATTCTTTACGAGATGAAATCTTGACATTGCGTCAACAACAACAACAACAACAGCAACAACAGCAACAACAACAACAACAACAACAGCAACAAAAGAAAGAACCACAAAACTCTGCTAATGCATACACCATGAATAGTATTCGTCAGGCTTACGAAGTAAAGATGAAGACGCTTATGAATCAACTATCTGAACTGCGTCGTAAATACTCTCAAACCTCAAGCACTATCCAGTCTTCTCGTAATCAAAATGAAAGTATGCTCCGTGCTCTTCGTGTCAATGTTGAAACTCTCAAGGTTGAAAAGAAACGTATGATCAAGCGTATGAAAGATGAAGCAGAACGTGTCAAGGAGAAGTTACACACGCATGAACGTGAAATTCAACAATTACGTCGCAAACAAATTAAAGACAATGAAATCAGAAAGAAACTTGAACGAGAAGTTAAACAAATGCAACTCGTCATTGGCAAGAAGACAGACGAATCTGTTGTTACTGCTGAAAAACTCAAATCTTTGGTTCAAATCCTGAAAAAGGCTGTACGTGAAGGTGGCGTTCTTGACGAAAAGATGCTGACTAGCTGTGGTTCTCTCTTGGACATTGGGTCTGCTATTGTTCAGTCTTCTAAGGTTGGCCGTATGTCTCGCACAAGACGTAGTAATAGTAACAAGAGCAGTCGTCGTCGTCATCATCAGGGCATTCCTGTTGAAGTACGTGCTGCCAAGAAGAAGGCCTTACTTGATAATGCTCTCTGCCAATTTATTCAAGGAAAGCAAGCTGTCGAAGAAATGAGACAACTCCTTGCAAAGAGAAACGATTTGGCTCAACGAAAAATCGAATATATCTCTGAACGTGAATTGCTGGTCCTCGGTCAAGATAGCAAAGAACTTTCTTCTATTGACCATGCCTTTAGACAAGTTATTGATGAGAACATAGAAACTGTTGAAGCTGAAATCTCCTATCTTAATGCTCGTATTCATGCTATTCATAACGATGCTGCTGCAGAGATTATGCAAGAAGATGAAAACGAGGAAGTTGTTGACATAAGTAACAAGCCTATTGAAAAGAGAGTTACCTTTGCTGACCATCATGATGCTCTGGAAAAGAAGATTGAAGAACCCGAAGAAGATAACTGGCTTGATATGGATGCACTTGAAGAACGCTACACCCTTCCTACAAGTGCTGGCCCTGAACAATCTTTGGAAATGATTTCCAGGATTCTCAAATCTATGGCTAATGATGAAGCTAGTTTTGTCATGGAGTTGGTCATTGATGATATTGTCATGCTTCGTATGGAAGAACATAACAACAAGATGTCTATTCAACAACTTGAAAAGTCTTCTCAAGATTTGAGACGTACCCTCATTGTTATGAAGAAGGCTGCTATTGACACAACTATTGAAAATGAAAAGAAACTGAAGCGTCTTCAATTGCAACAACAAGGTGGCTCTTCTCGACGTACTTCCATGTCAAGAGAACTCTCTTGCCCTAAATTGAGTAGTCAGTCTTCTCCTACAAATGAAGATTCTAGTGACGCCGACTCTGCCATTGATCTTCACAATGAAGACAATTACCAACATGTTGAAAGCATGTTTGAAAAGATTTACAACGACGGTCTCAGTGGAAAAGTATCTTCTTATGATTACAATATGGCAAGCATTGGCGCAGAGGCAGTTTCTCCCGTTACCTTGGCTGAAAACGAACTCAGTCCTTATCTTCGACCACACCCAGTTCAAGCGGTTGCCAATCTCAAGAGTGGTAGTGTTCAAGCACCCATGAAACCATCTACTTCCCCGCTTGTCAGCCGTCGTCGGGACTCAATGTCTTCCCCTGAACAGTTTCTGATGCAAATGATGCAGACACCAAAAGATGCCCGCCCTCCCGCTTCACCTTTGATGAAACCAGCTGAATTTGCAAGATATCAACAAGATCGTGAAACATCAACCAACTCTTCTATTCGAAGCCGAAACAATCCCAACATTCCTAGAAGATCTTCTGTTCAATCAGACAACGGAAACTGGTCTTCTGCCTATTCTTCAAATCATGGTTATAGCCAACAAATGGTACGGGCTTCTTCTGGCGGTAAAGCTTCTTCTATGCCACCACCTGAGCCCATTACGGCTATTAACAACCCACCTGCCACAATTTTAAATCGCCGCAGAGCATTTTCGTTTCAGCAGCCTGCTACCAACACATCTCCTAATGCAGGTCCTGTGAATACATCATTACGTAGACGCTCGCTTTTACGAGAGCTAACCAATCTTCCTTCCAATACCCCAATGAGCAACGAATCTAGTAGCCAAATACCCAAATCGCCATTATATCAATATCAACAACAACAACAACATTACTTGCCACATTCACCAACAAGTATTGATTATTCCAGTAATGGTACCACCCTCATTCCTGCTTTCAGCAGCCAATCAAATAATAGCAGTACAATGATGTCAATGCAACAGGGCAGGCCTCATTCTGTGCTTGCATTGCATGCTGCTTCTGTTGCGCCACCAAGACCTGTTTCAAAGACTACTCTTTACCCTAGTGCCAGAAGAGATTCTCCTAATAACTCTTATGAGTTGAGAAGGTCTGCTGTAACCAATAATGTATTTGATCGTTTGTCAGCAGGTCATACACAAGCCTCTCAAGCCAAGAAGCGCCTCGGAAATTATCGGTACTCTTCTAGTAGCATTGATGACCTGAGACAACAATGGGCAAGCGAACTTTCTGAGAGAAATATTAATGACGAATACTAGTCTGTTCTCATATTTCTGTGTAAAATCATGCTGTATTTGTTTGTATATTAAAAGCTATTTTATATATATATATATTTGTTAATAAAGTTTGACAAGGTTTCTTAATTTGGATGTTTGTTTTCTTATAATTAAAACAGTCAATTTTTTCTAGATAAAATCATTGCATTTATTTTACTAAACTCTTCTTTATCTCTTGTAATTTATAGTATGAGTCCTTCCCTAAGGCAACAAAAAATCAGCTCTTTAAGAAAAAAAGATGCCATGTGGATTTATAAAAACCCACAAGGTTTACAAATACTAGAAAATGTATGCAATGATGGGTGCAATATGTGCTTTTGCTTACTTATGAATAGGAACTAAACGAGCGTCGAAAAAAGCGTATAGCCAGACAAAAGGCATCCACAAGAAGTAGCTCGAATGATTTAGTATCACCTATGAAAGAACAATGTAAGATTGCACCATCATTCCAAATCAAGTAATTAAATTTTGGCTTGTTCCAGGTACAATACCTATTGCGAAAACGCTGCCACTAGACAACCAGTCCCTAGAAGATACTGAACACAAAAGACAAGCAAGCAAGATTGAAGAATCAAAAAAACTAATAGAATTACAAAAAGATCCTAAAAGGAAAGAGCAAGGCCTGAAAGTGCTATTAGAAAAAGCGGCTGCTGATACTCCACCTATTGCTCCTCCAAGACGATCATTTCCTGCAAAAGTAGTGCCTCTTGAGAGAGCAGGCTCACCTCAAAGAAATATATTGTTGGAAGCAAGACAAAAGTTATTATCTGCTCAACAAAAGACTGATAATCATATCACAAACTCTGATACAAACATGATAAAAAAGAAAGGACTTGTAGTATGTATCAAGAATCTCTAATGTTCCCATACTTATGTTTATGTAGTCTTCGTTTATTTCCGCATTTGAGGCACCAACACCTGATTCAAGCGATAAAAGTGAGTATCATTGCGTTTTATTTATTAAGCATCTTTAAATTGAAAAAAGTATAGACAACACTATCAAGCCATTATCAAAAATCGAGTCATCTAAATCTGTTTATTCTCGATCGATATCATCAACAGAAGAGTCTTCCAAATCACAAAAACAAATGAGAACACCATCTCCCACAAATGTCGTAAGTAAACATATGATCTCCAAACACAACCATATGCTAACGAAGTCAATTAAGTCTGAAGCACCCACTTTTATAAGTGATTCTTATTTTACACTTTCACCATCCCATATTTCTGAAATGCTTCCTCCTCGTCTCTGTACTTCCCCTGATTCGATGAGCTCTACAAGCTCAAAAGATGAAACACAAACAATTGATGGTAACGAATCTACTATCAGTGTCTATCTTCCTCAACTCTCACCTGAAATTTCAGTTCATGGCAATCATGTTCAGGAAGAATCACTTGAAGAGTTGCGCCCTGGTTTCAAAAAACAGGTATCATTTTCAGAACACCTATTGACATACATTCCCGAGGAATTTGACGATAGCAACAGCATTGTCTCCTCGTCTTGCTCTTCAGAAATAACTACGCCTGTATCCATGACTAGCCAGCCAGCTATCAAACCCGAAACTGTATCTAAGTTCGGCCAAACCATTAGTGATGAATTGGGCGGGATAAAAAAGAATCTCGTAGAAAAGGTTTCCCGAGAAAAGTTTGTCCCTCCTCAATTCAACAAAAAAGAGTCATTTGTGAACAAACGTTCTAACATGGCACCTCAAAAGTTGTCCACTAAATTATTAGATATGTTTCAACAAAAGGTCTCTATAAGCACATCACCAAAACTGTCGCGATCATCAACAGAACCTACTCGAGAACTCGTCCATGTAAGTTCATGATAATAACCACAATCCCATATACTAATTTTGCACTAGTTGACAAAAACCAGACCTAGAAAGCCACCAAGCTTAAAAAAGCCAACCTACCCTGCAGCAACTGCTCAGCCAGACTGGCGTAACAAAGCTACTACTAAAAAATACGAATTTGTTGCTTGAATAAACTTGAGTTATTTTTATTTACAAGAGTGGGGTTCATATTGGTTTATTCTTTGTTCTTTTCTTGTTCGTTAACTGGGGGAGGCATGGGAACGTCACTAAAGTCGTCTTGCTTGACAGCAAAAAGAGAGTATGCGTCTATAATAAAGTTAGCCGAGACGATCAAAAGTGATCAATAACTTACAAACACTTGTAGTAAAAGTGACAAGACCTGCTAAAGTAAGCAAGTTACGAGCAAGAAAAGGCTTGCGAGTTCTTTGCAAGGCAGGACTGAAGCCATAGCCCTTGGAAGTTGAATAAAGTTTTTCACGAGTAGGATGATTTTCCATTTTGGTAGAATAGTAAAAAAAAAAAAAAAATCGGCCCTTGCTCGAAAAATAAAAAAGTGTGTATGCGCACACAACTACTAGTTTAAAGTCAGAGAATACTCAGATACACATACATGCTAAAGTATCAAGTTTTATCGCTTGCAACAAATTTTAAATAAACAATGCAGACAAAAAATGTTAGCATCTTCTTTTTTTTTTGGGAAAACAAAAATTTGTCAAGACAGCAAGATTACAAGAGTTAGGGATTGAGCAGTTTTAAGGAAAATAGTATAGCTTAGGTTCACTTAAAATAGCTTTAACATTTAGATAGGATTGATACTGTCAAATAGGATTTTATTTAAAACTTGGCGTAAATATTCGGAGTTTAAACTAGTATTCTCATGTCAAAAACTGAAATCGAAAAATAGAGAAATTTAAAAATTCACCTTTCTTTCGTCTAAAGAATTTTTTAGTACGTTGGCCTGGTCACTCTTGGTGGTGCTCTGGATTTTGTTATAATCCCTTGTCAAAGACTGTATCTCTTAGGTATCAACAATTTTGTCAAGTGCCAAGTAATTGAAGTGGTGTCCTTTACTTGTGGTATTGGTATTGCCATCTGTAACATTGAACAAGACACTCTCATAAGCGATGAACAAAACACTTAATATATCCTTTTTAGGACATATTGAGGGGTAGCCCAGATGACGGCTATTTTCTATTGAGATAATATAAGGCTCATACAATCGTATTGAATGCTTCCACAAAAGCATTATTCTAAAGATATTTCATATGGCTAGTCACTTTGCTTCACATACACTAGTTTCCATTTATACGATGATTTTATTTTTCCAAATAAAACTTTCATCCAATACAAAGAAAAATTGGAAATTCAAGAGAAATGATGGACTAGAAGCGTCTAAAAGCGAAGAGCTATTGAAAAAGTGTATTAACAAAGTTAGTAGATATAAATACGGCGCATTGAATGATGTAAATAAGGCAGGTTGTTTGCTATTAAAATAATGGGCTACCCTCCAAAAACATGTTATCTGATTTTGAGCTGTAGCGTACACTTTTATAATACTTTTGTAAATCTAACACTTTGAGTGTGTTTCCTAGACTTAAAGAAGCAATTCTTACTGACATGTTGTGTCTAAAATGTCTCGATCAACCACAAATTGCAACATAGTCAAAAATGGAGATTTGTAAAGGTATTATAAAGGTAAAATGACGATTTTTTGACTTTTTTAAAACTTGCTATACTCTTGCATAAATATGTTCTTTTATGCATGCTCAAACATGGGAAGATTCATCTTGATAAACAGACGCACCTGCAACGGACTGCTACTCCGCCGCTAGTGTTATTATACTAATAAATTGTTTGCCAAAAAGAAAGGCAGTTTATGTTGGAAGTGTGTTCAAGAAAACCTAGGCTATGATTAAGATCGTATGATATGTTTGGTACTCGAGAAAGGCACAAATTGAGGATCAAAAGCTTATTAGGTGTATAGTGTATCAAAGGAAATTGCAAGTTCTTCAGTAGTCACAAAGTACGTATGTTTTCAATATATTGATAACTTTTGCATTCTACTTCAGACAAGCCAGCTGCTTTCAAGCATATAAAACTGTATTTGTACTTAACAACACAGTTTAAAACCAATTGACTATATAGCTGTGTCTGTATTAATTTTAAGATGTTTGTGAATAATTAGATTGACTTTTCAATATCCTTCCTTCAGTGCGTAGGAAAGAGATTTTGAGCTTAAACATGACGAAATTCTAAATATGTCAGTTTTTGCCGATCATATATTAGCGAATGATTTTGCTGCGATTTTTACTGACAACAGATCAATTTACCTATTGGAATGCATACCAAGTTTTGACAATATCAAATGAAATGTACAAATGTAGTAGGATATGGCGATACGCAGTTAAGCCCTTTTTTGATATTAAAAGGTTTTAATCTCAATTCAAAAGACGAAATACAAATAAGAACGTCTTCCCATACTTGCTTAATACTTTCCGAACAAAAAAGCCTACATAAAAGAGATTCGTAAATTCATTTTACTTCACATTACCTTTGGAAATCGTAGCTGTCAATTGAAGAGAAACAATGTCTGATCTATTGATCACGAACAGACCGGATCATGTCACTTTTTTTTTATCACAGAATAAATGCGCCGCTTTATTCTGTTCTTTATTACTTAGCATTGGTAACATATAAATTTTTTCATCTTATGATTTGAACCTTGTTCTTTCTCCTTCCTTCTTTTGTCCATTTATCAGATCAACTAAAAAAAATGACCGAGTCTCAGTCATTAAGAACAGCCACGAAGTGCTATTTGGCTTCAGACCTTGGTGTAAAGGAATATATTCCTTCCGGTAATTATGCTTGACATTTACACAAATGCTTAATGTACTTGAATTTATTGAATAATAGCCATTGAGGTGACATATACCCCCGAAGGTCAATTGTTTCAAGGCAAGTCTGCTGTAGAATTTGGCATTGACCGATCCAAGCAAGGGTCTAGTTTTACTGCATTCTTTAGTGTAGTCTGTGTTGTCGCCGGCACAGGTGCACTTGGTTTACCTTATGCTCTAAGACAAGGTATTGTATTCCACTTGCTGAATAAAGCAGACTTATATATTTTATATAGGTGGTTGGATTGGTCTCTTTATCTTGTGTCTTAGCTGCATTTTATCGATTTGTAATGTATCTCAAGAAAAGATAAATGAACGAATTGTGATCTAATAGTGTGCGTAGACACTGGTATTATACTGATCAGGTCCATGTATTATGATGGGGAAAAGCGTCTATCATCATATCAAGAGGTAGCTACAGAAGCTTTCGGCCCAATCGGTGGTTGGATAGCCTTTTTCTTTACAGCCATTACTTTAATCGGTGTACCTGTGCTTTATCTTTTGCTTTCTGGCTTAAACATTCACAATGTGGCCCAAGGCACATCAGCAGAATTAACTTTTCCTATCTGGGTCATTATTTGCACTGCCATCGTTGCTGTTCCATTTTTGTTTTTTAAATCATTGAATGAAGTTGCTTTACTAAGTTGCTTCGGTATGCTATCCACTGTAGCTGTAATCCTGATTGTCCTGGGTGTCTCTGTACGAGAAGCTTCTAATCAAGTTGATATACATCATGACTCTGTTATTTGGAATATGTTTCCAATTGCCTTAAGCTCAATTGTGTTTAGTTTTGGTTTGTATATTAACATGGTTTTACAGAATCTAACATACTTTTGATATAGGTGGTAATCCAGTGTATGCTCATATCGAGGCTGGTATGCGTAGACGTAAAGACTGGAACATGGTTGTTGCTGCAGGTCTGACATTTTGTGTCATTATTTATTTTCTTGTTACTGTACCTGGCTACTATGTTTACGGCATAACAGCTAAATCACCTATCTATGGTTCACTTCCTTCAGGTGGCCCTAAAACAGCTTCTATCATTATCATTACTATTCACTTGATCTTGGCTACACCTATCTTGCTTACTTCGTTTGCCCTAGACGTAGAAAAGATGCTCAAGATCAATGCAGAACATCGCTCGTTTGTAGTTGAGTGGGTCATGCGACTCTTGTTTCGTGGTTCTTTAATTGTGGTTATTGCTGTAATTGCTATCTTTGTACCTTTCTTTGGTGACTTTATGTCATTATTAGGTGCTTTCTCAAATAGCGCCCTTGTTTTGATCTTTCCAGTTTTGTTTTATTACAAACTAACAGGTATTCGAGGCAAGCCATGGTATGACTACATATTAGCCTTCTTGACACTTTTATTGGGTATTGTTGGGCTGATTTTTGGTACAATTTCAGCTATTCAGGCGTTGAACAATGACTTTAAAAATAATGCCTAGACATTTCATTACCTTTTCACATTGTAAAATAGATTTCTTGCATCAACACAAATAATAAAAACTGCATAATATTTTTTTTTTGTGGCATCATGACACTTTTTTATTGATATATGTAATGAGACAGCGAGGAATAAACTATGTACTAGTTGAAAAGAAAAGGTTTCCCTTTCTTTATACTCTTTAGTTACAGACATTCTCTTGACCAGAGGCCTTAGTGTTGAGAATCAAAGCAACAATAAGACCATAAAGACCCAAAACTTCAGCGAAAATCAAAATCAAAATCTAAAAAACATGTTAAACACTGAATGACACGTCTAAAAAAATATTTACCATGCCGACGAACATTCTAGGTTGTTGAGCAGTAGCGCGGACACCAGCATCACCAGTAATACCAATAGCAATACCAGCTAGTTAATATGATAAGGTGAGTACGCGTATTATTTCAAGTTACTGTTCAAAGTTACCAGCAAGACATGAGAGACCAACGGAGAGACCTGCGGCCATTTGAATGAAACCACTGAAGAGAGTTTGCTTCATGGCAACTAGAATAATCATTTAAGTACGTATGAACATCAATTTCCCTCTAAAAAACAAACTACTTACGGCCACCAGACAAAAGCACAGAAACTACGACACCATAAATACCCAAGATACCAGCCATGACGATAGGAACAATACACTTCAAGACCAAATCAGGACGTAAGACACCCATAGCAGAAAGACCAACACCAGATTTGGCAGTACCGTAAGCAGCACCAAGACCTATCGTTAAAGAGAACAGTCGTGTAACAAGATTAATATCTAAAACGAACAAGGAGTCGAGAAAAAAAAAAGTCGCAAAAAACACGCGACGTTTCCCGACGAAGACAAACTACTTACAGCTGAAGACAATGGCGGCGGCACAACCCATAGTACCAAAGAAAGGGGCGTAGACAGGACTAATATGTTGAAAGTGAGTTAGAGGTTTTCGTTATACGTCAATATGGTATTTACCAGTATTCACTCATTATATTGTATGTTTTCTGTAGGTACAAAAATATAGAATTAAATTTTGCTGCTTTATGGCTTTTTTCCTTTACTTACAATAGACTTTTCTAAAGAAGAATAAGGGGAAATTACTTATGTATCAGAAAAAAAGAAAAGAAGAGGGAAAAAAATGAGTACCAAATTATCAACTGTGTAGAGATTGCCGGTTGACGTCAACAGTTGAAACTCAGGTCGAGTCACAGATAATAAGAATATATTAAACAAACATCTTACTTTTCAGGGCGAGTGAGAACAAAATAGACTTCGAAGATGAACTTTACGAACAAAAGGCTTTATTTTGATTCCAGAAACATTTAGCTTAGGACATTATTAGTTGTAGAAAACAAAAAGATCAAAGTCCAGGTAAATAAAGACATAAGTTTTAATGAATTAGTTGTACAAAGCACGGATATGATTTGTTACAAACTGAACTTTTATGCAAAAAAAAAAAGATTTCGAATGGGTCACGTTCATTGCTCCAATATCTCTCAACAGAGTCCAAAGCGGATTTAAGGACAATCTTGAGCCATCGACGACCGAAAGGCAGCATTCGATGTTCAAGAAATAGGAGATAGCTAGTCACATTAGGGTGGTGAGAGGAAGAAGGCAGATTAGGACAAGGAAAGAAAAAGCACATTCGGCTTAGAGTACCGTATGCAATATGAAATTGACAGTGTCAGTTGAACAGGATAAGAAGAGGACATCAAAGATCCATATCAAAGAAACACGGCTGTATCTAATGTAAGATCGATGAGCCTCAAAGAGATCTGTAATAGTGTTGTAACAAAAGACATCTGACACTAAAAAGGACTGTTTAAGGGTGGGAAGTAGTAGTGTAGAGCTTGTCCTAGCTTGTAAATACTAACGACGCCGGCAAGTTCAAAAACTAATGAGCAGACCATGGTGGCGACAGCTCCAGAGGCTTTAAGCGCTCTAGGAGCTTCAATAGCTGTATCATCAGGGTACAATGTTTAAAAGATGCACGAAAGTAGGAGCTAACAGTGTTGTAAAATTAAAAGCAAGGTCGGTTTATGAATTTTCAGGACAATATCGAGACGGAGTCCAACGGTGTTACCTGGTACTGCTGCATACAAAATAACAATCCTCCGCAAGCCTATTTGTCTTAATTTCGAGGCAATAAACTAGCAGTTAGTATCATTGTAAAGTTCTTGTTATATTTTGAAGTTTTTAATACTCTTTAAATATAATTTTGTCTGCATTGCCTCGAAAATGAAGATTTTGAGTAGACAACTGCATTGGTTAACTCCATTGAATTTACATGATCGCTTCCTGGGTCGTTTTTCTAGAAAATTGAAATTTATAACATGTTATCGTTCAAAAGTACAAAAAAGCGTAGTAATATTGATATAGCTATCAGAAATGTGCATATCTAATGAAAGAAAAAAAAACTATTATGTTTCTTGCCAGAATTTTTTAGTAATCCCTTAAATATGCTGATAGTATACACCTTTTATGTTGTTACTTGATATTCAACACTGACAACGTATTTTGCTATTTTAGACAAACATTTGGTGCTAATATGTCTCGTCACAAAAGTTTTCTCTATCGCTCACAAATCGCGATTTTATGAAAATAAAAGGTTTGATAAGAATATCATAAATGTTTTTGAAGACCTTTGATGTATTTTTACATGAAGATATTCTCTTATCTATGTTTGAACACAATTTATTAAAAAAAAAGTGGCATGGGATTTTTGAGGCAGTTATGAGCACTGATTTAGTTGATTTGTTCAAAGCTAAATATAGTCAAATTACTCTTTTTGACAGTCTATGATCCAAAACATACGCTTATACAGAGTCTATTGATCGTTTTTTGACGCAACAAACAATCAAGTTTACTGTATTGTCATACTACTGCTACATACACATCAGTAACCATGAACTTTTTCTGACAGACGAACTAAATTTTATTACTCACTATCAGAAAGAAGTGTTACCCATAAACCAAATACTGATATACGTCTCGCTCATTATCAGAAAATTGAGCATCTGCACGCGATCAAAAATTGTTATCAGTAGAGTTTGTGTTAATTTCTGTAATTTAATACTATTATGTTAAAACTATTTCAAACGTCAAATCTTTTTTTGACAGAAGTAAAATAGGTTTATCGCTGGTTCTGCATAATAAAATTAATTTGTTTCATAAGAGAAACGAGATAAAAATAGTAAACTGTTTTAATTGTCGTTATTCCAAAAAACTACTGTTAACTGCTCTGCCAGATTTAACTTCTTTTTTTATCGAATCACTGAGAGTTGTATTTAATGGGTTTGAGCATTTGGAAGGTATTGTACATCGATATAGAGTTACACTTGTATGGAGAAGAAATTCTTTAAATCTGAATATAAAGTTGATATTCATACACAGATTTTCAATCCACGACATGTTTCGTTGATCCAAATACGGTTCTTAATGCTCAAATAAATAAATCAATAAGCTTTTTGAGGTGTCCAAAACGACAGAGAAAATTTCTATAACCGTATTGGTACTCAAAGTGTCAAATAAATCAGCTGATTCTGACTCTGAAGAATTCACGTTTTGATTTCTTTCAAATTAACTGTTGTAACTTATGCAATCACTGTATGTACAACGTCAATTTATACAGTAAAAAAAATCATACTCCATTAGTGTATGTCTATTGCGCTCTATATCTAATATGTAGAGTACCGCTTTGTCTGAATAACAACTATAAACTTTATATTCAAGCAGTTTTTTTTTGTTTGGATATTAGCACTACTTTACTATCTATATAAAGTGTCGGTTTGGAACTTCCAATATACACATTGTGTTACTAGTCTTGAATTCTTGTAAAACTCAAATAAAATTCGTTAAACAATAAGGATTACTCCCGCGGAGAAAGGAGTTGAGCCAAACACTTTGTGTATCTTACAAAGAGAATTAAAATTTATTTTTACATTATTATACTTTCAATGTATCGAGATTGTAACCAAGTTTCTGGATATATAAATCTTTTAGATCTGATCACAATGTGCAACAATTGGTCGTAGAGTATACCAAAGCGAACAAAACTGCCTATCTCAAATCGGTGTATGAACTAGACTTAAAAAACCCGTGTTTTGACAGCCTTAGTTAGTTAGTAATACAGAGCAGCGCCCTTTAAAATAAAGAAAAAGCATATTAAAAATCACAGTGATAATTTTTCAGTATCGAGCTTCTTTTTTTTAACTAATTAATGCTAGTCCTGTTGTGTTCAGCTGTGAATCGGAACACAATGGAAATCTTATTTGACATCAATAAACAATCTTATTTCTTATTGACTCATTACTATTCCACGAGATTTCTATATCAAAAATTAACAATTTATTATACAAAACAATTAAACAAAGGGCATTATTAATACAAAATCTATTCTTTATCGTTGTAGAAGGGGTAATCAGTGTAACCCTTGGGTTCATTGGTATAGAAAGTATCACGATCGTAATTGTTTAGAGGCAAACCATTACGAAGACGTTCGGGAAGATCAGGATTGGCGATGAAAGCACGGCCGAAGGAGATCAAGCTACCAGTTTTTTCAGCAACTTCGAAAGCAGTTTCGGGGTGGTAAGTATAGCCGCCACCGGCAATGAAGGGGCCCTTCCATTCGTTACGGAAAGGATCAAGAGTATCAGCAGGCTTTTCATAGTGATCAATACAGAAATCAGCACGAGGCTCGATAAAGTGGACGTAGGCCAATTCAGGTTGGTTCTTTTGAAGTTCCTTGACAAGGTGACCCCAAGTCTCGTAGGGAGTATCATCTTCAGCATCTTGGAAACCAGACCAAGGTGACAAACGGATAGCAGTACGTTCGGGGCCGATAGCACCAGCAACGGCATCAACAACCTCAAGAGACATTCTGCAGCGGTTTTGAGGAGAACCACCGTAGATATCAGTACGGTTGTTGGAGCTGGAGTTAAGGAATTGATCGAGAAGGTAACCGTTAGCGGAGTGTATTTCTACACCATCAAATCCAGCTTCAACGGCATTGAGAGCAGCTTGGCGATAATCGTTAACGACACCCTTGATTTCGGGAATGGAAAGAGGACGAGGCTTTTCTAAAGGTTGACCCAAAAGGTTGATGCCCTTGATAGGAATATCAGAAGCAGAAACAGGTTGTTGACCTAAGTTTTGGGCAGACATGGCAGCGCGACCAATGTGCCAGAGTTGAAGGAAGATGACGCCGCCCTTAGAGTGGACTTCATCAGTAACCTTCTTCCAGGTTTCAATTTGTTCCTTCGTGTAGATACCAGGAGCACGGTAATAAGAGCCGGCAACACGAGTGATGAAAGTAGCTTCACTGATTAAAAGACCACCTTCGCTGGCACGTTGACCATAGTATTCCTTTTGGAGGTCGGTAACGGTGCCGTCTTCGTTGGCTCTGAAACGAGTCAAAGGGGCAAGGACGACACGGTGCTTGAGTTCGTTCTTGCCAACCTTGATAGGGGTAAAAAGAGCAGTGTTTGATTTAGACATTTGATAGAAGTATAAAGAATGAAAAAAATAAAGTGATGTGCAATTGAGATCCATATTTATATTGAATTTCTGGTATTGACATTATTATCTGATTTCAAAATTCTATTTCCTTTGCAGGTACGGCACTAGAATATTTTCCCGTATATTATTCATTTCATTTACTTTTATGTCACTTGTTTCTCGTATTGAAAGGTCTCTAAGCTAGTCACTAGCATTAATATAGGTACATAAGAAACAAACAAGCAAGACCTATTCAGGGGAAAAAATGGCATTGTATGCTCTGTCTTGTTCACTATAGAAGTTTATCGAGATTTCTTAGTCATCCAAGAGCGGATTCTTAATCAATATATCTACTTAGGGTTCAAATAAATCATGTCTCACAGTGCTACTTTAAAAATAGATTTAGATACAAATACGATTAATAAACGAGCTTTTTTCAAGCCAAACCTCCGCTTGCGGCAAAAAAAATTGACCTACAGCTATGGTTCGGTTCGCTTCGCCTTAGAAAAAGCTCGCGCCTGCAGGGGGCTGCTAATCCACCACCAGTATTCAAACCTTAGCTTCCATGTTTATGCAAATAATCTGAAATTATGTTTTATTTTTTATCGGAGGACTTCTTTATAAACTATGTTATCGGTTGATGTCCAGATTGTGGGAGGACGTCTAATGAGTGTTTTGATTGAATAAGGTGTCTTTACTCTCAACATAGCAAAATGAAGCTAACAATAGGAAAAAAACAGGAGATGGAAGACACCGACCGACAAAGTCGAGAGTTTGGCCTTGAGACTTATTTGTTGTTATTGCGAAAGCTGAACTGAAGAAAATTGTAGTTGTGAGAAATGGATTCCCAACTGGTTCTCCTTTGATTCTAATTTGACTCTTCTATGGCAGCTATATCGCCATTATTCCCGCCAAAATTATTCTAGCATCGATTGAAAGGAAAAACAGGCGAGTATTATGACATAAGCCTTTTGAAACACTTAGATTGCACAGAAGCATCATGGGTTATCTTGCATTCAATTTAAGGCAATGAGCGAGTGGGCTTCCACAATCAATCTTGTTGGAACATCACTTTTTTTTATTACTGTTTTTTTAGTGAGAAATTTGTTTCATTAAATGGATATAGATATAGCCCCATACAAATAGAAACCGCATCGAAAAATCGATTACAATCCAATAAACAACCTGGAACCAATCTAATCAGCAAGTTAATTTTGAAACATTTGTATCCACGGCCATATTAGCAAGCATCCGATTCAATGTTCGTCAGGCTATTGAAGAGGATCAATGCCATTCAATCATGTAACTTTTTTTTCTTTCTATATATTTTATTTTAGTTTAGTTTATTTTGTCTAGTATATTTCATTTTATTTTATTAACCTTCATTTTAATTGCACCCGCCTCTTCACTTTGACTATTACTCTTAGTGTACGCGGCTCAATCAATAAACACATTTTAAGAATAATAATAGAAAATTTTTTTGAAACAATACAATGTCAAGAGTATTGCTACCAAAGCTATAGTTGATAATGATAAAGGTGCTTATAAAATTACAAAGCCTTATCCACGTTGCACATTTTTGCCACCAACACCACAACTGCACCTCCACAGACAATATGCCTCGAGCATATGTCTTCTATGGTCAATCTCTGTCTTGCGAATGCTGGGTGAAAAGATTCTGTTTGATCAACCTCGCCAGTGCTTCCTCTGTCTCTATCAATGTTCATTAACCATTTCAAGCATCATCGATGTTTTTACTCAATCAACATACTTGCCTTTTCAAAAGCAATTGCAAGAATGCGATACAAAGCCTTTGAAATCACTTGAATATAGACTATCTCATGCTTCGCTGATCCTAGTCTTTAATGCTTCTTTTTTTAAAACTTTATTTCGCTTAAATTTGCTCTTGATAACGAACCAGAACTGGTAACTTGAATTAGCTCAGGGGAACATGGAGGAAGATATGCAAATCTGTATCCTCAAGAGTGGATACGATTTCCTATATCAATTGAGCTTTGATTGGTGTGTTATTTGTGACAAGATAATGTCCTTTCATTTTTGGATACTTGTCCATTTCATCCAGAGTCGCCTTTACGAAGCTCAAGTAATGGCCTGTCACTGTTCCTGCGCTATGAACATCAATCTCATATCCAAGCTTTCGCTTTTCAATACTCTTTGAAGCTCTCAAGCTAACATGAATCAAACCAGTGACAGATATTGTAACTAAAACCGATCTTGCATTTGCCTTAGTTGTGGATACTATAACTATTTTAGGACACCCCTCCTTCTTTGATCAAGTCATACCTCGTCTAAAATTAATATGAAACGCTGATTCATTAAGAAAGACATAACTTATTGTGAAATCCAGGTCAGTTTGCTGCCACTTTTAAATCCAATCGTATATTTGTCGAATTTTTCCCTCGCTGTTTCTTTTCACAGGCTGGAACTGTGCCTGTATAATGGGCAGATTGCATTGGGTTGTCATGAAGTTATACACAGTACTGCGAGAAATCTTGAGCTTTGTACTAAACATTCTAATACTTCAGTTAAAACAACAGAGGGATTCTCATCAATGTAATTTAAGAGAAATTGCTTATGCTCTTCCTCAAGAATACGACGTCGGCCTTTCTTTTTCTCGAAAATGCTTCCAGGGTCTTTGTAATAACGCTTGACCCACCGCTAGACTGCATGAACATCAATACCTAATTGTCTTGCAGTAACAGAAACACTTAGACATCTATTAAAAAATAAATGAAAAAGCCTAGTTTTTCCGTCATTAGAATAAAACGTGTATCGTCGTTTATTGCATAAATCCATATTAACATCTTTATTATCCTTTTCATCAACATCTGGAATATTGCAGGATTAGAAGGTCTTTCTCGAGGTTTATTCGTTAAGAATTGAGTCGAAAACTAGTTGCTTCGATAGCAAATAGCTCCTCATCAAGATCCATAGGCTCAACTTCATTCTCATTAACGTGTCCTTGTCCATCTTCGTAATAAAACTGCATACTCATCTTAAATAGAAGAAAAGAGTTGCTCCCTTCATTCAATCAGGACTCAATATTATTTTTAGATTAACTGATATCATTGTTGGTTAAACAGATTTTTTTTTGCACGACACCAATCTCTAAATGACTGTACAACTTTATTTTTCAGGACTAGTTGACTTTTTCGTTATAAATTTTATCCAGCTGAAACATGCTGATTACAGTGGACTATATGATAAAAAGAAATGAAAAGTGAAATTAATTTGAAAGTCTTGTCTAGTTTTCGAAGATTTCACTTACAGGTTGCTTACTCCATCCCAATCTAGTAATTGTATCTTTTGCTGCATTGGTTGTTGTGTTTTTAGCTCCTTCTTTCGCCAAAGTAAGCTCGGGTAACCGTCTGATTTCTTTTCCTTGCTGAAATAGAATCAAAGTAGGCAAATCAAATGATGCAGGGTCTTTGCTTACACCGAATTCTTCAGCTAAATCTGAGTACAAGTCAATATCAATTTGGCCTAGATTAATCATCTCTCTTTTTAGTATAAAGATATTCATCACGTGTGCCAATCATTTACCAAATTTCAAATGAGGCACATCATATTGAAGGGAGAGCTTTGCCAATACTGCTTCGAAATTAAGACAGGATACTGACCAGTTGGCATATAGCATGACAATCCAATATTTTGCTTCTGGTTCAACTTTTTTGTTGGACAAATCCATATTATCTATTTCAGAGATACGTGGGCCTTTAATATCATCAACTGGCATTGTAGAGGAAGACGATGTAGAAGAAGAAAAGGAAGGCTTGGGCGACTTTCCTGATCCTCGAAGCACCTTTTCACGGAAAGCAGTTGCATTGAGCTCATAAATTTTAGTGGGTCCACTATACCATGGCTGAGGGAAAATGGTGAAAAGCACTATATAATAAATGTAAACAGCATGATAAACAAAGATTACACATTGTATTACTTATCCAGCCAATAGTATACAAACATGACCACCAAAAACCAAAGCGCCAGAATATGCTGCAAAGTGAAAAGAACTTAGCATACAAGATGAGAACACTACATAGTTCTTCTGCACTTGCAGCCATTAAACACTTCCAGAATGATAGACCCACCAATAACAGGAATGTGCGCGTCTCCGTATCCTATTGTTATTCTTTAGCTGTCTTTTTTTCTCGAGTTTTTATATGAACGCGTTTAGTAAATTTACTTCAAAGCTGATCAAGCCTTCTTTTATCATACGGTTTAAACGAGAGCCAATATAAGTGGCTCCATACAAAAGGTGAACAATATAGTATGGGTGTAGTAAACGCTGCCTCAACTCGCTTAAACTTGTCATATTTTCAATATTTAGCTCGAGAAAAAAAAACAACAAAAATGCGTCTTCTGCTGTGCTACAACTTGATTCACCAATCACACGTGATCATTGTTGTTGTTTCTCTTCTATTGTTGAAGATGCAATCATGCAAAGCGATGGCTTGTTTATGAATGTACTACATGCCAAATTAATCTGAGACATGCAACCAGTATCTCGGAAATGGGTTATCAAGGCAACCTATAGCCTTAGAAACCAGGTCGAATTTAAATAAAACAAATATTTATTATATATAGATATACATGATACATTATTACATGGTTGATTTGAATTGAACGTTTATGCGAAGTTCGCCACTTCCAGCTGGATGCAGAGGAATCCATTGATTAAAGAAATCTCCTCCAGGAACATCGACCTTGATCAAATCCCAAACATTCACTCGGCTTTGTCCAAGATCAACTGCTGATCTGATCTTATTGTGATCCTTTACCTTAAAGTCAAACAGAAAAGGCTCGCCGCCAACATTGCATGTAAATGATTCATTCCTGGAAGCAATTGATTAGTATACAGCGATAAACTATTTCTTCTTACCATTCAGGTGATAGTGTCTTTGATATGTATCTGGTCTTGTAAATTTGCTCTCCTGCTACTTTAACACGCACAAATGGATCGCTTGTACCACTTTTATCTACACCACGCAAACCACGGGCTTCAATTAAAGTAATAGTGACAATACCAGCGCTGCCAGTCGCATCACTCAATGCAGTTGTATCAGCAATGGTGGAGTGTGCGATTGAAGCAGTTTCATCATAACTAAAGTTAGACTCAAGCGATTGTCTTCCAGTGAGGCTTTCTTGAACCATATCTCTTGTACCTTCACTTGATGTTCGTTCCATTCCACTACTAAAAGGAGAACTAGTTGATTTACGAGGAAGTGGGCCAGAGGCTTCCAAGTTCACATCATCGTGAATATACGTGCGAGTTGCACCAAGGACAGATGTTTGTGTCTTCTTGTTGATCAAAAGTTGTGGATGCCATGTAAATTTAACTTGAACAGTGCCTGAGACACCAGCAACACCATCAAGTGGGATATCTACCATACGTGACTGGAAGCTTTCTACACCATCACCACGAAGGGTGATGCCGCCAGAACCTATAGGTTGATGACCTTTAACATGATTCCAGTCAAACACTTCAATACGAATGCTTGCAGTGACTCTTGATTGAATAGGAACAGAGAAGCGCTCATGACTCCATTTAGGATTCAATGTCTTTCTGATCACCTCACTCTTGTGCACTTTTTCTCCATTAACGTTAAATACAACATAGGGATCACTGGTTCCCGTTTTGTCTGCAGCCATCAAATTGCGTGCACTCACAAGATCGACAGTCAAGACGCCTTGATCTACAAAATATATGTTAAATATGCAGTCTGTATGAACATCACTTACTGTCTAAACTCTCATCAGGGTTCAAAACAAAATTGACCATGGGATAGTAATCGAAACTAAGACGAATTCTAGCAGGACCATCTGTACCCATCAAATTGAACCATGTACCTTCATCATTCTCCATATCAATACCAAGTCGCTTACGCTTCATGATACGACGAACAATAGATGAACCTGTATCAATCCAATGTCCTAGTTTATGGACATCTTTTTCATCTGAATAAGCAGGCTTCAATTCGATAGCAATACGGGAAAAGTCGGCTTCCTTGATAAAGGCATCAGCACATTCGTCAAACAAAAGATCGTCACTACGAAGTTTTGCAGTTTTGTATTGAGGCATCAATGCATCAACAATGACCTGGCAGTAACAATAAGCAGGAGAAGATAGTTGAACCTGATGAATCTTGATTTTGAGAATACCAGAATTATATGAATTCAAGTCTACCAAGCCATCAGGTGTGTAACGAATAAATGATCCGTGCAGACCACGAAGGGGTAAGGAAGTGGGAGAACCAGTAGAAGAGACAGCAGATACTGAAGAAATATTGCTGCCTTTATTAGAAGTAGGTTCATTGTCTCTACTGTGGTCGCCTGGCAATCCCATAACAGGATAGAATTCAGCTGAGAAATGAAGATCGCCTTTAGCAACTCGTCTGTCGATAGCATGTAGCTTTTGCCATCTAGATATGTATTACATTAGAATCCTTCTTTTTTTTTCCTGCATCCATAGTTTTTTTTTTACCTATCATATTTGATATTCTTTGATTCATACCAAACATCAGGGTTGACACTTTGATCGCCAATCTGTTGATGTATCAAGTCTGAAGCTTTAAATTCAGTAATACCGAGCGACTTGTCTTTTGATTTAGCATTCCAGTCCATAACTTCAAGGACAAAATTTTCTTTAAGAGAATGAATAGGAACATAAATGGCTTCACCCCATTCGGGATTCAAGTTGTTATCGACCACTTGTGTTCTACCACGAATTTGATGTCCAGATAACACACGGACATAAGGATCGCTTTTACCGTTTGTTACTATTTCTACATTACGGAGATCACGGGCTTCCCAGAATGTAAAGCGAACAACACCAATAGGTGGTTCTACATAAAACATGAGCTTCAGTTCATGGATACATATACACACTTACTATTGAATCCTTGTGCACTGACAAAGTCAGAAAGACCAGACAAGATCATGGGTTTCCATTCAGCACTGAGTCGTATTTCACCATTCTGAGTGTCGTTGTTAGTCAAAGGCCACCAACTATCATTCTTTTCTTGTTGTCGAATCATGTCTGGCAAATAAGATGCAAAGACACCTAAAAGTGTATCATTATCGGCATTGTTTCTAATTTCTACGCGAACATAGAAAGAAGTCTTGTCCAAAACCACAACTTCATAAGGCTCTTCATACTTGGGATTATTCTTTCTCTTCATAACTGAAGATTTCTTCTTTTCAGCACCATTAATGATGATGCGAACATAGGGACTAATATTTTCGGCTGCTGAGGTCAAGTCACGGCATTCATGGATCATGAAACGAACAATACCAGAGTCTATAGACATGCAATGAGTATGTAATAGATTTATAATAACAACTCACTAGATTCAACAGGTGGCTCGACAATACCGTCACTACGTTTAGTAGGCTTGGAGATTGGCAAATAGCGAAGATCCACTCGAAGGTCCGTAACATGCTTACCATTGCGAAGCATCATCAAATTCCTATTTAAAGCAAATCAGTGTGTGTTTTTTTTCTTTCCTGAACTCACAATCCTTCTTGTTCAGCTTGTGTTTCTCCATCCAACATGGACAAGTCAAAGTTAGCTGTACCTAAACGTCTATCTTTCTTTCCTGGTCTTGAAGTCTTTAATTCAATAGATAATAACGAGTTTAGGTTATTGATCTTTAGGTATCTTGTTTCATTCCATTTGGGTGTGAATGTGTTTTCGCAAACAGTGGTTCGATCAAGCTCTTGGCCATGATCCAAATAGAAACGAATATAAGGATTAGGAGCATCATCAACAAGGCTTTCAATATTCTTGATTCGGTCTGTTGAATAAATTGTTACTGCCAATACACCATTTGCGGCACCTAGAGCATATATCAGACATTGTCATGCATTTAACTTCAATCACTTACTCAAATCAAAGTCACCAGCAAGGAAGCGTTCCACATCAATGGTAAATACATTAGGTGAATACATCAAAGGACCCAAAATTCCATGTACTTGTTCGCGAATAAAGCTTTGTAGACCAGGAATCACATTGACATCAAATCCAAAATGATCTGAGCCCAAAGGTTTCAAGACATAGTCAAATTGAGGCTTTTCCAAGAAGCTCATTTGAACAATTCTGACAAAAGGAAATATGCTCATAAACTTGATTTTGATACGCAGATAACCAGCAAATGCCATGTTCTCCACAAGAACAGGGAAACCGGCACCCATTCGACCCTTTCCGATACGAACATTCATAATGACTTTGGGATTCACTTTGTAGTCTGATTCTTCTGCTGATAGGTCAAACAAATCATTGGGAATAAACGAGACTTTCCAGTCCATGCACTATACCACATAGACATTATTTTTCAAGTACATCGAGTTTGAAGGAACTTACCACAGTATCAGGATCGGTATTTAAAAATGTTTTGACAGTTTCAATTCGAAAAGGCTTTGTGCCCAATGTGAATGTGGTAAGACGAATGGAATCAAGGTAAGGAGGCAAATAATCGGATATGTAATTGTCTAAATTTTCAACAACAAGAGCACTCAAGACAGGCTCAAAAATAAGCCAAAACCTTTGTATAAATGTATTCATCCATTCGACTGATTCTTCATCTGCTTCTATCTTGAACTTGTAGATTTCTCGTTGAATATCGTCACGCGTATCTCTTCTGAATCTTTTGACACTCACACGGTAATAGCTCGCTATCTCATTAAATTAAACTACACAAGTGTGCGCAAAGACTACTTACCAATGGCTAAACAAAAAAGCAAAATAGAACCCAGACCTGCGTTCATTTTAGCAAGTAAAAATGAAACAATGGCTGTAATAAACAATGCAGCAGCATTATGATACCATCCACCATATAGAAAAGAAGGCAAATAATCTTCCAAGGGATCGTCTATTGTGCTTCTTTTTTTGAATTGAGTAGCCAACATGTGCAGTGGACCACCAGGATTCTGACCGTTTGGAGACATGGAAGTCCAGCCAGTACGATACCAGTCAGGAATCAAGGAGTTTTTGGCAGGAACAAACGTACCAGGCATACCAAGAGGTGAAACTGGTTTCTTGTCTGCAGCAGTAACGGTTTGTCGCGTTATATCCGTATCATGTGTGCCTAGTTCAGTGCTTAGTCCTTTGCTCGGTACAATGCCGTGTAGGTCAGGGACTAAGTCTTCTGCGTTCGCACGTTGTTTTTGTTGAGTAAGTTCGTTGCTATTTTGCATAGTTGACAACTGTTGAATAGGATGTGTATCTTCTTCGACTAAAGACGCTTTTGCTTTTCTTTCTGTTGAATAAGAGGAAGACCCTTGCCAAGAGACGTCAGGATCTTCGGGATTCATTTTAAGCAGGATAATAGGAAAGAAAGATATAAATTTAAACAGACCAAATGACTGCATTATTGGCTGTCTGTGAGTGCAATGACGTCGCGTAAATATCTTAATTAATCGACCTTTTTTATGCTTTATGAATATTCAAAGTGAGTTTGATGGAGATTAAATAATTGCAATAATTTTTTTATAATCAGTGCCATCTTATCAATCCTTCGTCTTTTTTTTTTCTATCTTTTTATTTATTCAAAAAAGAAAGAAATAAAGGAATGTCACCTACTGTTCTTAACAACTATCAACACATCAAATTAGTTGCTTCTGATCTTGATGGCACTCTTTTAGGCAACTTTAATGGGTAAATATTTTAAGAGAAGTTTATTTTGCTTATCTTTGTCATAGTGGCACAATGACAGAACGCACTGTCAAATCCCTTCAAGACTTGGAAAACAAGGGCATTCAGATTGTTTTGGCTTCTGGTCGTCCTCCTAGATCATTCTTTCCCTTGGCAGCACAAGCAAATTTGAAGCGTCCCATCATTATCAGTTGTAACGGTGGGCTGGTTCTTGACAGCAAGACAAAGGAAGTGATTAGAAAATACTCTATAGCCACTGATTCTGTGCGTGAATTGATTAGAGAAGTAAAGACTCATTTCGATCCCAAAGATATTTTGATTGGTGGTGAAAGTGGTGCTAGTTTCCGTTGTGAAGAAAACTATGCTGAGAAGCGTCGTACTTGGGTTCCCAAAAACTATGTTCGAGTAGATGATTTAGACAATTTTGCTACTGAAGAACACACCATTGAAAAGCTTATGTTATTGCACCGTGAATGGGTTGCTGAAGACCTTTATAACTACCTTAAAGCAAATGTATTGACTGATTCCAAATGGAAAGATATGATTCATTATACTTTCTCTAGTCCTAATTTTGTTGAAGTATCTGCTGTTGGAGTCTGTAAAGCCACTGCTCTCAAAGATGTTTGTGAGGAACTTGGCGTCAAGAGAGAAGAAGTGATTGCTTTTGGAGATATGCCAAACGATTGTGAAATGATCGAATATGCTGGTAAATGGGTCTTAAAGAGAGGGAAATGCTTGTCAATTTACTGAAAAATTTTTTTTGGAATATTTCAGGTACAGGTGTTGCCATGGGTAACGCTCATCAACAAGTCAAGGAAATTGCTGGTAAGTGATAAAAAAAAAAAGGAATGTTTTTTTTGAAGAAAGAAATAGATCTTATCACTCTCGACAACGCCAATGATGGTGTTGCTGTTGTTTTAGAAGAAATCTCTAAGCAAATTTAATTATCATAGACACAATCAATAGAATATAAAATACATATATACATATTCTTAACCAGATCTAGATAATACAAAACAAAACTGCAATTAGAACAAAGTTTAATTAAATTTGCTGTTTTAAACAGAATATCATTTGCTGAATTTAAGCAGAGTGGAGAGTTTCCAAGAACTTCTTGGAAGCGGCAGTGGAGACACCACGCTTCTTTTGGTCCTTCTTAACCTTACCAGCAGCAACCTTTTCAGCCTTGATAAGTTCAGCACGACGGAGAACTTGAGCGTAGGGGTTGAGACGGTTCATAACACCTTGGTTCTTGAGAGGGTTCTTCTTTTGGGTGAAGGGACGCTTGTGGTGCTTGTTACCAGCAGGACGAACAACAGATTGGATTTCGTCAGAGTTGATAAGACGAGCAACATCAGGGTTGGTCATGATGTGAGCGGGCAAGACGTAGTCCTTCTTCAAGGTAGCAGGAGCTTCGTAAGTACCATAGAGTTCATCAAGGAGAGCGACAGCGGATTCAGTCCAGATAATGAAACGACCGAGGTGACCACCAGGAGCGAGTTGCAAGAGGTTGAGACGACGGACGTTAACGAGTTCAAGACCGGGCAAGTTACGGAAAGCCTTGACGAGACCGTTGTCTTCATTGTAGATGACAAGGGGACCACGACGTTGTCTGTGACGACGGTTACGGAGCTTACCTTGACCAGCACGCAACTTACGAGAGTTGGAGACCTTGACAACGTCAGAGTAAGCGTTGATAGCCTTCAAGAGAGCAACGGCATCTTTGGTCTTGGTGATTTGTTGAACAGAGTCAGCAACGACAAGAGGAACTTCTTCAATCTTTTCAACACGGTGACCACGAGCCATAACCAAAGAGGGGAGAGCGGAGGCAGCCAAAGCGGAAGCAGTAGCGAAACGCTTTTGGTTCAAGTTAGTCTTTATGTGCCACTTTCTCCAGGTCTTGGTAGGAGCGAACATACGACCACCACGACACATGTTACCGAAAGCGGCTTGACCGGCACGGTGAGTACCAGAACCGTTGACACGAGGAATACGAGCAACAGCACGACCAGTACCCCAAGATTCGGCAGAGGTTTGTTCACCAGCCTTGCTAGAAACAGCATAGGGTTGACGCTTGTTCTTGGCCATGTTGGTGTGGACAAAGTTGACAATGTCAGGACGAATGGGGGCCTTGAAGACAGCGGGGAGGGGAACGGTGGTAGAGACGTTCTTACCGTTGTCGGCGTAGACGTTGAGAACAGGTCTGGCAGCGGACTATTAGATATGGGTTAGTGATATGTCATAGAAAGACAAGTTATGCATCCATATCCACTTCAGCAAATAAAGATTGATCTGATTCATCCATCATCTCATCCGTTTATTGCATTTATTGAAAGTGGACATCTTGTCTTTTTCATTGATGTATATGTCTATGTACCATTTGTTTGTTCGAGCAAAAAAAGAGGGAGATCTATCACTGCCTCCTTGTCAACTTAATATACTCAAAGAGCAGTAGCCCTGTTTTGAAACGGCGTCGCAAACCAGGTTCGGTCCGGGCATTTCTTCTCTCTGATCTTCAAGGCGAATAAGGTGGCTTGTTACTTAAGATTTGCCCTATACGCAAATATGCAGCTTTCTAAAAGTTTATTCCAATTCGCAACTACAAAGAGTATTAATTGCATACTCGGGTCATGAAAGTTTTTGAGGCCATTCTCCTTCTGAGATTTAATTTATACCTTCTTATAATTGCAACACGTTTATTGCATTTTTTTTCCTTCTCTTTTCACTTTTTTATAAATGGTATGCCTGAAAATACGCGCTTCAAGTGAGCTGACTTTTTTGACATATTAGGGCTCTTCAGACAAATTAGTTGGTGGTGGTGCATGTGTTGCAGCTGCTTTCATTTTTGTATATTACAGTACTTGGACTTTTATTGTCGTAAGTACTATTTTGCATAGGTACATAGCCATACTGATTTATCTTTTTTTATCTTTTTTCTTTATTGAAGCCCTTCTTGGATGAATCAAATTCTCTTCACAGCCTTTTCCTCCCTTATGAATACGCAATATATTTACCAGCAGTCGTGCTTGTCGCAGGTCTTTCAGCAATCACTGCATTCTTTATCAAAGCAACTTCTAAAAGTAAAGATAAGCAAAAAGCCAAATAATTGCAATTCCTGTCATTTATTTGATCATCCTTTATATTTATCTATTTTACGCATATACATAAACTCTTGAATAAATATCATACATTTGATGCAAATCACATGGGACATAAAACCTACTACACATTCCAAAACATACGACAGAGCCAAAAGCGATCGAAAGCATTATTGTCTTTATTTGCCACTTTTAACCCTTTTCATTTCTTTTTATTTTTCTTTTTTGCTTTATGAAATGCAATACTTTAATACTAGATAAAATACTTCAATTCCCTTTGAAAAAAAAAACACACACACACTCCATACACTACAAAAACAACCATTTCTGTATATATGTTGTGTCTGGAGAGACAGTAGCTGAAAATATTTTATAAAGAGAGTTTAATTATGATATCGGTTTCATCAAATCATGTAAATGACACTATACTTATTAAAACATATAAGCTTTTTCCATAAAAGAATGTATACGTCTTTTTGATACTATAATATAGTAATACAATTTTATAAGTGAAAAGAATGGACAAATGCGTAACATTGCAAATCCTATAAATACCCACATAAATACTCCAACTGCCTACATGCAACATTTAATAACATACACAGTGTCTTTGGAGTTAATTTGGACAAAAAAAAAGCGACTTGTAAAGTTTGATCAAAATAGCCTTTCGACCAAAAGGTGTTACCTGTAAATGGCCTGAATTCTGGGCCATGTCGCTGCTTTCTGTAACAAGAAACGTGGTGTATCGATTTATGTTACATAAATTGCCTACTCGAGCCCGCCTGAATCGCTTCATCCCAGCTACCTTGCGGTCTTCGATACGTTTGATTTGTTCACTCCATTCCGAAGATGACAACCATTTGTTGTTTATGTATCCACCTAAGGCTTTCTCTTGGAGCGAGCTGATTTTTGAATTCCTGTGGCCAACATTTACAATCGACGATATAATTATGGCAACACAATCCTTGGACTTTCGTCCTATCAAGTACTGTCAAAATAGCAATCTGAATGTTTAAGACGTACTTTTCACTGCATTAACAGAAATCTGGAAGGCTCACTGGAGATCTATCTTTGATTATGTACCATTTGATCCCCAAAGATTACTGCAATAAACTCGTGTTAATCTGCAGCTACAAATAGCAGAGAAACACATAAACTCAAGATTTTAATAGATAGATGATAAACTAGATGACCCAAATCATCTAGCCCATACTTGACCTCTTCTATTTCTACCTCAATTATTTTCTTTCTTTTTATATTATAATATTCGTCTACGTGGAGCAATAAATAAAACACTTTTTAAAAAAAAGCTACCTGTAGAAATCCTCAATTTGACGCCAGAAGACGAAGAGTGGAGTTATCGATAAGCTCAAACACTCAAAATGTGCGCCAGATGCTCTAGTTTTTTTATCAATGTGTTTGCTTGCTACTTGTACTGTAAAAATGACAAGATATGAGCGAAAAATTTCTGAACATTTTTGCCTGTTTGTCCCCTCTTTTAGCAGAAAGCTTGCTGCGGTTTCTGTATTATAGACTCAAAATTCAAATATCTATAACTTTTATCAATGCACCAAAGTTGAATAACTGTGTCTTTATGCAGTTTTGAGCAAAAGCCCAGTTTTTTTTTAATGATTTTATTTGCCGCACGTATTAGTGGTCTTGGGAGGGACCCACTAAAAGAGGTGCTCGACAGTTATTTATTGTAAGAAAATATAAAGAAAAACAAAATTGGTACGATAGTAAGAAAGTAAAAAAATATAAAAGGAAAGAGCAGCTATTGCGAGAAAAGACCTCTTAAGATGAAAGGTCATTTTCAGCAGCTATACGCTTAATTTGATAGCGAGTACTGTGAAGAACAGAGAGATAATAGAATGGTTGGTTCTGCATGGTATGGGCCCAATGGGCCTTCCAGTTCTCAGAGAGACCGATCAAGATTACCATGGCTACAAAAAGAGGACAGTTGGTTTGAGAAAAATTGAAGCCCAGTTTCTAATGCGGTGAGATGAAAAACTGGAGTTGCACTATTTCAAACCCCACCACATAGCCGTCCTTTATATTCCATGTTCATTTACTCCGCATTCGAATTTCTGTCTGCATTCTTATGACAACAAAGCTAGTTCCCAAATAAAGGCTTCTCGTACTTCGCTTTCTCTGTTTTGGAGGACTCCAATGATCCCTCAGGCTAAAACACTGTGGTATCGTGTGCTTCACAAGAAACTGCCCACTGCGTCCGAACTTTTCAAGATTGATACTGTCTCTACTCCTGTCTGTCGGCTGTGCAAATCACAACCGGAATCGTATGATCGTCTCATAGCCTACTGCTCTACCAAGTGGAGTGTTTGGTTGGAAATACTCAACTGCTTCTACCCTCTGGTATACTTTACTCCTCCCTCCCTCCACAAGGTCCTCACTCTTCAAGCCTTTCCCCCTGCCATTAAAAACTTTTTTTTTTTGTAAGGGAGACTTGCTCCAATTTTATTTTAAGTCCTTTAGACGTCAAAAGAGTGGAAGAAAAGACTGTGGTATTATAAGAACTAGACTAAGGAATGGGAAATGAGCCTGTGGTAGAAGAAATTGAGAAAAGAATAAGAGTTTAAGAGAGCTTGATAGATACTTGAAATGGAGAGAACATCATGAGTAGTGAGAGAGGAACTAGAAAGGAAAGCGGAGGAGAGAATTTACGGTTCATAATCAAGGCGGGATTCATCATGCAGCTTATTTGCTAAGCGGAAAACTGTGGAGAGGAATGGGTTTTCAGAAAAAACAGATTGCCAGTGAGCTTGCCAGAGGGCTAGAGCAGTGCATGCAAAGATTTGGAAGGTACTTAAGGAAGGAAAATGGAGGAGAGAAACACGAGGGATAACAACCCGAAGGAGGAGGACTTGACGTAGGAGATTGACCGAAGGTGCATGGATGTTGGGATTGATGTACTTGGAGAAGACATGAGACCAAACATCATACTTGGTAGGGCAGAGGAAATAAAAGTGATCAAGGGTATCAATGGAAGTAATGAGATTTGAAGGACAGTGGATACAAAAGTTATTAGGAACTGTATGGGGCATAAGACGATGTAGGTGAAAACGGTTGTTGACTTTGTTGTGAAGCATCCTGTAGAGGACATTGCGAGCAGGGAGAGGGATCTTGAGAGACCAAAAGCGTTTCCAGTTAGGCGATAGGCGGGGATCAGGCGGTATAGGAGGGGAGGAGCTATGGCATAATTTACGATAAGAATGAGTGGAAGATGTAATGGGGAATTGAGAGTATGTAAGGGTTGAAATGAATGTCTGTAAATCAGTGGGACTAATGTGAGAGGTTGAAGGAAGAATAGAAAAGGAAGAAACACGAGGAGCAGGAGAAAAGAGTGACAGGACAAAGGGATTGAGGAAGAGCTTTTTTTGACGAAAGTGTAGTAAAGCACGGTAGGTGGCCGATTCAAAACGAGGAACTTCTTGCCGAGAGCGAAACCGAAGGCATTCACTAGAAGAATCAAAAACAAAAATGTGATTACCTGTTAAGGCTAGCATACTGGGATTGTGTTTGAAGTATTCATTTTTAGAAATAGGAGGGTTGGATGGAGGTGGAGAAGGATAGATAGAATGTAGAAGTTCAGGAAGTGGAAGGCGAAGGCAAACGTGAAGGGGGACATGACAATTGGAGAAGTTGTGGGGTAGATAATCTATAGCTAAGAAAATACGGTTGAAGTAAGGAATGTCAATAGAAAGTTTTTTTCGTATAAAGGGGAATAACAAAGGCCAGTGGTAAGTAGGGTATTGTGGGGAACAAAGGAAGAAAGAGAGGGTAAACTGGAGATAAGGAAGTGAAGGTAAAGAAACAGCAAAAGAGTGAGGAACTAATAAAGGGTAGACCCATCGCCATTGAAGAGCTCTCTGTTGTAGATGAGGATCAATGACGCTAAGTCCACCTTGAGAACGAGGTAAAATGAGTGTTGAGAAAGGAATGGTACCAAAGCGGCGACTGTTGATGAAGGAAGTGATGAGGCGTTGCAATGTGTTTTGTTGCGTTTTGTTGAGAGGAAGCAGGCGAAGTACATGCCATAGTCGTGATAGAATGAGTGAATTGAGAACAGTAGCTCTGCCTCTAACAGATAAATTTCTAGTGCTGTGTATGAGACATGCTTGCTGGATGGTTCGGAATAATTTGTCGATATGTGAGTTTCGTTGATGGGGACTGGAGTAAATTGGATAACCAAGATAAATAACTGCTTCAGGCGAGGTGTTGTCATGCCAAGTTGTAATGTTCTGTGAAGCTAAAAAGTACTTCCATCTTGTATTAGGTTTACCTGACAGCGAAATGGCTGTAGTCTTGTTGAAGTTGAGTTTAGCATTGGAGGCTAGCATGTAATTGTGAATTAATTGTTGAAGGCATAGAAGGTCTTGGCGATTATGAAGTAAAACGAGTGTATCATCGGCATAGGCGAGAACTTTGACAGGTGGTGCTGAGAAGGATGGAGATGAGGGATTGTCTCCTGCCATTAAAAACCGCTCCAAGCTTGTATCCATCGTTGCGATAGCTCAATGGAGTATCTAGAAATCCTATTGGAACCTGATTCTCAACCAGGTTGCTTTTGAATATTCTTATGTTGACAATTCTGAAAACTTTTCTATCAACATTTTTTATTTTTATTATTTTTTATTTATTATTTTTTATTTTTTATTTTTTATTTTTATTTTTATTTTTTCATTTTTTATTTTTCATTTTTTCATTTTTTCATTTTTTTCATTTTTTTCATTTTTTTCATTTTTTATTTTTTTTCATTTTTTTTCATTTTTTTTCATTTTTTTTCATTTTTTTTCATTTTTTTTCTTGTTTTAATCTAATTCTCTTAAAATTAAAGATACTACAGCGTAAGCGATGGAAGAAATCTTTCATCGAAAGTTGAAGAATTTCTCACTCATTGAAGGAAATTCTTGGCCAAGCTTTCACTCAAATGTGGGGGGGGGGAAGCAATCGATTACGCTGTGGTGAGAGTGTATTTTTTTGCCTAAAAATAAGTGTTTTCTACAAATTTTTGGTATTAATTTTGTCAAATTCATATCCAAAGCTTTTTAATTTATTGACCTTATAGAAGAGGTCCTTTAAATACATGGTCCGATA